AAAATTAGCGATTTTTAAAAAAAATCAATAGAAAAATGAATAATTTGGTTACTCAATCCAGCCCCTCGTGGGTTGAGTAACCAAACTATTTATTCATCTATTGATTTTTTAAAAAAAAACAGTGATATTGTTATAGCAGTTAGTAGATCTATTTATTCGATTGTCGGCTTTGTCCACGCGCGCAGCCCCCGCAACATCTGAAAGTCTTTTTCGGTGTTTGAGCCTGGCTGTCATGGAAAGGTTTAGCGGTTGGCGAGTCTCTCTCTCTCTCTCCGTGTCTTGGCATGGCATTGATTTGCCCTTTGTATCTGCCCTACAGGTGCCTGAACCCTGATATTTTGACTGCGCTTAGAAGGCAGCCACCTGCGTAGCCAATGCATCTGATCTCAGATCTGCACTGGCAGCAATTCACAACGTCGCAGCCTCATTTTTAAACTAGTGGGTTTTTAATATTTAAATTTTAGCCCCAAATCAGAACCCACTGTCAAATTGTTGATAAACTAATTTAATATTATTAATAATAATAATAACAATAATCCCAAGTATTTGATTATAGCCCCTTTCACAGCAGGAGGGGAGTTCTCAAAGCGCTTCACGTGATTTTGCGTAAAGTGTAGTGACTGTGTTTTGTGGGCAAACACGGCAATTAATTTGCACGCAGAATTTTATTATTATTATTAATGGCAGTGAGGCTTGAGCTCATGTCTAGGCTTCCACCCCCAGGCTGCATTATCAGAGGTAACGAACTTTGGGTGTCGCGCAAGTGGATGTGAAAGGTTCACGCGACACTATTCAAAAAGAGGCTGGAGTTTCTCCCGGTGTCCTGGCCATTGATCCTCCAGATAAATTGGTGGCATGTTTAATGGCTGTTTGTGGGATCTTACTGTGTGCAAAATGACTCCCGCGTTTGCTTACAAATAAATGTAACATCACTTGGCAGCTATTAGCTGCTGAAGCACTTTGAGACGATAATAGGCGGAATATAAAATACACCGATTATTATTAGCTTAGTGTTAGTCCGGTTTAAGGTAACCTCAGGGATGTTATCAGCCTTGATTATTGACTTCAGAGCTTCAAAAAGACAAGCTGTTCTTCCATTTTATATTATTCTAACTTTTATTCATCGCCGTCAAAGGTTACTGACGGGCAGTGCGGGCTGCCAGCAGATCCCATTACCTACGTGTGTTTAGTTGTGTATCCACAAAGCCTCCATTGTGTGGCAATCTCTTGAGTGTGACTGGTTGCCCACTATTGAATCACTAACCAAATAGCTCTGGTACTAACAATGTATCCGAGTGAGAGAGTCATTGAGATGGCTGTTTATTAGGAAGATTTTATTGGACGCTGTTAGCAAAGTGGTTTGAGGAGTTCCTAGTGCAGGTTTAAACCATTGCTTGTCTTAAGAGAGCCCTTTCTTTCTCCCTCTCAACCACTGGAGTGCCAGTGAGTCCCAGTGCGACTTTCGTTGGACACAGACCCTTGTTTGTAGCAAGTGGTAGGAAGGCATCTTGTAACTTGTGCATGGAGTTGCTTGTGATAGACAGTCGAGTCTTACACTCCCTACACACAATTCCAGAGCAGGAACCAGTAGAACTGGTTTCATTGCGCAGTCCTCAACCTATGCTTTACCAATGGGGGTGCTGGTTGGGGGATGGGGAGGAGGGGAGCTGGTCGGGGGCAGAGGGGGAGGGTTGCTGGTCGGGGGAGGAGGGGTGAATGTCATACATGTTCTAACATTGATTGACCCAGGCAGACTTTTCCCCTTGCGTTCCTGCAGTTGAAGTTCTCTCCCTTTACAATTAGACACTGAGCCAAGTATTCGTTGACTGTGTTACTAAAGGGCGGTTTGACAACAGTGAGAATAAATGGTTCAATTAAAGCCGTGCTCCTGAATAGAAGCCACAACAACAGCAAACCCCAGTCTTAGACACAAACTGAACCAAACGGAATAGACTTGATGTATCTGCCTCTCAACCATCGTTTGGGGGTTCATGCTGAGTGACTGTGACTGAGTCACAGTCTAGGCTGCCCCACCCCCCACAGTGCTGGGGGAAAGCATTGGATTGTCAGAGGTGCCGTCCTTCAATTGAGGCGTTAAACCCAATGTCCTGACTGACTGTTCAGGTTTCACGTCAGAGATCCCAGTGCTCAAAATGAAAAGCACATCCGATTTCTCCCTCCACCATCCTGGCAGCCACATGGCTTGTCGTGTCCCAAACCGATCCAGTGCCTCAACAACATTGCAAGTTAATACAGGATCTGAAAGGCTTGAAGCGTCAACAATCATTCTCACAAACAGCATGTTTAAAGTCATCTGTCTGTCTGCCTGTCCATTAACGTTGTGTGGTGAGTGAGATCAGCGAGACTCCTTGTGGGAACCCTAACCCTAACCTTGTTTGCCGAGCACTATATAAATGCACGTTGTTGTTCTTGTTGTTTACCCACATTCTCCTCTTCCCTGTTCGCCCTCTATTCTAAATATAAACACATTCCAAGGACTTCAACAAAAAAAAACAGGTAATAATCCCTTTAAAAACCAATAACAATTTGGTCACTTCAATCCGCGACTGTTTGTGGGAATGTCGCTGTGTACAATTGGCTGCTGCGTTTCACCCACAAATTACGCAGGGGCTAATTTAAACTAGTGGCGAGGGGGGATGGGTATCCCAGGATAAACAATAGATTAGGGAATAGAGGAAAAAGACAAGTAGGAAATATAGAGCAGGTACATGTGGACTATTTCCTCAAAAGCATGTGCCTAAATGCACGGAGCTTAGGGAATAAGGTTGATGAGCTGCAGGTTCAACTGGTAGTAGGAGGTCACAATGTGGTGGCAGTAACTGAGACATGGCTCAAGCCAGGACAGGAATGGGAGATACATATTCCAGGATATAATGTGTTCAGGAAGGATAGAGAAGGAAGAAAGGGTGGAGGGGTGGCAATATTAGTTAAGGATACAATTGTAGCTGTAGAAAGGGACGCGACTCGAGGGCCCAACAACAGAATCGATCCGGTTAGGTCAGAAATAGGAAAGGAGTGGTTACACTGATAGGGGTTTACTATAGACCACCAGATAGCGGGAAGGAGATAGAGGAGCAGATCTGCAACCAGATCATGGACAGATGTAGGGCAAACAGAGTTGTCATAATGGGGGATTTAATTATCCCAATATAGACTGACAAAATAGCAACGCAAGGCCTAGCTAAGGGCAAGGCCGGAGAAAGACTCATCAACTGTGTACAAGAAAATTTTCTTGAGCAGTATGTCTCCAGTCCTACAAGGAAGGAAGCATTGCTGGATCTTGTCCTAGGGAATGAAGGAGGTCAGGTTGAACAAGTTACGTTAGGGGAGCATCGAGGTAACAGTGACCATAATATTATTAGATTTAGATTACTCATGAACAGGGACAAAGTACAGTCAAGGGTGAAAATGCTTGACTGGAAAAGAGCTAATTTTGATGGGCTAAAGAGGGACCGAGAGTAGGTGGACTGGCAAGTAAGAATGACAGGTAAAACGACTCATGAGCTCCTCTGGGAGTGGTCCTGTTCCTGAACTCTGACCTCCCGATGGCTCCAGTACCCCTCTCTCATGGTTCCTATAGAGTGATGGGCTGCTATCATCGAGTCCTAGGGGAGTGAGGGTCTCCTACACCATACTGTCCAGGAACCTCTCACTGTCCCTGATGGAGCGCAGTGTTTGCACCTGGGCTTCCAGCTCAACTACTCTTAGCTGAAGCTCCCTGATTTCCAGACACTTGCAGCAGATGAAATCGCCCGGGTTTAAGGCGCCCTCCATCGACTCCCACATGAAACAGACCTCGCAGTTTACCTGCCACACCATCTTCACAATCTTTATATAGATACAAAGATATATAGCCTGCCCCCACTTCTCCCACTGCACTTATTTCCCACTCTCACCAAATTCCCTCACACTCTGGCCTCACCTCACTCACTCCCTGTAAAGTTGCCCCACAAGACCAATGTACCAATGGCATCAGCAATTTTAACTAACACAAGAATTAAAACAACTACTACAAGACTTGAATAATAACAACAACAAATTGGGTTATGTACTCACGATAGCAGTTCTCACGACACTCATAGCAGCAATTCCAACTCTAACCAAATTCTCTCACACTCTGGCTTCACCTCACCCCCAACGTAGCTCACTCTGGGCTCTCGCAGTTATCTCCTATTTATACTCTCTGGGTGCAACCCATTTCTGATTTGCTCAGCAGTAATTTGGAATTAACACCTAATCATTGGAGTCCTGTAGCTCAGTGGTTAGAGCACTTGCTTTGCAAGTGAGAGACCTGAGTTCAATTCCAGGCAGAGGGCCAAACCTTGGGCAAGTTTCCTTTCTCCTCACAGAGCCTAATAATAATCCCTCCAAAACCAAAAACAATAATAAATTGGTCATTTTCAATCTACGACTGTTTGTGGGACATTGCTGCGCGCAATTGGCTGCCGCGTTCGCCCACAAATATACAGCCAATTCACTTTACAGTGTGTTCTGTGAAGCGCTTTGGGACGTCCTCCCGACGTGAAAAGCGCTATATCAAATCCAAGGATTATTCTTATTCATTTAAGTGATTAATCAATAAGTTAAGTTAATCAATAAATTACTTGTTATTGGCGAAGCCTAATTGGCTACAGCTGCTCCCTGTAAAGTTGCCCCACAAGACCAATGTACCAATGGCATCAGCAATTTTAACTAACACAAGAATTAAAACAACTACTACAAGACTTGAATAATAACAACAACAACAAATTGGGTTATGTACTAACGATAGCAGTTCTCACAACACTCATAGCAGCAATTCCCACTCTCACCAAATTCCCTCACACTCTGGCCTCGCCTCACTCCGGACGTAGCTCACTCTGGGCTCTCGGCTCGCAAAGAGATGTCATGAAGATGTGATCAGGTGCCGTATCGAACACGACGATTATTATTATAAACAGTCACAGAGAATTCCTCTATTTTATTTGTTTCTGTTCCAGGATTATCTGCTCCACACCATTTGCAGTTGCCTCGTACCTCCTCCTGTGGTACGTCCCGGATAGTAATGTGTCAGAGATGGGAAAGATCTTCTGGTACCTCATCTTCTACTGCTCGTTCCAAACGATGCAGACGGTAAGTGTACAAGGAAAGGCAACCATTCAGTGTTTGGTGATCCACGGCCACATCTAATGGAATCCTGTAGCTCAGTGGTTAGAGCCCTCGCCTCGCAAGCGAGAGGACCCGGGCTCAATTCCTGGGCGTGCAAAACGTTGGCCAAGTTTCCTTCCTCCACACACACACACACACACCTCTGTTTACCCAACAGTAAGTAGGAACTCGGTTGTTGGACGATTAGTGGATCGATCGCTTTTCCATGTGTAATAATCTGTTCAAAATAAATAAATAATTTAACAGAATAAAATAATAATTCGGTCACTCAAACCCCGACTGCTTGTAGGAAGCTGCTGCGATCCTCCTGGGTGGGGGGAGTGAGGTCTCCTTGGATTATTATTGTTGTTATCTCTTCACAAGTATAAATGGCTTTTCCCTTTATTTCTTTTAAAGTGCTTTCATGTTCCGTACTCAGCCCTTACGATGTTCATCAGCCCAGATCAAAAGGAAAGGGATTCTGCCACAGCTTACCGTGAGTAACCCTTTTATCGTTGTATTAGAATCATGGAATCTTACAGCACAGAAGGAGGCCGTTTGACCCATCGTGCCTATGCCGGCTCTTTGGAAGAGCTTCCCACTCCCCTCTGCTCTTACCCCAACTTGTCCCACTCCCCCGCTCTTGACCCCAAAGGGAGTGTTAAAGACCTGATGTCTCCACTTGATTTTCTATCCATATCTAGGAATTGTAAAGCCCGTTTTCTGTGGTGTTAATGGTTGTCCTCCTCGTGCTGTAGGTATGACGGTGGAGGTGCTGGGAACTGTCTTGGGGACCGCCATCCAGGGTCAGATTGTCGGTCAGGCTGGTGCCGCTTGCCTTCAGAATCACCGCTACATGGTGCAGAATGGCTTCAACACTTCACTGCCAACTGCGGACGTCAACACCACACTCTACAACCAAAGCACCTCCATCGACCAACTGGTACGTCCTCTCCCCCACCCCGCAATAGGTTTAGGAGGCAGTGCACTGAGCCAAGTGGGGCACCCTCTGTTGTTGAGTCAGGAGGTTGTGGGTTCAATCCCTATGTGGGGACTCTGAGCTCACAGTCCAGGCTGAAGTGCTGGGGAAACACTGCATCGTCAGAGGTGAAGCCCTTCGAATGAGACGATAAACCGAGGTTCCATCTGCCTGTTCAGGTGACATTGAAGGTTCCTCGGCTCTGTTCAAAAAGAGGAAGTTTCTCCTTGGAATAACTTGAACGTTACTCCACGGAGCAATAATAATTTGGTCACTTAATCTTATGCTCTCATCAATATATCTCATATAGTTTGAGACACGACATGTCAAGCGACTGTCAGGATGGTGGAAGGTGAACTCGATGGACCTTGGTCTTTTGCCCAGCAAATTCTTATGTTCTAATCCACGACTGTTTGTGGGGACGCTGCTGTGCGCAATTGGCTGCTGTGTTTCTCTCACAAAATACAGTTGATTCACTTTACAGTATATCCTGCGAAGTGTTTTGAGACGTCTCTCGAAGATGTGATCAGGTGCTGCATCAGATGCAAGGATTATTATTACTATTAAAGTTTGTGTTTTTTTTCCTGGTTACAGAAACAAGCGTATTTGATAGCAGCTGCCGTGATTGGTGGTGTGTACATCCTGTGTGCCATCATTCTGTTTGCTGGCGTCAGGGAGAGAGAGGGTAAGTGCGGGGTCAGAGTTTAGCTTTAAACAGCAGTGACTGACCGAGCCGCATTAACGGTTCATGGCTTTGGTTTCAAGCACGTTCCAAAGTGCATTCCTTGAGCTCAGCTCTAACAAACACAACACCAACAAAATGACATTTGCATAGGTTATTATTATTATAATGGGATACGTAGAATGTATTGTCAAACATTAGCTTGTGACTAATAATAGGTAACCACTTAACAACCTTTACAATTGCCACAATTAAATTCAAATGGTACGATAATAACATTGGGTTTTGAAACGTTAACCCATTATATACACCCCCCCCCACACACACACACACACACACACAAACACACACACACCTCTGTAAAGCTTTGCTCCTCACCTGCTCTGCTCAAGGCAGTATCTCACGCTGGGGTGAGATTCCACAGCTATTGCCGCACCCAAGTTCCCATTATTCATGTTCGAACTTTGACAGTGAATATACAACTAGAGCAACACAAGGACCTGTCATGTGCAAATTACCTGTTGCTAACACAGGCAAGCCCAATCTTGTCCTCTTGCACATATACTCTCGCACGCGGACTCGCACACTCTTGCGGGCGCGCGCGCACACACACGCTGTTAACGGCCAACCTGATTGCTGTAGGCATGTGTGTTCTATACTTATTTAAGACGTAAGGTTAACTTATGCATCCCGTCACTGGCATCTAATGTGATGTATGTGTAGCTAAATCGTGGGCGAGTTGAGTTGCACAATTAATAGTAAATAATAATAATAATCCTTGCATTTGCTGTAGCGCCTTTCACTTCAGGGTGAAAGCGCTTCACAGGATTTATTATGAAGGAGAGTGACTGTGTACTGTGAAAACAGCTTCCAAACAGCCATGAAGTAAATTTGTTGTGGGAGATTGTTGGTTAATGTCATTATATCATTTTGTGCTGCTCCGAATCAATGTAAATTGTACTGTAGGGCCTCTTCGACCTCCCACCGGGCTCAGCATCAGCCCCTGGGACACTAGCTACCCTGCCTGACGGGCGCTGTGTAAATGCAAGTAGTTGTTGTTATCAAGTCGTCGAGAAGTCTTAAAGCACTTCACTGGATTTTATCATGAAGTGACTGTGGACTTGTAGGCAAAATCAGATCCCAATATTGTACTTTGCTCAAAGTGAACATGATCTCGCGGTATGTTAATTGGCTGTGTATTTTAATTCTAACCTGTATATTTCTAGAGCCCTGTTACAAGAAGATGCAGAAATCGTACTCCTTTTTCAAGGGCCTGAAACTTGTCATGAGCTACGGACCTTATGTGAAGCTAATCATTGGTTTTCTCTTTACATCGTTGGCTTTTATGGTAAGGATAATTCTTAATAATAATAATATTAATACACACCACAATCCTTGTGTTTGATATCACCATTGGTATCACATTGGGAGGACATCTCAAAGCACTTCACAGAAACAATTGTAAAGCAGTAAGTAGGAACCCAGTTGTTAGTTAATTGGCGGAACGCTTTTCCGGGCGTAATAATCCCTTCAAAAAATAATAATTTGGTCACTCAATCCACGACTGTTTTTGGGACGCTGCTGTGCTCAATTGGTTGCCACGTTTCGCCCACAAAATACACAGTCACCACATTTACAGTAGTCCTGAAAGGTCCTTGGAATCTGGGTGTCCTGAATCTGAAGTATTTAGAGTTTTGTTTACACTTTACGGTATATTCTGTGAAGTGGTTTGAGACGTCTCGAAGACATGATGAGGTGCTGTATCAAATACAAAGGTTTATTATTATTATTATAAGGATATTATGAGGTGGGAACTCAGGCCTCAGATCCTGTATGTAAAATATTCATGGTTTTTGCATTTGGAGTTGTTTTTATTAAAAGCGACACAAATTATTGTTTGTTTCAGCTTCTGGAGGGGAATTTTGCCCTGTATTGTTCCTACACATTGGGCTTCCCCAAAGACTTCCAGAATATTCTCCTGGTAATCATGGTAAGATTAAAGGTTTTTGTTTTTTTTGCTCAATGTAGAATTAGTTGCCGAGTTAATTGGCTGCCATGTTTCGCCCTCATAAAGTACAGGCAGTTTTCGTTTCTCTGCAAACTCACCTTGAAGTGGGTTAAGAGGCAGGTGAACGTCACAGGGCTTCAGTAATTACCCATCGCAACACATTGCACCTCTTCTGCCTGTGAGGAGAGTTGGCTGTGCGCACTGGAGCCTGTCAGGAGAGCTCAGCCCTGCACTGCACTGCTCTGTACACTGGTTTAATCTGTGGGTCACAGAAACTCCTTACAAAAACGAGTCCCATCAGCTCAGTCACTGAGATGGATCCTTTGCCCATTCAATAAGCAAACCCCCAGCTGTTGGCTGGATTCTTTGAATGAATGGAGCTTCGGTGGTGGAAACATTCTCACAATAATACAGCTCCCTAACCTTGTCCACAATGGCTATAAAGCTGCTTAAATCCCAGTGAGCGAGTGAGCGAGCATTCGGGGGCTGGTATTCTTCTCTATGTTAAATGGGAGGGATTTGTCAAAGGCAGAGAGTGAAAGGTCCTCGGAATCTGGGTGTCCTGGAGCTGAACAGTGGGATGTTTGTTCTTCGCACTTTCCCATCCACCGGCATACGAGGGGGAAGGGGGAGCACTGCGCGACCCTTTATCCCCAACAGCCCCCGCCCCCCCCCCCCCCCCCAGTGAGGGCGGTGCAGACACTTCTCATTCAGCACAAAAAAATAAAGGTTTGAAAAGTGGCCGATGGAATTGAAAACCCAATAAAAGTCCGAAAAGGTTATTCAGAGATTGAGGGGAAAATGAACATAGAAAAGAATGACTTCCCTCTCTTCCTCTCTCTCTCTCCCCCCCCCCCCCCCCCTCCCTATGCACAGAAAAACGTGTCCATTAGCTCTGACCAACAGTTGTACAGCGCTTCACAGAATATACCGTGAAGTAAACAGAGGGGTGTGGAGTAAGGAACCTTGCCCAGTGTTTCGCTCGACCAGGAATCAAACCCAGGTCCCCTGGATGGTGAGGCGAGGGCTGTAACCACTGAGCTGCTGGGCTCTTGGTATACCCTAATGAGATAACCCAGTGTTTCATTACTGTTTCAGCTTTCAGCGACCCTGACCATCCCGTTCTGGCAATGGTTTCTGACGCGATTTGGGAAGAAAACGGCCGTGTATTTTGGCATCCCGGTGAGTGCGACGGCAGATTGAAAATTTCCCGTTAACTCGGAGCGCTTGGCAAAGCCGCTGTGTAAAGGGGACAAGGCCGTTTCAAATTAGAGCTTAGAGTTTAGATGCATTTTAGGGAACGTCGGAACTGTATTGTCAGAAAAGCCTCAGTTATTCCTTGCCAGAGTTTTTGACTTAAATCCTCCTTTGCGCTGGGAAACCTGCAGTGACAGCCTGTGATATCAGTCCCATAAAATCCCAACTATAGTCAGGTTGTCACGATAACAACAACAACGGTAACAGCAAATTGCCTAAGGTTTCACCCCTGCCCGGGAATCGAACCTGGGTCCTCTCTCTTGCGAAGTGAGTGTGCTCACCACGAGACTGCAGGACTCCTGATGTAGCAGCTTTCACATCTCGGAAGTGCTCGCCACGTCTCGGTTCGCTGTCCAAGCTCTGCCTCGCGCTGTAATCCGTTCACTTTGTGTTGCAGTCAGCCGTCCCATTCCTCATCCTGATCATCCTGGTCAAGAGGAACCTGATCGTGGCTTACGTCGTCTCCTTCGCCTCCGGAGTGAGTGTGGCCGCCGCTTTCCTCTTGCCGTGGTGAGTGTGCGACACGGGTGCGCAGTTCGCTTTTCCTTCCTCAAACAACAACCAACTAGCATTTACACAGCGGCCCCTCACACAGGGCAGTGGCCCAGAGCGCTCGACAGTGGTGCAGCCGAGAGAGGTGGGGGTGGTGGGGCGGGGGGGGGGGCAGGAGGCAGGTGACCGTAGGCACTTGTTGAAGAAGAAGGTCTTCGAGCGCAACCTGAAGGTGGGGAAGGAGGGGGACAAGGCGAGGGATGGAGGGAGAGTGGGACAGGGTTTCGGGGCGCAGCGGCTGAATGAAACAGACCTGATTTGCATTAAGACTTTGTTAATAAACTGTGAATTCTGTTTTACTTCAGTACAAACCATTGAACTGGAAATCCCGAATATTCTGTCTCTGTCAGATCTTTGCTAAGTAACGTTCTGTTTCCCTCCCTCCCTCCCTAAGGTCTATGTTACCGGATGTTGTCGATGACTTTAAACTGAAGAACCCGGACTCGATAGGACACGAAGCGATATTTTATTCCTTCTACGTCTTTTTCACCAAGTTTGCCTCTGGGATCTCCCTCGGCATCTCCACCCTCAGCCTCGAGTAGGTAGATCTGCTTCACTGTCACTGAACTCAACAGAACCCAAGTGATGAGCAGCTGGTATTACACTGGTTATTGCTAGTGCTGATTATTACTAGTGCTAGTTATTGTTGGTGCTAATTATTTGCTCGGGTTATTACTGGTGCCATTTATTACTGCTGCTAATTACTATTGGTGGTAAATACTACCATTGCTAATCGTTAATGGCTCTATTACTGGTGCTGATTATTACTGATGCTAATTATCACTGCTCCGTCTCCCCCCACCCCCACACACAGCTTTGCAGGCTACCAGACCAGGGGGTGCACCCAGCCCGATGCTGTGCACCTCACCCTGAAGATGTTGGTCGCCCCGGCACCCGTTTTCCTCATTGTCATCGGCGTCATTCTCTTCAAACTCTACCCCATCGACGAAGAGACGAGGATGAAGAACAGAAAAGCTTTGGAGGATTTACGGTGAGTCCAGGCTCTTCCTTGCTATGGGATTCGCCCCCCAACCCGCTACCACCACCACCACCACCCCTGGCTGGAGTCTGTCCACCATAATAAACCCCCCCCCCCCAGAATTAAGCAGGGATTTCATTTACAAGTGTCCAGGTGTTTAGGTGTAAGAGGGAGAAGGGAAGGTTTTACCACAGAGTAAAAATAAAACAAAATAGAATAATAATCTTTGTCTCCGATAACAGCTCCCTTCACTTTGGAGGGAAGTCTCAAAGTGGACCAGAGAATTCACTGCGATCTGTTGGCACTGTCAGGACAACTTGGAGTTGGCATTAGGCTACACCTTCTAAAACGATTTTGTAGTCAAATTGCCACAAAAACTCCCGAGGAACCTACCACTCCAAACAGGTCCCTAAATATTCATTACACAAAACCAGTTCCACAAGTGTCTCCTTGTTCACTGAACCCTGCCAGACCCTGCTCCACCTCGCGCCGGAGCGCGAGTGAGCGAAGCCATCACTGCCGTGAGAATTAAACCAGGTACAAGGAGCCAAGTTCTGGGCTCGCTAAAAGAGCGCCCCATAGTGGTCCGGTAATGAACTGACTAAACTTCAGAAGTGAAGCCACGTGTCATAATTATTATAATAATAATATAATAATAATCCTGGCATTTGATAAAGCCCCTTATCTCGTCTTCGAGACGTCTCAAAGTGCTTCTTCACAGAATATACTGTAAAGTGAATTGACTGTATTTTTTGGGTGTCAATTGCACACAACCGTGTCCCACAAACAGTCGTGGATTGGATTGACCAAATTATTATTATTATTTTTGGGAGAGGGCGGGGGACCCATGATCTGGTCGAAGTTTTTCTTGCACAAAGTTGAAGGCAATGGATCCAAATCTTTAAACAGCAGTCAGTTACAGATATCATGACCCAAACTACATTGTATCCCCAAAGATATTATTTCCTAACAGAAATCTTATCTAATTTTGTTCTCGAAAGGGTCGACACTTTCCGCTTCCACTGTCTGTCTTCCTGGGAATCTGTTCCATATGTTTCCTCCTCTGAATTTACCCCCTGTTTAGTGCTCACCTGCCCTGGATTAATGGCTTCTTATTTTTTTTCTTTGCAGAGACAATGGGCAAGACTCTGAAACAGACTTGTATGAACTTGGCAGCAGTGTATAACAAACACCAGAATGTTTACGTGTTTTAAAATTCTGAGCTCAGGAGTTCTGGACAGTGAGCGTGAGACTGAAACAGGAATTAACATGTTCCCTGTCTCTGTGCCGTGCAGCCTCTCCTCTACAGCGACATCAATCAAGACTTGACAGATGAACCTAACTAATGCTTTTTCAGGAGTAATAATCCCATCAAAAAAAAATAATAATTTAGTCACTCAATCCATGACTGTTTGTGGGACGCTGCTGTGCGCAATTGGTTGCCGCGTTTCGCCCATAAAAACACACAGTCCACTACACTTTACAGTATATTTTGTGAAGCGCTTTGAGACGTCTCAACGACGTGATAAAACGCAAAATCAAATGCAAGTATTATTATAACTAATCATTGAATAACACAATTACTGTCAATCATTGAGCTCAGGATTGGTATACAGGGTACATTACACTAATGAAAGTAAATATTGTGTCTTTGTGTTTGATTTGTAAATTAAATGTTAATTTAGAGAAATGTACAGGTGACTTTAATGGTGTAAATTTGTATAATTTCTAATTGACTGTATATTGTAAATTAATTAGCTGTGTTAATAAAAAAAAGCTCTCCAAATTGTTTTAGGAGGCAAATGCAGGACCGTTAAATAGCTAATATCTGAGCAGAAAGATCAAGATTTAACACCAAACTTAGTTAGTGGGTTAAATGTGGAGTCCTGTAACCCGGGTTAGAGCACTCACCTCGCAAGCGAGAGGACCTGGGTTCGATTCCCAGGCCGGGCGAAACGTTAGGCAAGTTTCCTTAGTTGCCCAATGCCTCTGTATACCTCGCAGTAAGTAGGACCCGGTTGTTAGTCAATTGGGGAATTGTGTTTTAGAGGGTAATAGTCCCTCCAAAAAATTATTTTTGCAAGACAAGTGATCACTCAACCCACGGCTGTTTGTGGGGACGCTGCTGTGCACAATTGGCTGCCGCGTTTCTTTCGCCCACAGACAGCAGTCAATTCACTTTACAGTATATCCTGTGAAGCGCTGTGAGAGGTCTCAAACGACATGATCAGGCGCTGTATCAAACGCCAGGATTATTCATTGAGACCTATTGTCCCGGTGAGACAAAGCCCATCTCTGACGGATGACCGAGAGAATGAGGATCTATCTGCCCCCCCCATCCCATCCGCCTTTTCCTCACCCCCCCCACCCGCCACCCCCGCCCCCCCACCGGCTTGCAGACACGGGGGGGAAAAGTGGTCAGAAAGGACGGAGAAATCAGTGAATTATGGGGAAAATCTGCTCCCGGTGTCAGAGTAGAAGCACAAATGTACTTTTTTGTTGAGAAGTGGCACTGATTGTGAAATCTTTACAGACAAAAGTGTTGAATAGAAATACAAATGCAGCACAATCTGCTGGTGGGCAACAGCGCCATCCAGTGGAATGTGTCGGAATTACTGATACAACAACAACAACAAGATTCCATTTATAGAGCGCCTTTCACGTCGGGAGGACGTCCCAAAGCGCTGTACAGTTGGGTCAGGACCCGAGCATTGGGGGGAGATGGTCAGGGGAAGGGAAGGGAGGGAGCGAGGAGGGAGGAAATGGTCGAGGGGAGCGAAGAGAGGGGACGAGGAGGGGGTAGAGAGTCGAGAGCGGAGCTGAAGGCACGGTCAAAGAGAAAGGTCTTGAGACCGGCCTCGAAGGAGGAGAGGGAGGAAGCGGCGAAGGCACTGGGGATGGAGTTCCAGAGCCTCGGGGCTGAGAGGCTGAAGGCCACCGATGATAGGGCGGTTGGGGCGGGGGATGCGGAGCAGACCGGAGCCAGAGGGACGGAGGGTACGGGGGGTACGTGGGGGGATAGTAGGTCGGAGAGGTAGGAGGGAGCGAGGCCGTGAATGGCCTTGTAGGTGAGGATGAGGATCTTGAAATCGATCCTCTGGGGGATGGGGAGCCAGTGGAGGCGAACGAGGGCGAGGGTGAGGGCGAGGGTGGGGTGGGGGTGAGGGTGAGGGTGAGGGACAGTACACGAGCTGCAGAGTTCTGAATGACCTGCAGTGTGGAGGGAGGTGGCGGGAAGGCCGGCGAGGAGAGAGTTCCCATAGTCCAGCCTTGAGGTGATAAAGGTGTGGACCAGAGTTTCAGCTGCGTGAGGGGTGAGGTAGTGCCGTAGTCTGGCGATGTTCCGGAGGTGATGGAAGGCGGTGCCCGTTGTGGAGCGGATATGAGGGAGAAAGGACAGCTCAGGGTCGGACAGAACCCCGAGGTTCCTGATGGCTTTGAGAGGTGGAGTGTGCGGAGCTGATGCTGTCAGTGCCTGAGGTGCGGAGGCGCTGACGTGAGCCAATCAGGAGGGCCTCAGTTTTGCGCACGTTGAGCTGAAGAAAGTTGTCTCTCGTCCAGGACTCGATGTCGGACAGACAGCTGTCAGGACATCGGGGGTCGTGGAGTTGAGGGTAGAGGAGGAAAGGTAGAGTTGGGTGTCATCCGCATATATGTGGAAGTGAACCCCATGTCTGCGGATGATGTCACCACAGGGACACTGAGGAGGTGCCCAGTGACCAGTTATCAGGAGCGGTGAGTTAAGCCATGTGAATAAACACACAGATAAGTGCGGCCAGGATACTGACAGCAGCAATAATAAAAATTGGTCATTTTCAATCTACGACTGTTTGTGGGACATTGCTGTGCGCAATTGGCTGCCGCGTTCGCCCACAAATATACAGTCAATTCACTTTACAGTGTGTTCTGTGAAGCGCTTTGGGACGTCCTCCCGACGTGAAAAGCGCTATATCAAATGCAAGGATTATTATTATTATTATTTTATTATTATAGCAGCAACTGGTAACTTAAGTGGCAGTGGCAAGTTGAGCCAGGGTTGAGTTATCAGGCGTTTACTATTATTTACTTACACCGTTGACAGAATCGTAGAAATGTACATTACAATACAATTTGCACCTGAACGGCGCCGCTCGCGTGGGGAAGACAGCCCAAAATGCTCGACAACACTCTGTAGGCACTGGAGTCGAGGGGGAGAGCTGTGGGGGTGGGGGGGGGGAGTTGAGGAGAGAAAATAAAACAAACTTTCTCAGAAGCACTCCTCTCACTCTTCACGAAGCTTTCTTAAATCGACGTCCTCTCGTTCCTGACTCTCCCACCAGTGGAAAGAGTTTCTCTCTCGCCGTCTCTCTCTCCCCATCCTAACTTTGTGCATCTGCGTCAGGTCCCCCCCCACCCACTCCTCTTCTCAACCGTCTCTGCTCCAACTTCTCTAATCTCCCCTCATAATTATCATCACTCGTCCCTGCTATCATTCCCGTGAACCTTCTCCGCACCCCCTCCAAGGCCTTAACACCCTCCTGAGATGAGTTGCCCAACACTGAACGCAGTTCACCACTTGCGGTCACTAACCAATGACTTGTACAATGAGGTGTTGGTATGCAGATTGGATGGTTCATTTTTATCAAATATCTATTGATTTATTGTCTCTTGCTGCCTTCCTTGCCTGACAGTCGAACAGAGTATGTATTCTTTTCGGAAAAAAACAAGCTGTTTTAATCCGAATTAAAAGAGGACAACAATGACATGTTATTATTACAGAAGAAATAATCATTTATTTGCAAAATTCATACACATTATAAAATTCCACCTCTTAACTGAAAGCACCATCACACGCAGTAAATCATGGAATCTTAGAATCTTACAGCGCAGAAGGAGGCCATTCGGCCCATCGTAACTGTGCCAGATTTTTGAAAGAGCAACCAACTAGTCCCACTCCCCCACACTCTCACCCCAACTAGTCCCACTCCCCCACTCTCACCCCAACTAGTCCCACTCCCCCACACTCTCACCCCAACTAGTCCCACTCCCCCACTCTCACCCCAACTAGTCCCATTCCCCCACACTCACCCCAACTAGTCCCACTCCCCCACTCTCACCCCAACTAGTCCCACTCCCGCACACTCTCACCCCAACTAGTCCCACTCCCCCGCGCTCACCCCAACTAGTCCCACTCCCCCACACTCTCACCCCTAGTCCCACTCCCCCACACTCTCACCCAACTAGTCCCACTCCCCCACACTCTCACCCCAACTAGTCCCACTCCCCCACACTCTCACCCCAACTAGTCCCACTCCCCCACACTCTCACCCCAACTAGTCCCACTCCCCCACACTCTCACCCCAACTAGTCCCACTCCCCCGCTCTCACCCCAACTAGTCCCACTCCCCTGCTCTTACCCCATAGTCCTGCATATTTCAGATTAGATTTTATAGGCAACATTTTCTGAGGAAAACAGCCTCTATCAAAGGCTTCCCACAAGGAAATACAATTGCAGCCTGGGTCACTGTTTCTGTCTATCAGGAAGCATCTCTATACTGTCGCTGAGGTTGGAACTGGAGGCAGTAACTTCTGCTAGTGTCTGTATGCGTTTGGGTGGGTGTCTGTGGGTGGGTGGGCGGTGGGTGTGTGTGTGGGGGGAACAACACAATGGAGGTTTCTAATTCATTGCCCTGATCGACGGATCTTCTTTACACCGATAGCTAAACAAGGCATCTCTTCACTACGCCCCCATTTAATAGAAAGGTTGGAAAGGTTTGGATGACTATTATACTTTCCACCTCGATCTCCAAGTGCTTTTCAATAGCCTGAGCATGTCGCTCAGATCTACCACTTCATTGTAATCATTGGATCAAAAGCATAATAATAAAGCTCACGCTCTTAGAAGCCATTGAGACCCTCAAGGGCTTATGAATCCAGTGCTTTGGGGATGTTGAATCTGGGCTGTGTTCTTGCAGGAATGTTATGCTCTTATCAGCCAATCCTCTCGTGTACTAAATATACTTTACTGAAGGTTCTCCCCTCAGCAACTGGAGACCTGTGTGTGTGTGTGTGTGTATTTCGTAATAAGAAGGAACAGTTCAGAAACATCACCGTGTGTGATTTGTGTGCAGACAGGATGGTTCTCATGGCGATGTGCAATGTACAAAGACGCCTTTGATAAACAAGTGCTTGTATTTAATGAATACAGTAATAAACACTGGCATCGTCCTTCTATTGCAAACAAGTGAAACGCCATAAAAACAATTTATCTGACTTTTATCTGTACAACAGACTCCAGCACCAGAACTAACTGCAATGTAATTAGTAGCCTCAATAGAATAATAACCTTCTGTACATCACACACCATCAGTAATAAGCACTACAGTCAATTGCTCTCTATGTATATATAATATTTCATAGTTTTTTTGCTGTAAATTGGTATAAAATAATTCTGCAATCATTCCTTACACATTAGGTACCTCTGATAACAGCATAGTTTCTGAAGGTTTTATTTGACTGGCAGAATTACACTTACTGATCCTTTAACTGTTTAAATGTTTTATAGTCGGCCTGTCGTATTCAGTAGAGCTGTGCTTTACATCAAGGGGTACGTAATAACCAAATAATTGAGTTCTGTGTCAATTAGATCCCTGTACTTCATGTACAGATCACGAAGCATCTTATCTTCTTCACTCGTTTCATATTTGTGCATGTAAATTCTCACCTGGGGATAAAACAATATATCACCACACGGGCAGTGCAAGTTACCTGTAATTACCTGTTCATCTGCAGAATAACACCACCAGCAACAATAATGCTAATAATCCTGGTATTTGACACAGCCCCTTATCACATCTTCGAGACGTCTCAAAGCGCTTCACAGGATACACTGTAAAGTGAATTGACTGTATACGTTGAGGGCGATTGCGCACAGCAGCGTCCCCCAAACAGTCGTGGATCGAGTGAATTTTCAAGTGATTATTACCTTCGGAAAAGCGATCCACCCATCGACTAATAACCGGGTTCCTACAACAACAATAACTTGCACTTACATAGTGCCCTTCTCGTGGGGTAGCATCCTGGAGCTACTTGCTGCTGGGTAAACGAAGGTGTGTGGTGGAGTAAAGAAACTTGCCTAATGTTTCGCCCTGACCTGCCTGGGAATCAAACCCGGATACTCTAGCTTTGTGAGGCGAGTGTCTAACCACTGAGCTACAGGCATCCACCCCAGAAAAACAACCGTGTACCTTACCTTAAGAGTGCGGCAGTTGGACTTCCCCTCCTGCCGATACTGTAGCATTGTCTCGATAAACCTGATGCTGAGGAAAGCCCAGATTTTCATGTAGTGCAGTCGGTCGCACATCAACACCAGTTGCAGTAATTCATCATCGATCCGTTCGTGGCTGTTGTTGAACTCCAAAGTCAGCTTCTGGCAAAACAAAACCTGTCTGGTTGAGGAGGGCAGAATGTCCAACCCAACGAGAGATTAACTGCTATTAACTCTGGCGTCTGAGTCAGAAGGTGGGGCTTCAAGCAGCACTTTGGCACGATTACAGTCTGGACTGACGCTCCAGTGTCGTGCTGGGTGGGGGGAGGGGAAGCTGTATTGTATTGAGGTACCGTCTGTCAGAAGAGATGTTCAAACTAAAGTCCCGTCTTCCACTGGACCTTAAATTCCCCTTTAAGGCAGGATTGGAAAAGAGAAGAGAGTTTCTCCTGGTGTCCTAGCCAACAATTCACCAAATAAGATTGGTCATTCACTCAGTGACTGGTTGCGAGACACTGCTGTGTGCAAATGGGTTGCCTTGTTTGGGTACAAGATACACAGTCACTACCCTTTACAGTCAATCCTGTGAGACGCTTTGAGACTGATTCCCAACGACTCTGAGCCTGGGACTTAGACTCCATTACGTGTTGCTTTGTTGGAGCTGCCAGCCTTTGGATGAGACATTAAACCTATTGACACAATGTGAAATGTGGCTTTAAGCCGGTGGTGTTGGAGTGCCTGAGGTAGGATACACACTCAATAATGTGTTAATAATAACCTTGACGTTTACCGCAAAGCTGTGTGTTTGTAAAGTTGCATTCCTTTACTCACTTCCTTTACTCTGTATGTGGCTTTCACTGTCGAAGCTGTTGTTGGAAGTGTGTGCGCGCGGTTGCCATTTCTACCCACAAATACACCGTCACTATACCTTACAGGAAAACCCTGCAAAGCGGTTTGAGACAGCTCGAAAGGTATCTCCTTTGTGAGTGGTTTGGCAGTTAGTCTGATTGCAGGTGCGGCGACAGATAAGATTGTGAGGGTAACTTCTTATCTGGCCGCACATTCCTGGGTCACGGTGTCACTCTTGCTCACGTACCTGTAGTGTGTTCTTGTAGTGTGGAATCAGATCGACCAGGGTGGGTTTCATCGTCCAGTCCGGGTCACTGAAGTAACAGCTCCTGAAATTGAGACTCCGCACCGGGATCTCAGGGACCAGAATCCGAGTTAATCGATCGTTCCTCATCACCAGGTCAAAGTAAAAGTTCACCTTCAGGCTGGTGGCCCGTTTAGCCAGGAGAGACCAGGATAGCCCCCAAATCACCTGGCTGTGAGGGTCGTGGATGTGGCATTTGATGTTCATGATCCTCAGGGTCTGTGAGCAGCTGTCAGACAGGGTGTCAAGGAGGTCGTCTGAGATACAGTTGTAGTTGAGCGAGAGGCTGGTCAGGACACAGAAACTGCGCATGATCTTGGGGAAGGTGGGGTTGGCGTAGATGGCCAGGTGGTGGCTGAAGAAGTCCTCGATGTTCAGCTCGGAGATGGAGCTCCTTTGCCTCAGGTGGACCAAGGAGTTGAGGATGGAGAAGCCCTGCTCCATACCCAGCCTCGCTCCGCGGAGGTTGAAGGACTGGAGGTGTTTGCACTCGCGGCGGAGAAAAAAGTTCAGACTCTTTAACAGAAAAGAGAGAGCGTCTGATTTTACATAAACAACAACAACAACAATAACTTGCCTTTATACAGCGCCCCTCACCCAGGGCACTTTACAGTGTATCCCGTGAAGCGCTTTGAGACGTCTCAAAGACGTGATAAGACGCTGTGTCAAATGCCAGGATTATTATTATTATAATAAAGTTTACGAGGGGTCAGTATATAAAGGTGTGCTGTACTACAGACAGTCACAATTGTTTCCTCGCAAATTCACTCACTTTCTCAGAAAGAGGAAGTGAGAGAATTGCTCTATGTTTCAAGCTCATGAACCGATTGAGAAGAGTCTGCTTAGATTTTAGACGTGTACTATTATTACTATCATTATTACTATTATTGTTGTTATTATTACTATTGATATTCCAATAATTATTACCTTGAGGAAGGCATTCCTCACAGACGAGCTCCACACCAGACGGTCCAGCTCCAGGTGTTGGATGGTGAAGGACTTGAGCCGGTTGTTCTCGTTGCCTAAACGAGCCAGGAAGCTCCTCATGGTGATCTGGAAGCGCCTGGTCAGCAGGGAATTGTAGGGGTTCATGAACTTGATCTCGCAGTTGACCAGGTACCGGCCAAACTTCTTGGCGTACCAGATGGCGGACTCGTACTCTGCCCGGCGGTACTTGGAGGGTCTGCCACAGAAGGTGAATGTCCTGGATCTCCAGAGAGCTGGAGAATGCATGACGTGGTACCAGCATTTACACACCATCGCCGCTCGCACCCGGTCCTGATCTCCGAGCCAGCGGAACACCTGCCTCAATGACACCTCTGGCAGCTCGCTCCAGTTACCCCCATCTGTACACTGGCTGTAGGACACCTCCATGTCCCTCTCAGTCACAGTGAATACTGTTGTCCATCCACCAGGAGACAAACCACAACAAGTTCAAGGTTAAATGAAATTCAGGTGCCGATCAGAAACAGTTACAATTGATTGAGACTGAGAAAACTATTATGTTATATTAATAATAATGATAATTGGATCACGCAATCCACGACTGTTTGTGGGAACACTGCTGTGCCCAATTGGCTTCCACGTTTCGCCCACAAAATATTACAGTCACTACACTTTACAGTATGTTCTGTGAAACGCTTTGAGACGTCTCGAAGATGTGATAAGGGGCTATATCAAATGCACGGATTATTATTATATTATACATGTACTTTACTGAAGTTATTAATTGCTTCACTTTGGTAAAGAAGCAGAACTTAGTAAAGGATTAAAACCCAAATATCTAACACACCAGAGGGCGATGAGAATTAGCTGAATTTCAGGTCTTTTACAGTGATTATAACCATATTTTTGGCAACAAGCCTTAGGTAATGCTTAAAGAGCCGCAATCAATAATTATCAACCGCAATCGTCAACAGTCTTGAGAATTTGAGAATCTGCTGAGTCAAAGCAGATTTATTGGCATATTTATATTTATTTATTGTCATTAACTCCGAGCCGCGGGTGGGGGAGAGGAGGAGGTGGCCTTAAGCACGGTCGAACAGTAAAGTCTTCAGGCGGCACTTGAAAGTGGGGAGAGGGGACAAGGCGGAGGGATTGAGGGAGAGCGTTCCAGAGTTTCAGGGCGTAGTGGCTGAAAGCGCGAACTCCGATGGTGGGGCCGAGGGAGCGAGGGATGAGCAGGAGGACGGTGCCAGTCGAGCGGAGGAGTCGGGTGGTGGATTGGGGAGTGAGGAGGCCGGGGAGGGAGGAAGGGAGGGAGGTGCCAGAGAGTGAAGGGATTTGACCACGAGAGTGAGAGGATCTTGAAGTTGATCCGGTCAGTGATGGGCAGCCAGTGAAGCCTGGGCCAGAGCTGGTGAGACGTAGGGACAGAGTTTGGTCCGGGTCAGTAATGCGGGCGGCAGTGTAGTGTATTGATCAGAATTAGTGCCGTAACTTACCGGCTTAGGATAGCAGTTATGCATCAATAGCGACTAGTCACATGGCACAGCGGGTCACAGAAGGATCACTTATTGACCTGAAACCGGTCGGATATCAGGAGAGTCTTCACAGGGGCTGTTTTAAGATGGGAATCGCTAATCAATCGTGTCAGTCAGTCAGTCAGTCAATCAATCAGTCTCCCTTTCATCAGATATTGTGGCCGCCCAGAAACACAGGTTTGGCTGTCGATCAAAATCCCTTTCGCTGTGAATCGGGTTTCTCTCCTGGGTTACCATGAAAACTAATCAAGCAAAGTCTTTCTCGGTGTTGCCTGGTCATAGCAACCACTGTGACCTCACACTCTGATTGTTGCATTTCAATGTGTGTCGGCTTTCATGAATCCCTCGGCTGACGTTACCGACGTGACAAGGCGTCAGTATCAGTCTCGCACAGAAACCTGAAATATCAGTCCTGTGTTGCTGAGTTTCCAAGCGACAATCTCCTCAGGACTGTGGGCGAGGAAGATCAAAGGGCAACGAGTTGACTGAAACAACCACAGGGTCTCTCACAGGTTCCACACCCAACGGGTATGATTTTTGGGAAATTCCCCCAAATAACCCCGAGTTCACCCCGAAAACACGAGCCAGTTACAAAAATTGCTGCAAGGTATGCAGAGAGTGAGAGTCCAATAACTGAGGTGGTTATTAACCTACTTCATGATAAGTGTCTCTCTTGGCCTCACCCTCTCTTTTACCCTTAAAAGGATTTCCTAGTTCAAGTTCCTGTCAGTACATGTGTAAAACGACAGCATTTTATCACAGTGGAACGTTTGAGGAGAGAAGTGACATGGTAAGCACTCAGTTACTTTGCACGCATTCTGACCACTCTGCAAAGAGTTTATTACTAGTTTCCTTTTAACTCAGCTGCTCCCGTCGGCTTTAACGGGTTCTAAAAGTTATTTTCACTGTACCTCATTCTGTTTTGTTTCGTTGGTGAAAATGCCTCAAACTTATTGAGTGACAAAAGTTTGGGAATGGAAGAAGAGAGTTGGGAGACCGAAGAGCAGGGAATAGAAAAGAGAATATTTTTTTCACATCATTGGAACTTGGGTTTGTGGTGATTTTATTTGCTGAGATGTTCGTTGTACAGTGAACTTCCTGAATAATCGCTTATTTGAAAAGTACTGTAGCTTTGTGGTTAGAGCACTCGCTCGCAAGTGAGAAGACTTGGGTTTGATTCTTGAGCAGAGCAAAACGTTGGGTAAGTTTCTTTTAATCCACACACGCCTCTGTTTACCTAAGTAGGAACCAGGTTGTTAGTTGATAAGCAGATTGTTTTTCAGAGGATAATAGTCCATTAAAAAAACATTTGGTCTCTCAATCCACAACTGTTTGTGGGTCACTGCTGAAACAATTGTTTCGTCGCAGATCCACTCGCTTTCTCAGAAAGAGGACGATTGAGAAGAGTCTGCTTAGATTTTAGATGTTGGGACGCTTATTTAGTCAAAGGTCTTTTGCGGGGACAGTGTCTCAGTGCGCTTAGCTGGGGGGAAAAGGGTAGGTGACCATAAGCACGATCGAAGAGGAAGAAACACCGGCTTTTTTCCCACTGTAACAAATGCAAGGATTGTTATTATATTTATTTTTATATTTTCAATCACAATCCTACATTTCAAGGCAAGTGGTTTCACAGGCTAAGACCGGGTGGAATTTCAGCTTGCAATGCCCTAAGCGCTCTGAGACGCTACACTGCATGGAGGGCACTGTATTTCTTGTTGTTGTTGTTGAATGCTTTGTGTTGGGAGCACAGCCACTCAGGAAACTGTCTTCAGGACGAATGTCCAACAAGTACATTTATGAGTGTCTTTAATGTTTCTATTTTACAGGATATAGAAAATGTGGGTTTTTAACTGCCTTTTCGTTGTGTTGGGACAAATCCTAGTTACTGGTAAGTGTTTAATATTTTCATAATTTTGATCTATTAGTTCATTAGATTGTGTTTGATAAAGCACCTTTTATGTCTTTGTGTGGAGTCCTGTAGCTCAGTGGTTAGAGCACTGGCTTCGCAAGCGGGAGACCTGGGTTCGATTCCCGGGGCAAGGCGAAATGTTGGGCAAGCTTCCTTACTCCACACGCCTCTGTTTGCCTAGGAATAAGTAGGAACCCGGTTGTTAGTTGATTGACGGATCGTTTCTCCGGGGTTAATAAATACTTAAAAAAAAATTTGGTCACTCAATTCACGGCTGTTTGTGGGGACACTACTGTGCGCAATTGGCTGCCGCGTTTCGCCCACAAATATACAGTCAATTCACTTTACAGTACATTCTGTGAAGAGCTTTGAGACGTCTTGAAGTCATGATAAGGCGCTGTATCAAATGCCAGGATTATTCTAATTATTACTACTATCTCTTAATGTATTGTGTTTCTGTATGTGCAGTTGGCTTGGAGGTCAGAGTCTCAAAAATGCCACAGACAATTATCCGAGGAGAAACCGCATTGCTGCAGTGTGCGTTCAACGTGACTGGCGATGAACCTCTCGATCACATCACAATCCAATGGCTGCACATGGGGAGCAATGCTTTGGTCCACAGTTATTACTACGGATCAGACCAACTCAAACTGCAGAGCGCCCAGTATTCGGGGAGAACGAGTCTGTTTCCGGACCAGTTTAAACACGGAAACATTTCCCTAAAACTCCAAGGAGTGAGGCCAAGCGACGCTGGACAATACAAGTGTCACGTCAGTACTCTCATGGAAAGTGACGAAGGAACTCTCTCAGTCCAATTTGCTGGTAGATAAATGTCTTTTTTCTTCTCGTAAAAATGTATCCCTTCCCTCGCTCCCTCCCTCCCTCCTGCCCTCCTTCGAAAGCCCCCGTGTAAAGCAGTGATCTAGTTCCCTGGGTCCCACATGTCGGCCGGGTGTCTGACGCACGTGGAAACCCATCACCGTGCTTCAGTCTCCAAACCCAACTGAGAATTCCAGGCCTCCCACCTGCACACGGAAACTCCCAGAGATAGATTGTCGGAAGCCCTGTAATCAGTTGAAGTGGGGAATGGTGATCACTAACCCACTAACTCGATATATCAGCCCAAACGATGCCACAGTTAATGAGCCAACATTACAAACACATTTACTGTCACGAGCTTCCTCCCGGAGGCTGACACGGCTTTAACAAACAATTTATTTCCAACAGCTTATTACACGGAGCCAAATCTGATGATCAGGCACAATCCACCCAGCATCATTTTGAGCTTCGAGTCTGAAGGCTACCCAAAGGCTGATGTGCTGTGGTACAGCGGGGAAGAGAAGCTTGAGCCTGTTTTGTCTGAAACTGTTTACCAACAAACCACCGACAATCTGTACTTACTGAAGAGTATCATGGCAAGAAACAATACAAGCCTCAGTGAAAAGTATACCTTTGTGTTAAGGAATGATGCAGTCAAGCAAACTATCCTTAGACCAGTCCACCTCCTTGGCATAGGTAAAGCACTTAATTTCATTTATTTAGGGGTCATTGGATAGATTAAGAGGAGACACTGTGGGTGATTTGAATCCTCCCTATTTTATAATCCCTGACTGTCCAGCGCTTTGGGACGTACTATAAAATGAATTGACTGGGTATTTTGTGGGCGAAAATGTAATTGTTCGTTGCCATTAACATTTAACTTTACAATATTGGACACTCCCTCACCGTAACTGGTCAAGGAGTTGGTCAGTATTGTTTGTGCGATTGTGTTAGACTGTCTCTCTGCCCATAAGAAAACAAAGAATAATTGCTGAATTAGAAACCTTGGGGGGGGGTAGTGTTAAACCAGATAATCTTTAGCCATTGAGGCAGCTCAGTAATTTCCTTCAGTTTACAAAGCTTCATTCTTATGATGCATTGAATGGATTATTTTCTTACCACTTCCTTTCATTTCTGTTTTCAGCATATCCTCTTCAGAACCAAGAGGCTTCCAGCCTATATGTGGTTATCATGGCTGTCTCTCTGATTGCACTGGTTGCACTGTTGGTGATAATTGCCCTCAATATAATGTTAAGCAGAAGGAGAAACCTTCAAGATTCCCAGAGGCTCAAAGAAAGAATGGACGTTATCAATGGAATATTGTTGTCTCAGTAGCTTAAGGAACCAGTCAAGTCCAAGTGATCTGTGGTCTGAAATCAATTTGATTTCAACCAACAACAAGTGAGGGGAGATGGGGGTGGGAGGGTGACCAAAGGCATGGTCAAAGAGATGTCTCGACAGGCCATGAAGGAGATAAAGGGGCTCCTGGATGGAGTTCCATAGGGTGGGAGCAGAAAAGGTGATGGCCTGACTGCTGATGGTGCGGAGGGCAAGGCTGGGGATGTGGAGCAGGCCGGAGCCCGCTGATCGGAGGGAGCGGGCAGGTTGGTAGGTTGCAGAGGAAGGGAGGAGCAAAGACTGGAGGGTTTTAAACAGGACACTCGCAGGTGCTTCAATGGACCTCAGTGCCTCATAGTTAAATAGCCTGTCATGGCCACGAGATACAAGACATGCATACGGGAAAAAATACTAGTGGACACTAGTGCCTGTGAAATCTGTGTGGAACCATTTATCGTATTAAAATATAATTCATTTTATGATCAATCTGTGGATTTGTTTTATTTTGGGAAGTACGGTATTCTAACTGTGTACCATATGTGGATTCCTGGAGCTCAGTAGTTAGAGCGCTTCCCAGAGAGCCTGGGTTCAATCCCGAAATGTTAGGCAAGTTTCCTTACTCCACACGCCTGTTTACCCAGCAGTAAGTAGGAACCTGCTTTTTGTCAACTGGCAGATGGCTTTTCCAGGGGTAATAATCCCTTCAAAAATAAAATAAATTAAAAAATAATGTGGTCACTCAATCCACGACTGTTTGCGGGACACTGCTGTGCACAATTGGCTGCTGCTCGTCTCCCACAAAATGTACAGTCAATTGACTTTACAGTATATTCTGTGAAGCGCTTTGAGACGTCTGGAGGACACTATCAAATACAAGCATTATTATTATGATTATTATAAAGGTTTTTCTGTTTGGCTCCACCAGAGGGAGACTGATTCCCCCCTTTATTTCCCACAGTTGTTGTTCTCCATTTATTTGCAAAGTTGTCTTAACCTTTCCAGTCCAGCTGGAGGTGTGTGTGAATGCATGGATTATTATTATCATTGCTACGACGTCACTTTAGGAGAGCGTTTCGATCCAGTGACTGTGCCATTGCAAAAACTCGCAAAACAAGTAAGATTACAATCCGAGTGAATCCCATGGCATTTTTCAAGCAGAGAAGAAAAGGCGAACGAACGTTTGAGCGTTTGGTGGAGTTGACAGAAGGGAAGTCAACACTTGTACCTGACAGAAAAGGAAGTCAACACGGGCGGTGTCTCAGAGCACACGAACACCAGGCGGCATTTGAAGCAACAGTGAACAATGTTATGAAGATATGGGGAGGAGGAGGAGGAGGCAAAAATCGCTCCAATGTGCAAAGTATTCTTCTCAGTGCGTGTCCCGTATCAGGTCTCTATCCGCAGGTTTGAGGAGAAACACAAAATGTAATAAGGGTGTCAAACCCCATTGGAATAACCCGAAACAACCCGGGAATTTGTTTTTAAATTACTTTGTTTAAAAAAAATGATAGGAACAAGCTGAGTTGAGGCCCCTTAACTTCCACAAAGCACTCTGGAAAGTAAAATGTCTACGTACGTGGTTTTATTGCTAATATTTGTGCCATACCGACGTGAAAAACAATCCATATGGTACACCCTTCTTTCTAACATGCTTTAATGGTAATAAGAAAAGTCAATGCAAATCTACAATACTGCTCACAAAAACTACTGTTATATTGTCTGCTTTAGTCCAGAGATGCTGCTATACATATATATATATTGAGAGAGAGAGAAAGAGAGCGAGCAAAGTCAATGCAGTTCAAAAGAATATTGTTTTATCTACTGGTCACAAATCAACTTAGTGTGAAAACTAATTGGCACTTATCCAATAATAAAACGTGTGCTGTGCTGTGCTGGACAAACAACTTCAGATTCACCCGCAACTCCCTCCTCCTTAAGGAGACGGCACATTTCCACATGAAAATCAATATCGTCTATTTCTTTAAAGGCGTTTGTCCAACAGTCACTGAAACGGTGACGTGTCGTGAGCCCTGGACATCAATTCCACCGCACTCGACCCTTTGCCAACCAACGCCTCCAAGTCAACATTGGCTGATGGTTGAAAATATCTTTAGTAATTGGGGGGGTGGGGAAAGAGAGAAGAGTGTAATCTACTCATCATACACAGCGCTACTGTATTCACAAGATTAATTTACGTTTCAAAAGCAGGCTCTACCTTCTGGGAATTTGGTTGTTCAACCAAAGCAACCCCATAGACCTCAAAGCCACGGATACTTTGTGAAGCTTTCCGAATGTTCTGTCCGGAGTCGTTGTCCCGTAACTTAGCACTAAAGTCGCTTTTGTGCAAACTGAGCGTTCTCGTGGCAACAGGGCTTCGAACAATTTAAATCGAAACCAACGTATTTGTTGGGGAGATTTGGCAGGTCTGTCAATTACTTCACTAAAGTACAAGTGTAAAAGCCGCTGAAGGCAAAAAACTGATCCATAGTTGGTGGCAAAAAAATTGGCGGAAGTGACCCTATTATCTATATTAGTTCCTGATTATTTTTCTTGTGTGTGTGCACACGTGTGTGCATCTGTGTGTGTGTGTGTCTCCCTGTGTGTGTGTCTCCCTGTGTGTGTGTCCCGTGTGTGTATCTCCCTGTGTGTGTTATAGTTTATAAAGAAATCAAGTGTTTTAATCCACTGATCGGTAGGAATGTAAAACCAGCTTCTTCTCTTTCTCTAAACTCACTTGGTGGCTGCCCTGGCGACAGATCATAGCATGCGGGACACAGCCAGCGTCAGGAAGTCCTCGTAGCTGACCCGGATGTTTCCGGAACGGCTGGTGTCCTTCTCCCTGAAGGCTTCGCTCGTGCTCTGCAGCTGGGTGCAGATGTGGATGAAGCTGTCCAGCTGGACAGTGGGCTGGGTGGGTCTCTGGGCAAACCGGGACACGAGAAACTGGGTGAACTGTGGGCTGAGGTTATACCCCATCTGAGAGAGCGCTGGGATGAAAAGGAAACGGAGAGAAAGCCACATTAGATACAACAAAGGCGTTCCCAAGCCCCTTGGTTTATCTGCCTTACCCCCCACCCCAAGAAATTCTCCATTTCACCAGTTTTCACACACACCCCATCCTCCTTCCACCCTCTCCTGACCCCAACTCCCAGCTCGGGTCTGAACCCCCTGATTATCCAGGGCCCTGGGAGTCTTTCCGACGTGAAGGGCGCATTACAACTGTAATTTGTTGTTGTTTAAAGCCTCACATTTGCTTACACTGAACTGTATCCGCCACACTTCTGCCCATTCACCTTATAGCCTAATTAAGATGTGGCAACAATCCAATTAAATATATAATAACATTACGAAGAAAATGATAAGTGCGGTGGGATTAGACAGAATAAATAGCCGAATCTAAATCATGCTATTTTGCGTAATGATACATAAGAACATAAGAATTAGGAGCAGGAGTCGGCCATTCGGCCCCTCGAGCCTGTGCCCCGCCATTCAATAAGATCATGGCTGATCTTCTAACCTAACTCTAATTACCTGCCCATGTTGACTCTGCCTAATCTTGTTATGGTCTTCCAGGAATCCCATAACAACATCTTTAATTAAGGACTAAAGAATTTTCCCTCCCACTGATATCAGACTAACTGGTCTATAGTTCCCCATCTTTTCTCTCCCACCCTTCTTAAATAGTAGTGTCACGTTTGCAATCTTCCAATCAATGGGAACCGTTCTGGAATCCAGAGAATTTTGGAAGGTCAAAGACAACCCATCCACTATTTCAGTAGCCACTCTTTTAAAACCCGAGGATGTAGGCCATCAGGTCCAGGGGATTTATCAGTCTTAAGACCTGACAATTTACCTAAAACCATTTCTTTATTAATATTAATTCTCCCAAGTTGCTCGCTAACATTGTCTTCTTGGTTCCCCTCTATTCTTGGTAGGTTTTACCCTCGACCCCATTGTGTGGATCCCTGGTAAAGTAACTCAAGTCTCTGCTTCACCCAAGAAATGTTGAGTTAAGATCTTAGTTACACATACTGTTTGCCATATAAACACATCAACATGAAGGACTGGAACAAGCTGAGTCAAGCCATCCTCCCGTCCTCACCTTGCTGTAGTTCTTGAGCGTTTATACTCCCCGATCGATCTCGGTCAAACTGCTGGAACATGTTACGCCACTGCTGCAGGAATCTCCACAGCGCAGAAAACCCATACACGTCGATCTTACCCATTTTGTTTTTATCAAACATGTCTGGAAAGGGGGGAAAACACACATTTTCCAATCAGGCACCCAAACTATGGTCACAATGCATTCATTTTTTTTCGTAGGAAGTACAAAAGATTTTTTTTCCCGATGTTGTGCTATTTAATATCTTATACAGTCACTGTGCCTGGGACGTGAACTTGCAATAAACTGGCAAACTGAACCTTTCGCCAAGCAAGGTTGTATTGGGTTGTATTGTATTATTCTATTAGGCTCTCACACGATAGGTTTAACTCAATCACAGTAGGTGCCAAACTCACTGATCATCAGGTAGCAGGTCTCATCATTGAATGTTGACCAGTTGGTGTTGACAAGCGCCTGTTTCAGCTCTTTCATGGAGATGTATCCGCTGGAATCCGCGTCCACCGAGTGGAACCAGGAATAGGCTTCAGGGTCCACACCTGCTGGGACACCAACTGCACCAGGGCCACGCATGGTCAGTGGAACACGATAATAATAATCCTTGCATTTGATATAGCGCCTTATCAGGTCTTCGAGATGTCTCAAAGCTTCACAGGATATACACGTGTGGAAAGACCCTATTTATCTCTGCTAACAAAACCCTGTCAGACTTTCAAAAAGTCTCTATCAGGTCGCCTCTCTCAAACGCCAGAGAGAGAGAGAAAAAAGCTCGAACCTGTCCACTCTTTGGAAGAGATATTTTACGACACAGCTTTTGGGCTCATCCCTTGGGTATTAAACAATGGCTTTGCTCTGCAACACCATTCGGATTCTAATGTTGCTATTGTGCGGATATAAAGGCAAACTCGCTGTAATGTTATCAAGTTGCAGTGCTTGACAAATGATATTCAAAAGGTGCAACAGTCCCTGAAAAGGTTTCTTCTCCTGTTGCAATGTTTACACACTTGTAAATGTGATTGTGTTACTGAGTGCCTGATATTTGTGTTCGCCAACATGCCTCGACACAGATACATACACAGTCAACTGAATTTCTGTGAAGCGTCTCAATGATGTGATAAGGCGCTGTATCGAATGCAAGGATTTATATATATATATGTATATATGGCACAGGTAGGTCTCAGGCAGAGCACAAGAGCAGGTTGGCAAGAGCCAAGGCTTGGAGGGGGCGAGACTGGTGGGCAGAGTGTGGGTTGGGGCTGAAATCGAGCCACATTCCAGGACGCACTCTCTCCCGACACTTACCAGCTGAAGGGGCCCCTGATGCGTATGGTCCTTGCTGTGGAATCCCATACGTCTGTCCTCCGTAGGGACCTCCTGGTGCTGAGCCTGCGTAGGATCTCGCTGAAGACGCACTTCCATACGGGGCCCCTGGAGCCGAGGCCCCGTAGTGACCGCCTTGAGCAGAGGCTGCAAAGTGCCCGGGCGGAGCTGTGCGGTACGGTGCCCCCGGGGCCTGGTTGCCATATTGCCCCCCTGCTGTTCCGTAAGGACCACTCGCCTGTTGGCCTCCATACTGGCTCCCCAAAGCCGGCCCTCCATACTGACCTCCGGCCTGCGGGCCCCCGTAATGCCCCCCGGCCTGGGGGGGTCTGGGGAAGTAGCCCCCAGGCGGAGCTCCCGGTGCGGGGCCTGACGCCCCAGGGAAGTTCTGAGATGAGAGGGACATAGTCAGCAAAACCGTGGGTTTAGTCACAAGCGACCGGAACCGCGACCTAAACCGCCCCCCACCCCCCTCCCCCACCGCCCCCCCACAGCTCGATCACGAAAGATCAAGTCAACGCACAGCAACAGACGACGATAACAAGAGCGAGTCAGTTCCTGTTCGGGCCTTACACACCACCACAACCCGTCTGAAAACACACCGTGTGGCCAACGACTAATTAAAGTCTACCGTCAAATCGACGGACTGAGCCCAGGTGCCGCGCCTGACTGGACGTCCAGCTAACCGGCTCGCTGCGTGTCCGGTTCTCTCCCCCGCCCCGCCCCACCCCGCCCCGCCACCCGAGAAACCAGCAACACGCCATCCCAAAAAGGGAGGGGTGGGGGGGTTCCTAATCGGTGAGGCTTCCTGATGCCAGAGTTTCTGCTTCCTCAGATCCTAAGACAAGAAGCTCCCTCTCTCTGCCTGTTCTTATTCCCCCACCTCTTTTTTTTTGCCCCCCCCACACATCTACCTCCTGACATTTACCAGGAGGGAATATCACACTCAGGCACTTCATTGGGGCTCAGGGAATGTTAGGGAGAGAGGGAGACAGACACACACACACACACACAGGTCACTTGGCCTCCCTCTAAGCCTCTCACTTCAACCCCATTCATCACTGAGCCCCCCCCACCCCCACCCCCAGGGTGAGGCAGTGCTGGTACAGTTACAGACACACTCTCCATTTCCATTCTCCCTCCCTCCCTCCTCTCTCCCACACTCCCTCCTCTTCCTCTCTCCCTCCTCCTCCTCCTCTCTCCCACACTCCCTCCTCTTCCTCTCTCCCTCCTCCTCCTCCTCCTCTCTCCCACACTCCCTCCTCTTCCTCTCTCCCCCTCCTCCCCTCCTCCCACACTCCCTCCCTCCCTCCCCTCCCCTCCCCTCTCTCCCCCCCCCCTCCCCCCTCCTCCTCGCTCCCACACTCACTCCCTCCCTCTTCCTCTCTCCCCCCTCTCTCTCCCACCCTTCCCCCCTCTCTCCCCCACACTCACTCCCCCTCCTCCCCCCCCCTCCCCACACTCACTCCCCCTCTCCTCCCTCCCCCCTCTCCCCACACTCACTCCCCCTCTCCTCCCTTCCCCCCTCTCTCCCCCCCCCTCTCTCCTCCCTTCCCCCTCTCTCCCCCCCACTCACTCCCCCCCTTCCCCCTCTCTCTCCCACTCACTCTCTCTCTCCCCCCCCTCTCTCCCCCTTCCCCCTCTCTCCCCCACTCTCACTCCCCCTCTCTCCCCCTTCCCCCCTCTCTCCCCCACACTCATCCCCCTCTCTCCCCCTTCCCCCCTCTCTCCCCCACACTCACTCCCCCTCTCTCTCCCCCCCTCTCCCCCCCCCTCTCTACCCCACACTCACTCCCCCTCTCTCTCCCCCTTCCCCCCTCTCCCTCCCCCTCTCTACCCCACACTCACTCCCCCCTCTCTCCCCCTTCCCCCCTCTCTCCCCCACACTCACTCCCCCTCTCCCCTTCCCCCTTCTCCCCCCTTCCCCCTCTCCCCCCTTCCCCCCTCTCTACCCCACACTCACTCCCCCCCTCTCTCCCCCACACTCACAGAGCCATAAGGGTAAGTGGCCATGTTTCCCGGTGTGACTCCGAGGCGCACGCGCACAGCCGCCGCCGCTCCCCATTGGCCGCCGCCGCCACTCACTGTTACATTTTCCGATCGCCGCGGCTCCTGATTGGCTGCAGCGCTGTCAATCACAGCGACCGCTCGGGGCGTGTCCCGCCCTCTGCACTGTGTCTCTGTCTGTCTGTGTCTGACTGTCTGTCTGTCTCTGTCTGTCTCTCTGTGTCTGTCTCTGTCTGTCTGTCTCTGTCTCTCCCTCTCTGTCTGTCTCTGTCTCTCTCTGTGTCTGTCTCTGTCTCTCCCTCTCTGTCTGTCTCTCCCTCTGTCTGTCTCTGTCTCTCTCTGTGTCTGTCTCTGTCTCTCCCTCTCTGTCTGTCTCTCCCTCTCTGTCTGTCTCTCCCTCTTTCTGTCTCTCTGTGTGTCTGTCTCTGTCTCTCTGTGTGTCTGTCTCTGTCTCTCTGTGTGTCTGTCTCTGTCTCTCTGTGTGTCTCTGTCTGTCTCTCCCTCTCTGTCTGTCTCTCCCTCTGTCTGTCTCTGTCTCTCCCTCTCTGTCTGTCTCTCCCTCTGTCTGTCTCTGTCTCTCCCTCAGTCTGTCTCTGTCTGGCTGTTTGTGAGCAGATAATACTAATAATTCTGGCATTTGATGCAGCGCCTTATCACGTCTTTGAGGCGTCTCAAAGCGCTTCACAGATGATACTGTAAAAGTGTAACGACTATGTTTTGTGGGTGAACCGCAGCAGCCAATTGCGCACAGCAGCGTCCCCACAAACAGCCGTGGGTTGAAGAGACCAAACCATCATTTTTATATGTTTATTTTTTAGAAATGATTATTACCCCCTGGAAATGCGATCTGCCAATCGACTAATAACCGGGTTCCTATTTACTGCTGGTAAACAGGTGTGTGGAATAAGGAAACTCGCCGAACGTTTCGTCCCACCCAGGAATTCCTTAAGTAAATAAAGAAATAGAATAGCTTTTATAAATAAGTAAGTAAATAAATAAATAGGTCACTCAATCCACGGCTGTTTGTGGGGACGCTGCTGTGCGCAATTGCCTGCTGCGTTCCCACAAAATATCGGTCAATCCCCTTTACAGTATATTCTGTGAAGCGCTTTGAGACGTCTCAACCATGTGATAGGGCGCCGGATCAAATGCGAAGATTATTATTATTATATTGCACATGACTCTGATGTCAGAGGACCATTTTACATCTGCAGCAGCATTTGTAGACTATCAATCAGGTGTGACCAGCCAGTAGGTGCCACTATTGGTTTTTCCACTTGTATTGAGCAGGAACCTAACAGCTTTTAAATTGATGGCTGTAACGTGTGTATGTTGTGCTTGAGATCCTTTTATTCCCAAATAATATATATTCCCCAAATATAACTACTGTGTATTAAACTACTGTATTTATCATCCACTTTATTATATATGTGCAGATAACTTACACAAGCCAATATACTGTACATCAAATATAAGGCTTATTTTTATTGTATCTTTGGTCGGGGGTGGGGGGGGGGAGAGACAAGGGCGCGAGTCGAGCTACACTCTGACTTATCCACGGAGCTGGTACAGCGATTCGATGTCTTGTTTGACCCCCAAATATCCTTCAGTCCTTGAATCCAGAGCTCTTCACTCGCACTCCTTTCCCTCAGCTCCGCAATATCACCTGCCACCGTCACTGCCTCTCTCCCCCCAGACTGCTGACTCTCACCTCCAGGAACAATTAATCCAAGGCCTAGAATGCTGGACTCTGAGCTCAGCTCCACCCTGCACCATTTTACAGAAGCGCACTGTGAATGCCTTGGCACCTTGACAAACAACCTTCATGAGCGAAGGTGCATAAAAGCAGACATATTGGAGCTATCCTGCGTGAAGGGCGCTATATCAATGCAACTTTTTTTTTGGTAATCTCAGCCACTAAACTGAGTAATAAACAAGTTTAATGATGGATTAATAACCTATACTGTAAAAAACAGTTGCGGGCTTTGAAATCACGAAAGGAACATTGACCCTGTACATTTCTTGTTTACTTACTGCTTTGTCCTTCACCTATTTTAAACCATACCTGTGTGTTGTGTGTTTGAGTACGCAACAACATACACACATTTCTGGAGCCGTGGTTTCGGTTCAGTGCTGTAGTAATGCAGCAAACTTTGAACATTGTGTCTCTCGTTGCAGTGAATAGAGGAAATTCCATTTGGCGTGCACAAACCTCAATTGAAACAGTCAGTCAGTAAGCCGATGCATTTAATGTTTTGTATTGTCATGCATTCCTGAAACTAATAGATCAATACTGGGGAAATAGTACACCCTCCTATTTCAACCACCAAGCATTAAACACTCCCAGGTCAGGCATCCCACAACCCGCTGCAATTTAAAGCCGCATTCTGCTCAAACAATGTGCCTTACTTACCCCAGCAGAAGGCCCCACCCAAATGCATCAGTGTGACATTTGCTCTTCTTACATAAGTCAATCCTTTGTTCTCTCTGCTTTACGACTGCCAATATATGTTAAATTAGGCCAATGTTGTGCTGTAAGCCTGTGCAGTCTATAAATTGGGTTGAGACTTCACAAACTCATTTCATAGAAGTTCTTACAGCCAACAAAGAGAAATGATAACAGTATTCCAATCAGCCGAGCTAGACTTCAGTGGTAAAGGGCAGCTTACTAGCTGATCGTATTACCCCATGTCTCTTCCCCCCATTATTTGCATATTTGGTACAAAACTAATTCTGATATTAAAAACAATTGTACTCCAGTCATTGCTATTCAACTAGTTCCAAAATCAAAAGCCCAGTATAAGTGGCGCACGTGTGGAATTAAGTGTGGTTTGGAGGGCAATGGGTTCCTGCACGTGTCAAGACACCTGGATGACAAAGAAGTGTAAGTGTACATTTCTGAATTTTTAAGTTTACATTTGTGCTATGGCATTAGCAAAACCCCTAGAATATCAATTTCAAGTTTGAATACATGTATTTTGTCAATAGTCAACCTGTCAATAAAATATCCAGTCAATAAAATACAACAATCCACCATCAGAACAGTCAATAGAAAAGGAAATAAAGGATTGAATAGTGAAGAATGTTTTATTTGCATTGCATATCACTTTCAGTTACCAGCTTCAAACTTTGAAAACAAAAAATAGGGTAAATCCTTCATTAAAATTTTACATATATAGAATAAGAATACAGCACAGTGCTGGATTAAATACTGCCAATATTTCCATGACAAAACTAATGTCAAAACCTGACACCGTAGGTCCCTTCAAGTTCATTAAATCCAATCTGTTTTGTTGTCCCCCCCCACCCCCACCCCGCCCTGTCACAAATATTGTGGTGAGTCGGAACATAGCACTTTATTGATCTGGAACTGAACCAATAGCTAATAAAACAAGTGGTAGTTTTGATAAAAGGCCACATAGTATCTACACTGCATGAGCTGACACTGAAAACGCACAACCTGCAGTCAGCTACCAGACATGGCTGTGTGATATATTTATATTTTGAGAATCAACCAGACTAGATTTTGGTGAATATTCTGTACAGATGATAACCTCTTCCATTAACCCAACTGAAATTAGTTGGCCCCCTTAGTTCCAATTACTGTAATCTAGTCTGTTCTTTCAGGCCCAACTTTGGTGTGAAATGTCACTGCTCGCACAGACAAGGGTAACAAATTTGGTCGGGCAAAAATAGAAAATTGGACTTCGGCTGGTATCAAATAGGGCAGATCGGTCTGAATAGGTGGAGAAAGATCAGTAATCCACCCAGCAGTCTCATAAAGTCAGATATGAGCAGAAAGCCGGAAGGGCAAAAGTTATTCACAATTAATTAGTTAGGGACACTTGTTTTGAATGTACACCTTTAAACAGATTTCCCCATTTTTCCAATATACCATTCTCCCCCCCTCTCCCCCCACCTCCACCCAAACAACCAAAACAAGGCTAGTAGCCTCCTGGGGGAGGGGGTGGGGGAAGACTAATGCAACATTTCACTGCCATTGGGCTTCTCAATCTCTGTATAACAGTCAAAACCTCACTCTGCGAGTGGGTTGGGAATGAAAGGCAGTCATGGGACTCAACTGTCAAGGCAGCCAGCTGGGAAGCCAGAGCCGACACCGCGAGGTGGCTCGGCAGCTGCAAAAGCCACGTTTTAATAAATATTGATCATCTTCAGTTCCAAGACCTCGACTCTCAAACCTTGATGAACATTTGCTTTGGGCAGGAAGGAGAAGCTTGCATTATCTGGTAAATGTCAGGAGTACGCAAGGACCAAACCCCGACCCTAAGCAATCAAACAGAGGTCTTTAAGAGCCAGCCGCCAAATGTATTAAGCGCTATTCAAACACTTTTTTAATATATAAATGTTTTGGGATATAATTTTTCTCTCTCTCCTGTTCCCCCACTCATTATAATAGATGCTCTTGGCAAATCATGAACTTCCATTGCAAACCAAAAAGGACCTACATCAACTTATTCACAAATGCGCCGGTTGCGAGTTTAATCTCTGCTGTTTTGTGTAGCAGGCGCACCGACTGCACACCACAAAGTCAGAACAATTAGCAAAAGAAAGCTGAGGAATGGCATTTGTTCCAAGCTGCAGATTTTTCATAGGCTAAATTGTGGCATTCACATGTGCATCTATTCAGGATTGGTGATTGAGAAATTCCTTTCCTGGAGGAACTCATTGTCAGTGGAACACTAAGGAATGAAGACATGTAAAAGAGGAGTGGAGAGCGTGTCCTCCTGTGTGTGCAGTTAGTTCTCGCCTTCTCCACCATTGGCATCATCTGCTGTGTTGTCTGATGTCCATAACTGTGAGAAAATAGAATACGTTAACTTGGAGCTTGGAAAATATTACCTTTACACATCATACTGTGTAGTAATTTTCCGATTCCACCCACAAACTATAGTCAATTAATTCACTTTACAGTATATTTTGTGAAGCGCTTTGAGACGTCTCGAAGACGTGATAAAGTGCTATATCAAACGCAAGGATTATTATTATTAATTTATTTCAAAAAGGTATAAATGGCAAAAATTACTTTGAATTACTTGCTAATGTTTTAAGGCTCCATAGTACATTAGAATTTGTTCATGAGGGTTTATTAGTCTCTCTCCAGCCAATGTTTATTGTGATTGCCTGACTCTACATTACCTCACAGCACAACTATTGTTTGAATATTTTCACTCACCGTCAGGTTATCTCGGAGTAGTTGCATTATGAGTGTGCTGTCTTTGTAGGAGTCTTCATTGAGTGTATCTAGCTCTGCGATCGCTTCATCAAATGCCTGAAGAAAGGTGCAAAATCCCCCCAAAAAGTTAATACAAAAGGGGCAATAATAATGCATTGTATAACTATGGCAAGTTCCGTCTGTAAAATTGTCATACTTTGAGATACAGTCTGTATATCACATTGTAAAATACTAAAAATCACAATGTGAAATGTCTGGTCTACAAGTACTATAGAATGAGGACAATCAAAATGACCAGCTTATTTTCCACTGTACATAAGAACGAAAGGTTCATCGCCCTGAAACGTTAAGTCACTTTCCTCTCTCCATAGATGCTGCCTGACCTACTGAGTGTTCCTAGCCATTTCTGTTTTTGTTTCAGATTTGCAACACCTGCAGCGTTTTGCCTTTGCTAACAGAAAACTTACCGTCTTGGCCAGTGCGCAGGCTTGCTCAGGAGAATTCAGGATTTCGTAGTAGAATACTGAGAAGTTGAGAGCAAGACCTAGCCGGATGGGGTGTGTGGGCTGCATCTCCTTCTTACTGATGTCGAATGCCTCTGAATATGAGGTCTGGGAATTCTCGACAGTTTCTATGGGGGGAAAAAAAACACAATACAAGGCTGAGAAACAATACAACAACTTGTATTTACATAGCGCCCTTCACGCTGGGTAGAGTCCCAGTAAATACCCATTCTTTCGAAGTAGTCCTGCTCACATGGGATAAGTAAAATTCTAAGCAACTCACTAGATATCCTCTCTCTAGCCCCCTCCCCTCCTCCCTTTCAATTCTACACACTCTTGGCAGCCAAAATGTTATTCAGGCAATCTGTTGCTTGTAATTGTGACCCCCATTTAATCCTTCCCCCATGAGGGAAAGTGACTCCTTTGTACCTCAAAAAACTTAAGAAATTCATCACGAGGCCAATCATATACACGTTCTGCAACTGTGAAGTATTAATGTTGTACTAAAAGTATAATGTTCCATGCAAAGCATGACATAAAAAACAAAACTTACGTTTTTTATTTTCTGCTGCAGCGACTTCTGCAAGGTATCGGTAATAATCTCCCTTCATCTTCAAGTAGAAGACTTTGCTCTCAGCGGTAGTGGAATTGGGAATTAAGTACTTATCCAGTAGACCCTGCAAACAAAATAAACATTTTTATATATTTTCTTTTTTTTCCTTTTTTTCGTAGGAGCAGGAGTACGCCTTCGAGCCTGCCCTGCAATCATGGCTGATCTTCTAATCTAACTCCAGCTAATAACTTGACCCTGCCTTACCCCCATATCCCTTAATCCCTTTTGCAATAAGAAATCTATCTATCTCAGTCTTGAATATGTTCAAGGACTGAGCGTCAACAGCCCTTTGGGGTAGCGAGTTCCATACATTCACCGCCCTTTGAGTGAAGAAGTTCTCAAATTTATTTAGACTCAGAATCTTTACATATTTGTTAAGTGAATATTTTAAACCTGCAGAACAATAAAAATGAGTTAGGGATCCTCTTCCCCACCACACACACACACACTTTTAGCTAGATACTATTTGTTCACGTTAAAGAAATATACCTACAGAAAAATATTCAATGCTCAAAAGGCCTTCTTCTGTGCCATATGGTTCCTATGTTTTTACGGCTAAAAAGCATGACTGAAAATGGCTATTTGGATCACCAAAATCTCCAAGCAACAATAGCTGTTCAGATAGTGTGAAGCTCCAACATTCTGTTCTCATACTGTTTGGGTCTATAGCCTCTTTAGTACTGCAAGCACTGTTGAGATAATATTTTTTTAAAAACAATTATCATGTTATTACCCATTTAGAATAGAATTATTCAACCAATTATCCATTTAAGGCCTGGAATTCAAATATAAGATTAGATGTTTAAATACAAATCTCTTAATACTGCAGTAACATACACTTAAGTTTCCCCTCACCCCATCACTTTCACAACATAAGCAGCTACATCTTTTTTTTCTGCATTTATTTCTGAAAGGTTAGTCAGTCCCTCACGCGTCAAATTTTCCCAGTGTACACTTTGGAGCAATGCACTTGGAAAGAAATGTAGATTATAATTATAGATCGTAATGTCGGTATTCACAAAAACTGCAATAATTCAAGAATTCTCTGGATAATACCTTAGAGGTCATATCAACATGCGAGTACAACTCCCATTCCTACTCTGCCCACAACTACTTCTTAACAAGACAAAATGCATCTATGACCGACTACAAACCTTTTATCTACAGCAGCAATAGGGACAGGAGAAAGGACATTTAAAAAGTAACTGAACATCAAGGTTCAATTTGTATAATCTACTTTAACTAACAGTGCCACCACGCTAATAGGCACTGGTATATTTGCATGGAATTAGCAGACGACAATCAGGAATTTGTCTTAAGAGTCACTGGATTTAACAGGACAAACCATGAACTATCACTGATGAATAGTTGCACTGATCACAGTGCTCATTTCAACCATGCTACATAAATGTTCCTAGCAGGATTCCATCAGAATCGACTCCAAACTGGTTATCTAATGGATCATCAGCATGCTTTTCTCCACTTACCCTCATGTCCTAAATGCAGCTATTTATACGGGACAGAATTCACAGGCACTGACAGCTTTCTGGTCGGTACCTTGCCCAAGTCCCTATGCACCCAGCAGTGAGTGCCAAGTGGGTAGCAAGAGGCCACATCAATCCTCAACTGTTCTCGTTTCCTGCAGGATTGGCCTATTTCTCCTCTCGACTGCAGAACAATCAAAATTGCAGCAACCCCTTAAAGGCTGTGGTTGAGATTAGCTGATTAAACCATGGCCAGAGATTAAGATTAATAGTTTCCTGATCTTTACACACCACAAATGGAACTGTAACATTGACGATCTATTTGCCACCGAGAGTTACAATTCTGCTCCTGGAAATCACTGTGCTTGAGGCATAAAATATCCACCCCCCCCCCCCCCAATCAAGCTAGATCAGTTAAAATCAATACTGCAGACATTTTACTGCTCAACAATACTGCAATATCACCCGCCACACCTCCTGCAATGCCCCAGAGCTGAAAGGACTGAAAATAAAAAACAATTAAAAATGATTCTTCAGAATTTGTAATCTACATAATTATTCCATGTCTCCCAAATTAATTTACTCTGGCTTGCCATTAAGATACCAATGATCCAAAGTGCTACTTAATTAAATAAATGCTGCTAATACATGCAGATCAACATCTCAGAGGCTACATTCCATTTGTTAAGTTCTCTGACTAAACAGCAGCGTCCCACAAACAGCTATGGGTTGAAGAGACCAATGCATTCCCTCCCCCACTAACTGAGAGAACATTTGAACAGCCGGGAAGGGAGGAGTGAAGAGAACGCGACACACCAGGCCACTTTCTTGAGCTGCTTCTACTGTAATTAGCTTAACAGCGGCCAAGAATCAGGTCAATGCTGGTTAGACAGTGAAACGATATACATAGATAACCCAAGTACAAGCTAGCAGATAATGGTACAGAAAAATATATTAATGCACCATTTTCAAACACTATGCATGCACACATATTTATATGGAAGATGGAAATCTTATCAACTGGACCAGCATTTTTTAACACCACAGATAGAGGGAAACGTGTTCAACTGATCATAAGTCAGATATACATACAGGAGATAGTTTCGAAAAGAAGCTGCATGTTTCTGCTAACTTAAAAAATGCAAGCAACTGCAAAACAGCCATTGCAAGAGTAATTGAAATGCTAATTGAAAATTACTCTTAATATTAGGGAAGCGAGGCTCCCAACAAAAGCTAAGAGCAAAGAGCAAAAAGAAAATGAGCTATTTTGAATAATACTTGAATTTGATACTGCTTCTGACGTCAAAACATTTGCCTACAAATACAATCACTGCACTGTTAATATGCAAACCAAAGCCCCAAAGGGTAGGGTCGTTCTAGCTAGAGCTAGACAAGTAATGGGAAGCTTGCCAAACAGTTCTCTCAATGGCTAGCTGTACAGATTTAGCTGGATGAACGACAGTAGGACTCCCAGTGCATTCAAGACCCCCAAACTTTGGCTATCGCCCACATATGCCTAATAATTAGGTAAGCAGGGTGCTTCCCTTCAGAGTACACATTTCAGCAACTGGGAAATGTGAATATATATGTGGAACTCTTAGGCTGGCTTGGATACTCTTAAGCACGGTGATGGATTTCCGCATGCGTCAAGACACAGGCAGACGGGACCTTGGCTAACACTAGTGTTGTAGCACCATTCCAGTAGTGTACTGAAACTTCAGTCTAGACTATGAGCTCAACGTCGAATACGGGACTTCAACCCATAACCTTTGGATTCAGATGAAAGTCTTGCCAACTGAATCAAGACAACACTGACCAAGGATTTACAATTGCTCCATTCTCCTAGTAGGCAGTCAGTATATGTTTTAAATTAGGACTTTCAGAACACTTCTCACCTCAAAAGGATAGTAGGGATTTTACTCACCTACTGTGCATATTTGATCTTAAACTTGTAGAAAAGGCACAGCCTGAATTAGGTCATAAAGGCAACCCTTCTTTGCTTCCGGGTCCTGACACACTGCAGTTTTGGTCTGAAATAAATTCTGAGCAGAGAGGAAACAAACCCATCTATCCCACATATTTTCCTGACACCCACTGACTATCTAAATTTGAGTAGTAATTTAATTCAGACATTACATGTATTCAGGAGGGATAGGGAAAGGAAAAAAAAGGAGGGGGTGTGGCAATTTTAATCAAGGATACGGTTATAGCCGTGGAAAGGGTCGAGGTGCTGGAGGGCCCCAAATCAGAATCTATCTGGTTAGAGTTAAGGAACAAAAAAGGAGCTGTTTGCTGGTAGGGGTATACTATAGACCACCAAATAGTGGGAAGGAAATAGATGAGCAAATCTGCAAGCAGATCTCAGACAGATGCAAAGCCAATCGAGTCGTGATAATGGGGGACTTTAATTATCCCAACATAGACTGGCAAAACAACAGCGCAAAGGGCAAGGAGGGGGAAAGATTCCTAAAATGCATACAGAACAATTTTCTTGATCAGTACGTTTCCAGTCCAACGAGAAAGAAAGCAGTGCTGGATCTTGTTCTGGGGAATGAAGTAGGGCAAGTGGAGAGGTTTCAGTGGGATAGCATCTGGGCAACAGTGATCATAACATCATTAGATTCAGAGTGCATATGGAAAGGGACAAGGAACCATCAAAGGTGAAGATACTCAACTGGAGAGGGCTAATTTCAGTGAGTTAAAAAGGGACCGAGCCAAGGTGGACTGGAAAGAAAGATTGGCAGGTAAAACAACTAAAGAGCAGTGGGAAGTCTTCAAGGATGAGATAGCTCGGGGACAGAACAAATACATTCCCACAAAAGGGAAAAGTAGGACATCCAAACCTCCCTGGATGACAAAGGTAATTGTGTCTAGAATGAAGCAGAAAAAGGAGGCGTATGACAAATGTCAAACCCAAGATACAGAAGACAACCAAATAGAATATAGGAAATACAGAAGAGAACTGAAAAAGGAAATAAGAGCGGCAAAATGATTATATGAAAAAGTGGGTAACATTAAAGGGAATCCTAAAATATTTTAAACATATCAAGATAAAAAGGTTAGTCGAAGGTAGGGTGGGGCCAATTAAGGACCAAGGCGGAAATCTTATTGTACTGAATGACTACTTTGCATCTGTCTTCACAAAAGAAGTGGATGCACCAAATGCCGCAGTATCGGAGGAGAGAGTAGATGAAATGGATAGGATAAGAATAAACAAAGAGGAAGTACTGAAAATGTTGACTGCCAGAAGGTAGATAAGTCGCCCGGTCCGGACGGGATGCAGTCGAGGTTACTATGGGAGGTACGGGTACAAATAGCGGAGGCTTTGGCTACAATTTTTCAATCTTCGTTGGACACAGGAGTGGTGCCCGAGGACTGGAGAGTGGCCAATGTGACTCCCTGTACAAAAAGGGACAGAAGGACAAACCTGGGAACTCCAGGCCAGTGCCTGACATCAGGAGTGGGGAAACTCCTGGAGACTATAATCCGGGACAGAATAAATCTTCACTTAGAAGATTATGAGTTAGTTAGGGACAGCCAACATGGATTTGTTAAAGGCAAATCTAGTCTAACAAATCTAATAGAATTTTTCGATGAGGTAACGGAGAGGGGATAAAGGTAGTGCAGTTGAGGTAGTGACTTTCAAAAGGCATTTGACAAAGTGCCATATAAAAAACTTGTAAGAAAGATTGAAGTCCATGGTATAAAAGGGACAGTGGCAGCGGATCCAGAACTCACTGGGAGACAGAGAGCAGAGAGTTGTGGTGAACGGCTGCTTTTCTGACTGGAGGGAAATGTACAGTGGTGTCCCCCAGGGATCGGTATTAGGACCACTGCTCTTCTTACTATACATAAATGATCTGGACTTGGGTATAGCAAATACCATTTCTAGTAATACTTAAATGGGGTTTCCAATTAAGAAAAGTCTTGATTTACAATTATTTCCTTTCAAATAAATTACACAAGACCAAATGCATTCAATTAGTTGAAAATTAATGACAAAATACCAGTATTCCATTCGACTACATCTCTGAATTTCAACATCGCGTATCGAGTCAACAAAACAGGAGCTACTCAGAATCCAGTTTTATAAATCCAGTGTTGCATAGAAAGGTTCGTTGAAATTCAGGTAATGTTATGTAACCGATTATTCTTCATGTGCTGCAGTGAAGACATCACCTGGCAGAATTGTCATCAATAGTCTTAGGCTACGCTATATAAACAGTCCATCACTGGGACAAAAGGAAATTTCCCACCTGGTAAATTTGTAATCTCAGTAGGTCATTGGCAGTGCCAAATGGAGGTTATTTGCTTCCCCACAGAGATTTTAATGAATTGTCAAGTATCCCTAGGCCCACTCTTGCACACCTCCTAGCAAGCAGCTACAGATCTGCAATGGGCTGAAAGCAGCTCACGTGCATCTTTTCTGCCATGCAAAATTGAAGAAAATGTTAAGGGGGGAGAAAAAAAGAGAAATTTTAATTATTCATGGGTGTGCCTTGATTGAAAAATGTGCACGCTGCTACAGTATTTTTCAAAGGACCAGATTTGACCGACTCCATCATTTGCAACCAAAAGGGAATACAAGGTACTGATTTTAGATAAATAGAAAACTAGATTATACTGGTTACATTTATTAAATTCTCCCTTAAATAAATCAAATCTAATTTTAGTTCAATTTGTGCCTCCTTTGACAGAATATTATGCAAAGGGATCAGGGTACAAGATATATCCTTAGCAGGAATGACATTGATTACAGAGAAAGAAAAGCACTGCGTTAGTACAATTTAAATAGAATAGTTTACACATTTTTTTTAAAACAAAGTCACAATTGTATTCATTCAAAAATGATTTCATTTCAACTTGAAAGAAAAAAAAATCTGAATGAGTGCGTTATTCGTGCAATGGAAATTCTGGATGGAGTGGTGGAAAGGTTGATTATTTAAATATCTTTACATATAGATATAACATACATAAAATTATTATATGACCCCTGTCCTTTGAAAGTCAACTGGATACTGATTGAAAGGCAGGCGTTCAGAGACCCCTACCTACCCCACCCGCAACCTTGATGCACACAAGATAGATATAATAATCCTTGCATTTGATATCGAGACGTCTCAAAGCGCTTCACAGAATATACTGTAAAGTGTAGTGACTGTATATTTTGTGGGCAAAACGCGGCAGTCAACTGCATACAGCAGTGGCCCACAAACAGTCGTTTAGTAATGATAAAATAAAGCCTCCTTCCTCCATTTTCTACAGGTTACAAATGCCTGACACACACACAAACAGAGACGAGGGAGGGAGTGTGTGCGTGTCAAGAAACACACGGTAAAAAGGGAGCCACTTTGAATGGCAGATTGATAGTTAACCATTTCCCAAGCGGTACATTTTTAAAAAAAACAGGGAGAGAGAGATGCCGCAGCCTCTTGACTCCCCTGTCTGATCCGTCTGGTATCTCTCTCGCTCTCTCTTTTACCTCTTTCCCCCTCTCCCTCCATCGCAGCCCGCCCGCCCGCTTGCCTGCCAAATAATTATATATTAAAACAATGCGAGGAGAGAGGGAAGACAAAGCACTTAAAACAGTTGCAGCGGTCACAATTTTTAAAAAAATCAATTATTAAAAAATAATTTCATTGTGCGAGCGATCATTCTTTCTCGTCAACACATCATTTGTTTAAATATTATTATATTTTTATATTAAGAATTATTATATTTTAATCATAATGAAATAATCTTGCAATTNAAAAAATATTAATTTTAATAAACTTAATTTTGCCGATAGCATTCTTTCTCACCAAACAGCATGTCGTTTGTTTATTGGCAGGAGGCACTTTAAGGGGTGCCTTTTTTATTTAAAAAATGTTAATTATTATTTTATTATTTTATTTTAAATAGTAATAATCTCATTGTGTGTGAGCGGGCAGGGCACATCCCTGTTCTCCTGTCTCACTAGCACATCGTCTGTTTGTTGTTGGCAAGAGGCACTTAAGGGGTGCAATTTTGTATTAAAAAATATTAATTATTATATATTATATTTGCATTTGATATAGCACCTTATCACATCTTTGAGACGTCTTAAAGCGCTTCACAGGATATACCGTACAGTGTAGTGACTGCGTTACTTTGTGGGTGAAACAAAATAATTTCATTTAATAAAATTATTGTAAAATAATGTCATTGTGTGTGTGTGTGTGAGAGAGAGAGGGCAGAGCACATCCCTGTCCTCCTCTCTCTCTGTCTCTCATCAGCACGTTGTTTGTTCTTGGCAGGACCCACTATTTAAAACATTAATGATTAGATTATTATTTTAAATATTATTAATAATGATGTCAGTGTGTGTGTGAGCGGGCAGGGCACATCCCTCTCCTCCTCTCTCCCCCTCTCACCAGGGCATCGTTTGCTGTGGCAAGTTGGTAATTTTAAAAAAATAATTAATTGTTATTAATCTTAATTTCTTAATAACGTCTGTGTGTGTGTGCGTGTGTGAGAGGGAGAGAGAGAGAGAGGGCAGGGCACATCCCTGTCCTCCTTTCTCTCTCTCTCTCTCACCAGCATGTCTTTTGTTGTGGTAGGTTGGTAATTTAAAAAAATAATTATTATTAATGTATTAATAATGCCCGTGTGTGTGTGTGTGTGTGTGTGAATGGCACAGCCCTGTTCCCCCTCTCACTGTCTCTCTCTACATTACCAGCACGTCGTTTGCTGTGGCAGGTTCGCAATGTGTGTTTTTTTTTAAAAAATAACGCATCAGTATTAATTTTAATTCATTAATAATAGCGGTAAGAGCGTGTGTGTGTGTGTGTGTGTGAGACAGACAGAAAGCGGGGCAGACAGGGCACATCCCTGTCCTCCCCCTCTCTCCCCCCCCCTGTACACCGGCGGGGGTCGGTCGCGCGTTGTTTGTGGCAGAGGTTTAGCGAATTTTTACCAAAAAAAAGAACGAATTGATCAGTATTCATTGTAATTCATTAATAGTAACGTGTGTCTGTCTGTCTGTCTGTGCGGGTGAGTGAGTGAGAGAGAGAGAGAGAGAGAGAGAGCGCGCGGGGCACATCCCTGTCCTCCCCCCTCTCCCCCCACCCCCACCCGCGTCTCCGTCTGTCTGTGTGTGACCGTCTCTCACCAACACGTCGTTGCAGATGTCGCTGAGCTCGGCCTCCACCTTCTCGCGGTACTCCTTCACCTGCTGCAGCTTCTTGTCGTTGCCGCCGCCGCCGCCGCCCTCGCCCGTCTTCTGCTCGATGCTGGAGATGACCCTCCAGGCCGAGCGCCGGGCCCCCACCACGTTCTTGTAGGCCACCGACAGCAGGTTCCTCTCCTCGTTGGACAGCTCCTCGCCCCACTCGGTCACCGCCTTCATGGCGGCCGCCATGTCCTCGTACCTCTCCGCCTGCTCGGACAGCTTGGCTTTCTGCACCAGCTCGTTCTTATCCATGGCTGTCGTTTTCTTCCCCCCCTCCCCACCCACCACCTTTTTTTCTCTCTCTCTCACTCTCTCTCTCACTCTCTTTTTGATTTAAGGTGATTTTCTTTTAACCGTTTCCCCTCCCGAGTCCGGCTCACACCACCACGGCCTCGGCTTCGCTCGAGCGGCCCCGTCGACGGAGTCGAGCCCCGGAGAAGCCGCCGTCCTCTGTCGGGCTGAAGACGGTAGTTTTCTGACGGCTTCTCACCCGCTCGCCTTCCTCGCAGACAAATGGCGGTTGGGGCTGTTTTTTTTCTCTCTCTCTCTCTCCCTCCCTCTCCGCTCCCTGTCAGACCGCCTTCTGCGCATGCTCCGCGCGCTCGCCCCCGGCCCCTCCCCCCTGTCAGACCGCCTTCTGCGCATGCTCCGCGCGCCCGCCCCCTGCCAGACCGCCTTCTGCGCATGCTCCGCGCGCCCGGCCCCGCCCCCTCTCCGCTCCCTGTCAGACCGCCTTCTGCGCATGCTCCGCGCCCGCCTAACACGCCCCCGGCCCTGGGTTGACGTCACCCCCTCCAGCCCCCCCCCCAGCCCCACTGCCCAAGGATTGGGGTTGGCTTTTTCACACCCAATTCGGGCATTTTTTTTGGGATAATAATCTGGATTAATAATAATCCTCGCGTTCGATACAGCCTCCTCGCCGACCGTGCTTTCGGCCGCCCTCCCCGATCCCAAACCCCACCCCCACCCCGCTCGGGTCCAAATCATAGTGTTTTGCGGGCGAAAGGCGGCAGCCAATTGCGCACGGCGACGTCCCACAAACAGTCGTGGACCGACTGACCGATAACTATTGTCACTATTAAGAGTGTCAGCAGATTATTAAGACTTAAAAAGAGAAAAATGTAGCCGGACGTTAGCAGGGGATTCACCGGGGAACACCGAAGGGCATCAGGGAACAAGAGAACATCTCCCCCCCCCCCAATTCATAAAATCAAGTCCACAAAAGGGCATTTCTGGTCTTTATGGCTCATGTATGCGGTACATTTATCTACTGAGCCATTGGAGGAAACGGTCAATATATACTGCAATCGAAATGTCTCCAAATTAATGCTTTTTGTAACTTATTGTGGATATAAAAACTTGCAACACAACAAAACCTTAATTGCATACTTCATTCTATGTTTATTAACTTAAATTTCCAATCTCACACATTGACATATACCTGACGAAAAGAAAATACACAAGTGAAAATATGAACCGCTTTGCTTTGCACAGCTCCTGCAACCTCACAGTAGTCATCTACTAAGAGAACAGATGCTTCCCCTCCCCTCCGCATTATCCATAGGAAATATAATTGTTCAGTTTTTGTATATGGGGAAAAAAAAACAGAATTTTACAAAAACAATTGTTTCTCATCTTTACATTATTAATGTTCCGAGAACAAGCAGTATATTATAGGTGCTGCTTATGAAGTATCATTGGAGCTTTACAAGCTACATAACACATTAATATTACATAAATTGAAACATAAATTGAAACGGGATCATAATGATTTATGGTCCAATGGTTAGCTCTCTTGTCTCCCTCCCTCCCCATATGTCTCAGTAGATATGTGCACTAAACAATGTGGTATTGTGCTGGGCAAGGATAAATGCCAGGCTCATCTGTGACAATCCAATAAACTAGCAACCATTTAATAAAGGCCACTTGGGCATGCTACTGAAAAGGAAAAAAATTAAATGCATTTGTCAGTACCAATTTTGTTGCTAATGAATCTGAAAATGTAACTGAAATTTGACTAGTGTGAAAAATAAACAAATCAGGTTTATCTATTCAAAATATAGTTTCCCCAATCTTATGGATATTTTCGGTGAAATCGCTTTTCATTTGTTCCAACTTTTGATGCCACAGGGAATTGAACCCACATTCATGTAATATTTATATGGCATGACATGATAAGTAATGAAAGTGAAATGATTTAAATTATATCTAGCAAATATATTAACCGTATCACTCTACCACTGTGCAATTATTTATTCCTGACCGATAATATTTTAAACAGGTTACAATAAAAGACAGACATTCTTAAAGGAGAAGGAAGGAGTATTTTTGGTTCAAATTACTGTTCCCAAAATGTCCCTCCTCCTTAATAATTGACAATATGAGCATCCACTTCCAGAAATGCCTCTAAAACGGAGTACTTTAACGGATAAACTTGACTAATGATTACACAGATTGCATTTTTAACTGTTTTTAACTTTCGTCAAAAATGTCATTTTAGACAATTCCTATTTGAATCCTATTTTCACCAGCACGTTGTATTCAAGGGAATAAGGTAGCTCCAATATTGCTAACATGATGGCACAGGCACAATAGGCCAAATAACTTACATTTCTACAAAGCATTTAATGTAAGGTCTTAGCTGAAATCGTGTTCAATGTTTTAAGTATGCAACACCAAATAATACATGGACTAGATACCAATCCGCTCCAGAAATATAACTATTTATTCCTCTTCCCCCCCACCCCAACTCTTCTCAATGTCATGTTGTGCAATGATCCCAGACTTCAGTCATCTTTTAGTGTCTCACACACAACTATTGGTTATCTGAGGAGCTGTGACAGTTAGGATATGTGAGATATGAGCTGGAGCTAGGTTTGATCCTGTCCCCATCAACGAGAACAAACCCATTAATGGAATGCGAAATAGGAACACAAGTTGATTTTTTTTCCCCCTTTCTTAGTCAAGGGCACAGCATTTGGAACAAATATGTGCCCTTCCAAGTCAACATGGCTTGGTTCGACACTAAGCAGTGGCTTTACCAACAGCCAAAGAGAAAATGTTTTGATGAAAACATTACAGCAACTTCTTAGAAATTTAACAAGTAATTTTACTGTGAAGTCAGCACTAAGAAGGGATAATTTAAAAAGATTCTGAGCCATTGCAGTTACAAGAAAGTGAGCTTCTATATTTATTAAAGAAATTACAATTTGAGCTCCAGATAAATCACAGAATACTGCTTGTATATGAATGCATTATGCAAGATTGCTATAGAACTTGGTAACCTAAATAGCACTACAGGACTAGGAAGAGTAGAGCAGGGTGAGAAACTCAGTTATTGCAATCCAAAACAGGAATTTATTGAAACTCCAATTGAAACATTTGCTTTTCTCTACTTTTCTACTCGAAAACATTCCTCCCCCCAAAAAAAAAACATATAAACACTTCTAGATACTCAAGCAAGACCTAGTTTATAGACCAATAGTCAGAAAAAAAAACTTATCAGGAAGAAAGGAGCAGAATTAATCAATTTTACAGTAAAAGGTTCATTCTGAAGCCGCAAGGAGATGGCTGGAAGATTCCATCGCATTAAGTCATCAGTAAACATAAAACACTTACCCATTTACTGATGCTTATGTATTGAGAGTCAATGCCCCTTCAAGTGTTTGCTTCATTTGAAATATAAGGGATGCTACAATATAATTTACTATAGAAAATTCATGGAGCTCGCATATATCTTGCTATTTTCGGGTAATCGAGCATTCCTCATACATAGTAATTTTAAGACAGAAGTGGTCATAAATTTGAATTGTCCAGCAATCATTCTGAGAAAATCATTTTCTTTGTCCAGACATAAAGACCATATTGGCATTTTCGGAATCCTCTGTGCATTGCTCACAATTACTGCCTTTGAAATTTACAACCGCAATAGAAGTTACATTTAACCAATATATCTCAATATCTCCTGCATGGCGAACATGTGGTGGAACACAGACTATATAGTGGATACATATCCTAACACAGCGAACCGGACTATGCTTAAGTCGTATCAGTGAAGAGAGAAATGTTCTTAGTGACAGACCCGTAGTGGTCTTGAACTGTCCACGTGAGTCGCTGTAAGATTACTACAGGCCTACACCACAGGATGTTAACATTATGGTATTGCAATAATCAGATAGTTTTTGAAGCAATGAGTGGTCAGTAAAAACTGCCTATGAAATCAGTGACACTTTCTCACCAAGCCCTCCTCTGGTACCGGCAGCTTTGTAATGTCTGAAATAACCTTTGCTCCCATTTCTCTTTCCCTTGGCTATCTCCCCCCTCCTTCTTTCCCCAGAACAAACATCAAGAGTTCAGTAGTAAGTAGAAAATGAAAAGTTTGAAGAGTTAAACGTTTCTTCATCTTCTCCAGGCTTTGTGTAGTAGGTTCAGTGCATCACGTCCATAGAATTCTAGGTCTTAAAAGCAAGCACAAAAAAACGATTAGATGACCGCAATGTATGAAAGCAGAGATCTGAAAAACAACAACTTGGGATTTATATAGCACCCTCACACAGGGTTGCGTCCCAGAGCATGGTGCCAAGCCAGGGGGGGCATCTCATCGTCAATTGGCATCTAAGCCATACACGTCACCTTCATTGCATGAATGAATTACATTAATTGTTCAACTAATTGCTCATTTTGGAGATGCGTGTACACAGTGTTTCAAAGCTTGGCTGCAGTACTTTTTACATTTCGGTTTTATCATTGTGAATTTCAAAATGTTTTGTGGTGAAGGGCAGTTGAGTTTCAATTGATGTAAGCACCAAAATGATACAAATCATTTTTGGGCTTTTTTTCTATTTTAGTTAACATCAGATTTCTTTTGTTTAATGAAAAGTTTGATAGCCTCGGGGAATAAGAATAATTCTTGTATTTGATACAGCACCTTATCATGTTGTCTCAAAGTGTTTCACGGGATATAAGGCTTGAAGCGCATTTGACTGTGTATTTTGTGGGCGAGTTGAGCACATCATTGCCTTTCAAAAACATGTTTGGTAACATGTCTAAAGGATCATGAAACACAATTAGCAAACAAATGAAGATAATGCTTTGTTTATTCTCTTTCCCCCCCCACCTCAGAGATTGCATGTCAAAAGCTTAATCTTCCTAGGGAGGGAGAAGAAAAAAAGGGAGGGGAAGGAAAAAGTGGTAAAGATAACAATTTGTACAGTTTCTCACCCAAATCCTTACTGTTTTTTTACGCCTGGACATCTACCAACTCAGGAGGCATAGGAGATTTGGGATGTTTACTCTCAAAATGCTGCTTGAAGGTTTTAGGATCTGGCATCTGTGTCTGAAAAAAATAAAGAAATAACATTCAGAGCGAGTGGTAAATAGTACTTGCATTTTTAAAATACTATGTAATTTTTAGTGCTCTGTGTGAGGGGCTGTCACTATATAAATGGTTACACCACCTCTCCTGCAAGGATTATTATTATTATTAATACCCATCTTTTCAATTGCACTTTTGGATATTCAATACTTATACAGCTGTTGATGTGCTTAGTCTTAATGTTGACATAGTAATAAAAAGATAAAATAGGACACTGATATTCTGTCAATGACTGTGGCATTTATAGCAGTGAAAAGGTGATAACCTACTAATGGTGAATGCCTATCCTGTGTTAACTAAACTGACCTCAGCCAGGGCAGCATTAGGAGGACCTGGCTTCAGCAAAGTTGAGCCAATGGGTGTGGGGTGAAACAGAAGACGAGTTTACAACAATAATTTATATAGCGCCCCTCACACAGGGTAGCGTCTCAGAGCGCTTGTGCAGCATGCCTGATAATGCATCATTTATTCTGCAAAATGTGCACATCTGGCAATCATGTATAAAGGATCATGCTCAGTTATGGGACTACCCTGTCAACAGCCTACTTGGTTCACTCACAAAGAACAGAAAGGTATTGGATATTGGAGCCACCGATGGACATTACAGCAGGAATTTATACTTTCACAGAGGGAAGGAGAGCTGCTTTTTTGTGCAATAGTGTGAAATTGGGTACCAGTGTGAGGGAAAGTAAAGGTTAAATATTTTGATTACAACAAGATTTATGTGGCATATTTAACATTGGGAGATAATCTCAAAAGACTAAATGGGGATTGTAGCTAACAGGAGGCTGAAGGCTCCCCCACTGATGGAGTGACAGGAGATTGCAGTGATAGGGTGGAGCAAGTGAGACTTTGAAGGCATTTGAAGGAAAGGTAATCTTTTATAGCAGCAAGAAAACCACTTCAATGAGCCTTTGCCTTACCTTGCAGACAGGGCACGTGTGGACAAGAGCTACTTTTGCAGCTGCTTTCTGATCAGACCCTCCCTTTTTCTTCTCAGCCTGTTTTTTAGCATTCTTCTGTTGGGATTGTATCTTCTGTTGTCCACGAGCCATGATTAAAAAACTGTAGAGAGAATAAACACAGATTAATAGCAAGGTTACTCATGAATCTAATCCAGGTATACAGTATAAACGACAGCAACATCGAAGGCACAGATGCTTACAAAAACACTAAAAATTCTCTTGCACAGAAATTCCTCACCAATTTCAAACATTATGACAAACCAGAAAACAGCATCAGAAGGGGTTACTTCTTGATGTTAGAGGGAGAAAGAGTGACAACAAAGGTGGTGGGAAGCAAACATTCTCACACAAGAAAATCAAAACACTTCACAGAATACACGGTAGAGAAGTGACTGTACATTTTGTGGACAAAACACGGCCGCCAATTGCCCAGAGCGGTGTCCCACAACCGGTAATGGTTTGAGTGACCAATTTTTTTATTATTTATTGGGAGGGATTATTAGCACACCCCCCCCCACCACCCCGTTTCCCCCTCACGCCCCCCGTAAAAGCGATGCGCCAATCGACAATTCCGCTCCCAAAATATACAGCCAATCCACTTCCCGGTTATATGCTACGAAGCAGCTTCTGAGACGTCTGAACGGTGTGATAAAGGCGATGGACCGAACAATAATAACAATAATGGGATTATTATTATTATTATAACATTATTATTATAACATTATAATATTAATATCATTATAACAATAACAAGGCTTTTGCTGCACCAACAGCTGCTTGATTCCCAACCTGCAGAGAGGGCGGGAGGGAGGGAGGGAGCTGTCTGCCAGGAGGTAGATAGCCGACCCTGGGCCTGGCTTGCGGCCTGGTTTAGCTCAGAGCTGACGCGGCGGCGGTGGCGGGATGGTGAGGGCCGTGGGAGCGGCGGAAATGATTGCCCTCCGCACAGAGAGCCCGAAGCCCACTCGCTATCCCGCCACCGTGGAGGGGGTTGGGGGGGGGGGGGACCTGCCGCTGCCGCCGCCGCCGCTGCTGCTGCTGACCGTCAACACCCATCAAATGGCGGCTCCCTTCACACCAGGCCCAGGCCCGGGCCCGCGGCGCCCGCAGAGCGAGCGGCCCTCCCTCCCTCTCTCCCTCCCTCCCGCCACACAGAGGAGCCGCCGCCGGGCTCCCCCTCACTCCCGCACAGCCCCCGCCCGCCCGCCCGCCCCTCGACTTTGATTTCCTTCCCCTCTCTTCCCCCACTTCGCAGCATATGGCTCCTCACCTCCTCCCGCCGCCGCCACCACCCACTGCTGCTCGCGCTCCCCTCGGTCAGTGCGTCTGTCTGTCTGTCTGTCGCCTCACCCCCCCCCCCCCACGTCAACCGTCATGACGTCGCGACGTCGCCCCGAGCATCCCGAGCCCCCCGCCCCGCCCACCCGTCAATCATCCCGAGCCCCCGCCCCGCCTACCCGTCAATCATCCCGAGCCCCCGCCCCGCCTACCCGTCAATCATCCCGAGCCCCCGCCCCGCCCACCCGTCAATCATCCCGAGCCCCCGCCCACCCGTCAATCATCCCGAGCCCCCCCCGCCCACCCGTCAATCATCCCGAGCCCCCGCCCCGCCCACCCGTCAATCATCCCGAGCCCCCGCCCCGCCTACCCGTCAATCATCCCGAGCCCCCGCCCCGCCACAAGTCACGTGCTTCCAATCACCATCATCCTCGCATTGAACGCGGCGCCTCGAAGCGCTTCACAGGAATACACTGTGCAGTGTAAGTGACTGGTGTGTTCGTTCGTGGGCGAACCGCGAGGGATCACCAGCGCGAAACCCGCGCCCGAGTGGGCGCGAAACCCGCCCGAGTGGGCGCGAAACCCGCCCGATTGGGCGCCACGTCGGGCCCGTGGGGCGGGTTGGCGAGAGGTGCGCGTGCGCACTGGGTTCCGGCCGGATCCTTCGCGGGGGGCGGGGCGGAGAGAGAGAGACAGAGCGCGCGCGGTGGGGGGGGGCGGGAGGGAGGGGAGGGGGAGGGGGGGGTGAGAGGTCAGAGAGGAGCTGTCATGGCGACTGATGGAGCGGAGATTTGAGCTGTAATGTAACTCGGAGCCGGAGAGCGATCGGGGCTGCGACCGACCGACCGCCGGGATCCTCCCGCCGCCGCCCAGCACCCCGGTGAGTTCGGGGGCAACTCGAGCGCCTGGTCTGGGCCTTCCCCCCCCTCCCCCCCCTTTTTTTTTAACCCCCTCTCCTCAGTCCCTCCCCCTCTTGTTGTTAAGATGCACATTGTTTTGACGTGAGTTTTTTTGTGGTGGTGGTGGGGGTGGGGGTGAGGAGAGAGGGGGAAGAGGAGGGTACTGTGCTGTGCTGTGATGGATGAGGTGATGGAGGGAGGGAAGGAGGGAAGGAGAGAGACACACACACACACACACGGTCTTTTTTTTGGCTCCTTTTTTTTGGACGTTTCAAGGAGTTTTTTTTTGCTGACAGTTTTCAAGGTGTCAGAAAGGATTTTTTCTCTCTCTCCCCCTCTCTCTCTCTCTCTCTGTCTCTCTCCCCCCCCCCCCCCCCCCCCTTTCGTGTTTGTTTGCGGCAGTGTTTTTAGGAGATGATGTTGTATTTTTTCTTTTGCTGCTGTGTTTTCTTGTAGGTTTTATTTTTATTGGTTGGGGTGGGGGGGGGTTGAGTGCGTGTGCGTGTGGTGTCAACAGTTGCAGACTGACTGTAAAATCAAACAATAATAATAATAATAAACCCTGAAAACAAATACCGAGCGAAGAGCTGACACGATGATACAACAGTAATCCCTGCGTTTGATACAGCGCTTTTCACGTCTTCGCGACGTCTCAAAGCGCTTCACAGGATACGCCGTAAAGTGAATTGACCGTATATTCGTGGGTGGAAACGCGGCGGCCGGACCGCGCGCAGCCGTGTTTTGTGAGACATTTGGATTGCATTTAACTTTCCATTGCCCCCACTCTCCTCGACGGCCACGCTCGGAAATCCTCAAAACACTGGCTCTGAGAAAACTACTGAACTGAAGATCATTGTATTGTGTGTGTACACGCATTGGATTAAAGAAAAAAAAACTGTCAACCTTGCACATCTTAAAAGGAAAACAAAACCCCTCCGAACAATACAACTTACACTTTACAATATATTCTGTGAAGAGTTTTGAGACGTCTCAGCGACGTGATAAGGCGCTATATCAAAGGATAATTATTATTACTATTAGCAGTTAGGACAATAAATGAGATACAGACAACTGTGTTGAAATCCAACAGTTTAATTAGCGTACATTAGCATATCGTTGGAACTTGTAATATTTATTTTGAGCTATTTACTTTGGTAACATTTGTCCTGCATACTACGCTGGATGTTGCTTATGGGTCTTAATAATAATAATAATAATCCTTGCATTTGATAGAGCGCTTTTCACGTCGGGAGGACGTCCCAAAGCGCTTCACAGAACACACTGTAAAGTGAATTGACTGTATATTTGTGGGCGAACGCAGCAGCCAATTGCGCACAGCAATGTCCCACAAACAGTCGTAGATTGAAAATGACCAATTTATTATTGTTTTTAGTTTTGGAGGGATTATTATTAGGCTCTGTGTGGAGTAAGGAAACTTGCCCACGGTTTCGCCCTCTGCCTGGAATTGAACTCGGGTCTCTCATTTGCAAAGCGAGTGCTCTAACCACTGAGCTACAGGACTCCACTACAGGGTCTTGAACATATAAAAAATTGTAATTTACTTTTGAAATCGACAGGCAAAACATTCAACAAAGAAGACTATTCCCATTCAGCTTTCAGATTGACTTTGTGGGCAATTGTTTCAGGGTTTACTTCAGGTCTGATTGTTTGTCCCATACACTGTTGAGGCCAAGAGATTAGGCAGGCAGATAAATAACCCTTTTTCTTGGCCTGGGAAATGCCTTTATTCACTTAACTGAGGATGGGACACACACATTTTACTGAGGTGTGTTGGAGCAGCAAAATGTGGCCGTGGATGTTCCCTGACCCTGACCGGCTACTGGCTCTCCCCCCCCCCCCCCCCGCGTCCTGAGTACCTCCAGGATCTGACCCCTCCTGACTGACGCACCCTGGCCCCGGCAACCCCTCCATCCTGACACCCTGTGCCCTGACCCCACAGGAGACCTCACAACAAGCCTACTCCTGGTCCTCATGTGACGGCCACGTGCACAGGCTTTCCAGCAGGGGGCGCTAGTTAGTTCCGACTCTCACTTCAGATTGCTTCTACCCTTTGCTTGGCCAAAGGTCACTGGGAGTAATTGGCGTTCCCCCCCCTTTCCCGCCCCCCCACCCTCCCACCACCTGCGTTCAGCACAGACCACAAAATGAACCCGAAACATTCCGTACGGGACGTCCTCCCGACGTGAAAGGCGCTCTATAAATGGAATCTTGTTGTTGTTGTTGTTGTTGTACTGAGTCAGGTCAGCTAACTAACCTCCGTAAGTGGTAAGCGTTGGGTTCTGTGGAATCTGAGAAAGTCCATTTAAAAATCATGATGCTGTGCTTTCAGGAACGCAAACGTTTTGTTAAGGCCTTGGGACGTCCTCCTGACGTGAAAGGCGCTTTACAAATGGAATCTTGTTGTTGTAAGGGTTAAATTATTCCACCCCTTTGCACGTGTTGCTGTATCCACGTTCCCCCCTTTAATCACCTGAAGTGTACCGTACATGGCATCTGGTAGGAAAAGCTCAGCGTGCTGTAAAGGAGCTACACTACGTGGAGAGCTGGTCCTCAGGCATTGGTGCCTTTATACACTGTAGAGGTTGGAGTGACAATTAGTCTATTTATCAACAGATTAGCAAAGTTCATCCTTAAATCCACCCATACTCTCATTTTAAATAGTGTGGATTCCTACTTTTTTCTTGTTCTTGCACTCAAGTATTGTAGGTTTAGCAAGAGCCGATATAATAATAGTCATTGTATTTGATATAGCGGCTCCTCACACCGTTGAGACGTCTCAAAGCGCTTCACAGAATATACCGTAAATTGAATGGACTATTTTTGGGGCGAAACACGGCAGCCAATTGCACACAGCAATAGAACACATTGGGCTTGGTTCTCTTTGCTATCAGCTTGCACTGCGCTGTCTGTCATAGCACTTTGTTCTGCACTCAATGTACTCCTAGTTTTCACCATATAATACGTTTACTGTAAACACAATGCTCAATTTGTCATCTCGGAGGTTGACAACTAACTGAAGAGAGTTTGTCTGACGTATTCTACAGGCCAGGTTCAGGTGAGGTCCTTTTTCGAGAATGTGACAGTTTATAATAAACACTGGAGGAAAAATACACAGGAACTGAACAGACAACAAACAAGGCAGGAAACTACAAAGTAAAGAGGAGGGCAGAGTAATAATGGAATTTGTATACTTTCTCAAACTGAGGATCGACTGGAAAACTGACAGTTGATACAATCTTTCAGGTCTGCAATTGACCATTGAACATTATTTTGGAATTAATAGAATCACATGAGATAGTGAATAGTTTAATTGTTGCCGTGTTATGAATGTTTTCATTATTTTATTAAAATAATGCTTTCTTAAAGTACAAGAGTGTAGTTTTGTATTTTAAGTTTAAGTTTAGTGCATTACACTGTATGGGAAGGGTACAGGAAGGCTTCAATTATTTTGAAGCCTTACTGTACCTTATGATTTGTATTATACAAATGCTAAACTTACTGCAACAGTTGCTTTTGGATGAGACCCTTCAGCTGGTGTTTTATTGCAGGTTCAAATCTAAATTGTTAATGTATTGTTGGAGCAATGCCTGTGTGTGCTGCATGTACAGGTGATCTGAACATGGTTTCACTGAAGCATGAATAAATTATTGGGAACAAATGTAGTTCTTACAACTACTTTCCTTTGTGACCGTATTTTCCAAAAAGCAAGCGCATTTTTTATTTTAAAAGTTATTGGACTTATTAGATGCGTACAGACTCAGATGTAGTAGATTCGGATGAGTCTGTGATGACTGATTTCACCCAGGATGGCAGTAGGGACATTACAGTTGGTCTCAGTGACCTTGGTTTAAGAAGGGGAACAAATCCCCTTTGTGGTGTCCTGTAGCTCAGTGGTTAGAGCACTCGCCTCGCAAGTGAGAGGACTTGGGTTCGATTCCGGGGTAGGGCGAAACCTTAAGCAAGTTTCCTTACTCCACACGCCTCTGTTTACCCAGCAGTAAGTAGGAACCCGATTGTTAGACGATTGGCAGATCGCTTTTCCAGGTTAATAGTAATTTGGACACTCAATCCACAGTCGTTCGTGGGACACTGCTGTGCATAATTGGCTGCTGCGTTTCAACCACAAAATAGACAATTCACTTTACAGTATATTCTGTGAAGCGTTTGAAATGTCGAAGATGTGATAAGGCGCTATATCAAATGCAAGGATTTACTTATTATAACAAAACAATCCAACCTGAGCAGATGGACTCAGTGTGGCCTCGGCAGTCGCAATCACAGGTGGTTTAAAAACTTGGAGGTAATGCGGTGACACATCCTTTGGAGTCATTTCTCCTTCCATTTGACACAAAGCCTCAGACATTTGCTCAGTGCAATACCTGATGTTGACCCAGCTGAGAGCCTGGCCTACACTGCAGGTGAGCAGGCCAGAGGCAACACACCATCAGTTGACCATTTCTGCCATGAATTACAACTAAATCTTCCCCTAAATCACTCAAACAAGTTATCACATCACCAGCTGCATATCCACTTTCACTATATGGCTATTTTACTATATGGCTATCAGAAGTTAGATATAAACCACAGCCACCAAACTCAGACAAAAGGGCATTCCTTCACCTTATTCTGTTCATTTTAATCAACACTATTATCGACTGAGTTGACGTAGATGGAGCAATATATTGTGCGATCTCACACACACCAAAACATAGCAACTACTGTAATAACAAGATTTACAGGGATCACTGGATTTAAAATGTTAATTACACTGCTGACAATTACAATTGCGGTCAACAGTTGCTGGAGTAGTCTCTGTTTAGTAATGCAGGATTGCATGATTTGTAACATGGATAATCAGGCTGCGTTTCTCACTACATTACCAGGGAGTTAATAATGCAGAATTATTGGAGCAGTATTTTTAATTAACGTGCCACGGCCTCACTCTTTTGTTGCAGAGTAAATCACTGCTAAACATTGGAATACACTGTGCGAGCTGTTTTGCAATCAGTTGTTCAAGTGGCCAAAGATTTGTAAGAGGTGAAGTTCTGACAAAACCACTTCGTACCAGATCAGAAAGGAGAGAGACAGAGAGAAAAAAAAATCACATTTAACCTCCGTTTAGGTGATTTGTTTTGAAAGCTCAGGAGGTAAAGCTTCTGTGAGACTGAACTATACAAAGAATTGCTAGAGAAAAGAAGACCAAGGTCCATCCAGTTCACCTTCCATCATCCTGACAGTCACTTGCACATGTTGTGTCCCAAACTATATACTGTATCCCCCAAATATTATTTCCTGACAGAAATCTATCTCATTTGGTTTTGAAAGAATCAACACTTTCTGCTTCCACCGTCTGTCTCTGTAGAGAGCCTGTTCCATATGTTTATCACTCGCTCACTGAAGTTTCCGCAGATTTATTTGGAATTTTACCCCATCTTCAATCGCAGACCGTGTCTCTGGTTCTACTGTTCTGGACAAGACAAATATACAGAGTCGGAGGTATCACTCTCAATCCCTGGTCTGTGCTGAGTTAGCTAATAATAAAAATAATAATCCTTGCCTTTGATTACAGCGCCTTATCACGCCTTCGAGACATCTCAAAGGGTTTCACAGGAATATTGTGGACGAAACATGGTAGTCAGTTGCACACAGCATTGTCCCACAATCTCAGTTGAGGCAGTGCTTGAGCTGTATATTTAGAGGGAAGCAGAAGTGGGTGGTGGCGTGAGAGTAATCAGTCAGAGTTTATTCCCGTATTGCTATGCAGTTACTCCTTGCTTGAGATAACATTTTGTTGAGTGTAGTTGATTTCAGTAATTAAATCTTTGTGCAACCACACAGCTTTCTTCCAATTAGTTTTGGGCACTTTCTCTGCCTTAATTCATCGGTAGTTAGATTTGCAAAGTCAGGAATCGCATCGCAATACTGCACCATACAGACTAGAATGCTCGAAGCTGAACCAATCTTCTCTTCATTAAATCGCTCCTCCCTGCTGGTATTATTCATATGATCAGAATATCCTTTGCTCACTTATTTAGGGCAGGTGGATAGTTCAGGTTTATGGGCAGGGATTACTTTTTCACTCCCTGCTCCCAGCAGCAATGGCAAAATGGGATTATTTATTAAATCGTTAAGACATACAGGATAGAGGTAGGGTTTAACTGCCTGACCACCATTCCCCACTCCCCACACAAGAGCAAAATTACATTCGTATAGCGCCATAATGAAGCTGATGAAAGCATCATGAAACAAGGAAGAAAGATCTTGAATTTCTATTGCGCTTCATCACAGCAAAACATCTCAAAACACTTCACAGGGCATTCCACTCAAGTGCAGGGGCTGGGGTTATGGGGAATTGTGGCTTCTATTTGCACCAGCAAGGCCTCATACACAGTCATGAGAGAGTCCATACAGAATTAGACAGAAATCGGTCACTCACTCCACTGCTGTTTGCAAACTGGCTGCTGCATTTTTCTCCCAAAAATACACAGTCACTCCACTTCACAGTATATCCCGTGAAGCGCTTTGAGACGTCTCGATGAAGTGATCAGGTGCTGTGCCAACTGCAAGGATCACTATTATTAAATTTTAATACACGTGCACAGAAATCTTACCCCAGCTGTGAGAAGGGGAACAAACACACTGGGGGATTGAGCTCTACAACGTATGGAGTTGGGTTTTCAAAGGAACTAACTAACCTGATCTAAGATAACAGCAATGCAACAGCCCATAATCATAATCCCAGCAAAACTCTACAGAGAATCAAGAGTAATGAACCATATCCAGCTTAACAGAAAACTCAGAACCCTGGCAATGATCAACCATGCTGTAGTACCTAAATAACATTGGTGTAACATTTTACCCAGTTTTATTGTGAACTCCTAAACAGCGCATCCTGCTATTTCTTTCCAAAGTGAGCAATTTTATCGGACCTTCCAAATTGTGAGTTCCTTTACAAGGTGCGGGTATAAAAGAAAGAGTCTTCACGGGATTGCTCTAGTAACAGGAACAGGAATAGGCCATTCAGCCCCTTGAGCCTGTTCCACTATTCTAGTACAACATGGCTGATCTGTACTGCAACTCCAAATACACACCTTTGCTCCATATCCCTTGATACTCTCTGACCAGTGGCACCCGACGCTGGCTGATGCCAAAGGGAGGAAAGATCTATACCAAAAGGTAAAAAGACAAAAGCCTTAGTTAAATTCACAGGAGTAAATTGGAATTTAAAGAAGAGCCAGATGTGCAGAGATTGAAACAGGTTAGTTATTCATGTCCGCCCCGTCTTTCATGACAATGAGTTACTGAAACAACGCAAAGCGGTGTAATAAGCTGCTGCTGTGGCGTTTTCTGGCACATTTCAAATAAGCTCGACATGAAAGTGCAATATGGCTCTTGAGGCAACTTGAATTGAACAGAGTGAGTTGGAGCACAACACTGGACTGGATTAGACACAGCTTTGGTCCTATATGAAGCGAGCCAACCCGGGCAAGAGTTTATACTTTGAAAGGGCTTTAAAGGCTACACAAGTTTGGACGTTTCCTGCCACTTTCTTTCAGGTTAGTTTTAGCAAATGTCAAATGTTATCTATATTAAGACAAAAGGGATGGTTAATTTCCAGCTAATTTTAATAAGATTGTTTTTCACCCCCTCCCCCCCCACTTGCTTTCGCTCAGGATGCACTGTATCTGTGCTAAAGACATTATTAAATTGTAGAGTTCGTGTGAGAAAGGAGGGTGTTTGCAGGATTTGTACCTGTTCAACACCTGATCAGGTTGTTGAGCCGTCTCAAAGCACTTCACACAATATACTGTAAAGTGAATTGACTGTATACTTTGTGGGCAACAGCCAATTGCACACAGCATCGTCCCACAAACAGTCGCGGATTGAGTGACCAAATTATTATTATTATTTGGGGGGTGGGGGAGTGTTGGTTGCTAATCTTTCTCATATTTATTTCTCTCCTGTCCAGATGACACCATGTCTTACTACAACGACGAGCCCCGATACACCATTGAACAGATCGACTTACTGCAGCGCTTACGGCGATCAGGAATGACTAAACACGAGATCATTCACGCGCTGGAAACAATGGAGCGGCTCGACCAGGAACAGAACGACAAGTTTGTCAGGCGGCCCAACTACAGCAGTAATTACGGCAACAACGTCTCGGCCTCGTCCTCCACAGCCTCCGCCGCCACGCAGACTCAGAGCATCGCCCAGTCACCCTCGCCCAGCAACAGCTACGACACCTCCCCGCCACCGTACAACGCGAGCCACATGGGGCGAGAGAACGCGGCGAGCGAGAGACTGTCAGTGGCGAGCGGAACTCTGTCTCCCCGATACCAGAACAGCGTCAACCAGAGGTCGTACAGCTTTGACACGGGAGAGGAAGATGCGGACCTGGAGGAGAAGGTGGAAGAGTATATGAGGTAACACGAATGGGCAGAGAGTAAGCAGAGAGAGAGAGCGCGCGTTCCGTTCCGACAATCTATTTCTCGGATTTCCATGGCTGGGTAGGAGACTTGGAATTATCAGTTGGGTTTGGAGACTCTTAAGCAACGGTGACGGGTTTCCCTGTGTGTCAGACACCCGGCTGGTCACCGTGACGGGTTTCCCTGTGTGTCAGACACCCGGCCGGTCACGGTGACGGGTTTCCCTGTGTGTCAGACACCCGGCTGGTCACCGTGATGGGTTTCCCTGTGTGTCAGACACCCGGCCGGTCACCGTGATGGGTTTCCCTGTGTGTCAGACACCCGGCCGGTCACGGTGACGGGTTTCCCTGTGTGTCAGACACCCGGCTGGTCACCGTGACGGGTTTCCCTGTGTGTCAGACACCCGGCCGGTCACCGTGACGGGTTTCCCTGTGTGTCAGACACCCGGCTGGCCAAAAAAAGAGGTGGGACATTGTAGAGTTACACAGCCAAGATTTCTTCTCCTTCGTTCCTCCTTACAAGAGATCATGGATTGAATTCCAGGATTATCTGTCACTCCTAGCTATCGATTTAGATTTATTGATTTATTTGCCACTGGCTAAACTATGTCGTGGAAGTGAAACCAGAGGGAAGGTATCTGATTTAGGAATAATAACAAAAGACATACGCTGATGTAACCGAGTTGAATTGCACCTCCTGTTGGATAAAGTCAAATCCAAATCAGTACATCTTCTCTTTTTTCTCGCGCAGGAGGGATAGCAATGCAGTAAAAGAAGAAATCAAAGCATTTTTAGCCAATCGCAGGATTTCTCAGGCTGTGGTGGGGCAAGTCACAGGTAAGGAAGACGGAGAGAGTAAAACCATTGGTTAAAAAGTCAGCCATATTTTCCTAATGGCTTATTAGGGTAAAGTAACCACTGGATACAGTGCTCAACCACACAGATGAAAAGTATCCAGGGTTGAATCCCCAACTAATATAACTGATCTCAAATAGGGACAAAATGCCCTGGCTTCAGTGTCCTTAGGTTGGGGGGGGGGCAGGAGAGGAAATTCAGTCAGGGCTCACTTGATTGATGGAACTGACCCCTGCTGGAATGTACAGTCCGCACAGATAAACATGAGGGACGTGCAGGAGGCCAGAGCCAGTCGAACGGAGGCAGCGGGTAGTGGGTTGGGGAGTCAGCACGTCGGAGAGGTAGGGAGGTGCCAGGAAACAGCTTCCGTTAAATTGTCGCTCTCTGCAACTGTCTCAGGGAATTTTGCAAGCGAGTGCCAATATAGCTGCTGAATTCAGTTCTCGAGCACTGGCTGGAGCTGGTGTGAACTTCTCGTCTGCTTTGAGTTCAGACCACTAGCGCCTTGGGACATCCTCCTAACGTGAAAGACGCTATACAAATGTAATTTGTTGTTGCTAAACCATTTCATTCTATCAAATCTATAGCGTATTCTCTGATTGAGCAAACAATAAAAAAACACTGAGTGGTTTGTCAGTGTAAATGGAATATGGGCTGTTTGGCTGTGTGCACACAATGCGCAGTACAGTCTAAGATCTAATTTCAGGACAGCTCCAGCAAGGCTTCAGTTTCCCACGTAATTAACCACTGTGGCCTCAGAGGTAAACTGCAGACTTAATGCCAATTGTGCTGAATTGGAGGAACATTTTGTGCTCTGGCCGGGTAGAGACTGGTTCAATGTTGCCCAGACTCATTGTGCTTAACAACCAGAGGAGAGGACCCATAAACTCAGGCTGGATTTTAACCAAAACCCCATGGGTGAGAGGACAATGTTGTGAGTACATTTGACTAGTTTGTTCAATCGAGTTATTATTTAACAACTTGTTTTGTTACGTGTCGGAAAAGATTGTACCTAACAAAAAGCAGGGTTCAACCTCAGTCCTTCTGAGCTCTTGTTCTTTTAGAAACTAGTGGCAGGTTCTAAGTGAATGTTGCTCTCAGTGTCTGTCCAATACTCGTGCACAACAAATTTTTTTCCAATCATTTAAAACTTCAGCCACAACGCCCCGAGACTCTGTAACTCTCTCCTTCAATCCCTCCGCCTTTCCCCCTCCATTCACACTTTCAAATCTCACCTAAAGACTTTTCTTTTTGATCGTGCTTACGGTCACCTCTCTCTTACCTCTCCCCCACAGCTTGGCGTCAGACTCCACCACTGTCGAGGGTTCCGGGATGCTACCCCACGTGAAGGGCGCTATATAAAAGAAAGTTGTTGTAAAACGAATGTCTGTGAATTCTCTCATGCTTTTTTTTAATATATAAACACAGGTATAAGCCAGAGCTACATATCCCAGTGGTTGCTACAACAGGGTCTTGATATGAGTGAGCCCAAGAAGAGGGCGTTTTACAGATGGTACCTTCTCGAGAAAAATAGTCCAGGTAAGCACAGCATTCTCGTTTGGGTTCCCAATGTGCCAGAGAGGGAATTGGAGTCAGATTCAACAAAGTTAAGAAAAAAAATACCACTTCCCCATTTCTGTTCTAGAGTAATAACAATCCCAGTGTAGGACGGCGTTACTGAACCATCAAAGGCTATGATGGTGCGAGCACATCCACTGGGGCCAACTATTCTGGCCAACAATTTTCCCGATCAATTTGTCGTTCACTTCATCACGGTTTGTGGCATTGTGTTGCGTGCAGAGTGTTTGCTACATTTGTCTAATACACAGTGATTATCCAGGAAGCGTTTTGAGCTCTTCAACACTATACAATTCAGGTTACAGTCACTGCACTTTACAGTATAGTCTGCAAAGCGCTTTGAGACATCTCGAAGACGTGACAAGGCACTATATCGAATACAAGGATTATTATTATTATTAATAATAATTTTCCTCCTGTGTTTCAGGCGCAACTTTAAGTATGAGGCCAGTGTCGACCACAACCACAGAGGAGCCCGAGTGGCGGTCAAATGTCAGTCCAGTGACGGGAAACTTCCGGCTGAGGAGAGGAAGCAGATTTACTTGGCGTAAAGAGTGTTTGTCTGTCATGGAGAGGTTGGTAGGAGGAGAGAACGTAGTCATTTGGAACAGAAGTCACCCTCCTACCCCCTACCCCCTGATCGCAACACCCAGCTCGGGTCCCAAATCCCTGACTGTCCAGGGCAGCGCCTTGGGATGTCCTCCCGACGTGAAAAGCAGGCGCTGCGTAAATGTAATTTGTGGTTATTACAGCAACAGTGGAAATGCTAAATACATAGAGCGAGCACTAGCAAACGCTTTCAGTAAGCGCGTAACAGGACTTTCTCGGTTTCGTTGTCTCACAGTTATTTTGGTGAGAATCAGTATCCAGACGAGGCAAAGAGGGAAGAGATTGCCAATGCTTGCAACACAGTCATACAGAAACCAGGTGAGCAGCTCCGGACACCGTCAGTAACCTGTAACTAGTGTTGCAAACGCAAGGAATCTGTGCATTTACTGGTACAAGAGCTTTAGGTATATATGCCTTAGTTAAGAACATGAACAGAAAAATTTGCTAGGCCACAGATGACCAAGTCCATCCAGTTCACCTCCCACCATCCTGGTAGTCGCTTGCACACGTCATGTCCCAAACTATATATTAATGTGCATCCTGAGATAACATTGTTCCCATACAAAGCTTTTAGCAGATCACTGTCAGCTTGTTCCTGCTAAGAAATTGGATAAACTCTGCTCATGCATGCATTACCTTTGGACACAGAGGAAAGATCACTCAGTCCTCAGCAGGTTCAAATAAAGTTAGGTTAGAGCAATAAGAGAGAACAGTATGTGTGAGAATCAGACCTATTACTGGACACTTTGTGTTTTCTACCATCATTTGGGCCAAGGCGCCCGGTTTTCATCAGTATGTGCCAGGTCACAATGTCACAGGCTAAGCCCTTCCGTAGAGAGAGGTAGCGCTGGGGGGTGGGGGAGTCAGTTTGGGGGCCCACATACCATAACTTGCATTTATATTAACAGCCTTCACACAGGGTAGCGTCCCAGAGCGCTTGCATGTGAGAATCCTGGTCGCTGAAATACAGCACAATCGACACACGTCTGCAGTCGTCATCTACGCGAATTATTTTCCCGTTCTTTACAAAATGCTCAGTTACTACACTATATAGTGAAGAGCTTTGAGACGACTCAAAGACATGATAAGGCGCTACATCAAATGCAAGGATTATTATTGTGAGGAAAGGAATGTAGTGGGAAACAGTGCCACTCTTGTTCTATCTTTGTACTCAAACTCCTTCACACCGTCACAGAATGAATTGTTCTACCTTCACATTCCAGGTAAAAAGCTATCAGAGTTTGAGCGAGTTACACCCTTGAAAGTATATAACTGGTTTGCGAATCGCCGGAAGGAGATGAAGAGAAGAGCAAATATAGGTAAGCTGGTACCTGGTCTGTGGCCAGGAGTAGCTGAGGGAACGTGCGGTGGCTTTTTGGAGCTTTTGTGGGAATGAATATATTTGACTTGTATTTAAAATCCTCATTTTATGTACATGTACAAACATAGAATGTTTGCAGTAATAGTACGTGTGTGTGTTCAAACCTCAGCTCGGGTCCAAATCCCTGACTGTCCATCCAGCGACATTGTTGTTGTATGTGCATGAAATGTTGAATTTCTTTTTCCTGGCTACACACACACCACACTGGCTTAGAAACGGCAGATAATTGGTCAAACATGATTTTATTAAATCAAGAAAGAGAAAAAAACAACTTTGAGAGAAAATAGTAGGGAACATCAGCGCAAAAAAAAATGCTTTTGAAAGGTACTTAATGTGGACTTTCTTTTAAAATGCAATTAGAGTTTGATTAATTTACTTTCCCAAAGAAGCAGCAATTCTAGAGAGCCACGGCATCGACGTGCAGAGCCCTGGGGGACATTCCAATAGCGACGACATCGAAGGCAACGACTACTGTGAGCAAGTGAGTCACGACTATTAGAGGTTAGAGCTACAAACGTTACTTTCTGATTTTTTTATTCCCCCCTTTCTATGAGGCTACCCACCCCCCTCTCCTCTCCTCAACCCCCCCCTCTCCTCCTCCCAGACTCCACCACTTTGCTCCGAGACACTACCCCAACGTGAGGGGTGCTATATAAATACAAGTTGTTGTCGTTCTTGTGTGAACACAAAACCTGAAGGGTTTATTGGCAACCCGTAGTGAAAGTTAACTAACAGACACTTTCATTTTTATAACTTTATAAATCAACAGGCTTTTAAAAAACCAAGCTTGGCATCATCCAGCTTGAATAGATCATTTGTTTCTTTATAATAATAATAATAATAGTCATAGTGACCTCCCCACATAGTACTACAGTATATGTAGATGCTAAAGTAGTTTGTACATGGTATTTGGTGAAAAATAAAACACAGAAGAAAGAAAAATAATAACATTCTTTGGAGTTGAATGGTTGACAAACCAGAGCAACCTCACCTGTCCTGTTTCACAGAAGCAGCAAGGTCCTGACTGAAACAAAGAACCAACTACCCACTCATTAGTATGTCCATGTGTGTGTCAGACTAACCACTCTCGGTACACTCGTTAAACGGGCAATTGTAGTGGCAATTAAGGTTTTACTGGGGTAAAGAAACTCTCTGTTTTCAGTGGAGATTTACTGTTTATTCCCATTTTGGCAGTTACTCTTGTAGTTAGTTTCAGCAGGTGATGTGTTAGCATCAATGAAGATACATCCCCATCAGTCAATTTAAACTACTTACACATGGGGGAAATATAAACCAGCTGCTAAAATAGCACCAATCTTTAATCAACATTTTAACTAAAGGATCATCAATTGTACAAATTACTACCAAACTGGGATGAAAGGGTTGTCGGGGAAGACAAGTGGCTGAAATCGACACAGAAGAAAAATAGATCTTGAAGTTGGATTTTCAAGGTGGCTTCAAAAAATATTTTGAGATCCTCCCATATTACATTATGTACAATATTTCTGTTAATATCAGGCTAACCCCAGATCAGGTTCCCAGTCAGTGATGGGTGATGAGCATTTCTCTATCTATAGAAACAGGTTGTCTGTGAAAACTGTACATTCAGTGTGCTTTATATATATATATATAGACACACACGGAATAAAGCGGTCTTTAGCTCTGTTTCAAAAAGGTTGCGCCTTTTTGCCTCTAGCGCTTTGGGACGTCCTCCCGACGTGAAAGGCATTCTACAGATATAATTTGTTGTTGCTTGGACCCGTTGGATGCTGACACTTTATTTGGGGATTTTTGTTTGAACAGGTTTGAAATGTTCATTAAAGTGACAACACGTTCGTTCTTTCATTGTCAGTAACTCTGATTTACATCCGATTCGAACGGGTACCACGTTTTTACAAATCAGCCCAGAATAGGGAGAGCATGTTTGTCAAAATGATCGTTGTTGGTTACGGGATTTAAGATAGAAATATTGTTAACAAATATCTCAGAAATTATCCTCTGAATTTCACCAGCAAAACACCAGGCAGGTTAATAGTTTAACTGCTGATAGTTTGTTCGCTTATGCAACAAGAGACACAATCCTGTCCAGCTGAGTTGTACTGTACTATGTGTGATTCTTGTTAAATCCAGTGCTACTTATACGGTAGTTTGTGTTTCTATCCCCCTCCTCCACTCAGGACGAAAATACGTGTCATAGTGACCATCAGCAAGACCCCATCTCATTAGCTGTTGAAATGGCAGCTGTCAATCATTCAGTCCTCGCGTTGGCTGGCCAGGGAGGAAGTGAGATCAAGACAGAAGCGATCGACGATGATTGAACGTAAGGCTGAAGGCAATCAGGATTATATAATCTTATAGACTCTAGCCACCTCCTTCCCTATTATATGTACTGTTCTGCGACAGACTGTTAGGTGTATATTTATCATTTGTTTGTTCACTGTGAGTTAAATTGAAAGAAAATTTCTCATATCATTTTTATAGCTGCCAATGTGATCATCTCATATTAACATATCAGTGAATAGAAGTTGTCACGTGTGAATCGTGCTGAGGTTTGCTAAAGGCTGACTGTGTTTTTAATGTATTGCTGCACACAAACACACACATGACCCGACACAGTTGAAATTATTATTAGCCGAAGGTGAAATAAAACGTTTTCTATTTTGTAAATTTGACATAGCTAGTTTTTTAATAGGCAGGTGTGAACCTCAAGCCAAACTCAGAGCAACCTGGCCCTTTGTAACACGTGGTGTGGACGTAGATTCCCGCGCAGTCTGGTTTCTTCAAGATTCCAGCTCCTGGAAACCTGGTCATTCAGGTGCTCCTAATGCAGCCATTGCCAGGTTTGACATTGGGCCACTTGAGTTTGGGGACTTGTTTGTTGGCTCCGTGTTTTCAACACGCTTTTAAATCGACTGTCCAGCCCAGAGCCTCCTACGATCATTCCTTGCATCAAATCACTTCTTTTTTGATCAATTTTATTTTAGTAAAATTTTATTTTAGTAAAATAAAATATATAGAGATTATATTTTAATTTAAGTTGGTTGTTCCAGAGCTTGGGTACATCTGTGAGCCGCTCAAACATGCAGCGACAGAGCCTTCAACCCCCACCACCCCTCAACCCCCTCAATTACCTGCTGGGCAAAACGTGGGGATCAGCAGAGCTTTCATAAAGGAAGCTTGAAAGTCGGTGGCTTTTGGTGAACTCTGGTCAATTTTCACTCCCCAGAAGTAGGGTTGTATTTAATCAGATCTGATCTTAACTCATTACAGTAGCGCCCGAGTCTGTCAGTAAATGGTGCTTGTATTATAGACGTTTCTACGTCCAATAGGGTTCAGTAGCTGGTTGTGACCATTGATGAAGGTTGGTTCAGTATTAAACCTGTTGGAGGCCTGACTTTAGAAATGCTAAGATGTCATAGTGGTCTGGACTCCTTGTCAGTGAGAGGTTAAGCACATAGTTTGAACGTGTGGAGGGCTGCTCACTGCTCACAGCTGGATAGATTGGCAGATCATCCTCGTGTTTCACTGTGGCCCAAGGCTGAGGCTGGAGCGCTCGACAGTGGCGGACTCTGACCCCGAGCCAGGGGGAGAGGGAGGGCGGAGGTGACCGTAAGCACCATCAAAAAGGGAGGTCTTTAGGCGGGATTTGAAGGCGGGGAGGGAGGGGGAAAGGCGAAGGGATTGAGGGAGAGTGTTGCAGAGTTTCGAGGCGTAGTGGCCACTGATTCTGGAGCAGAGGGCACGAGGGACAAAAGCAGCCAGAATTCACAATCATTCCTACTTCTGACGAAGCAGATTACTCAGAGTTTGCTGAATCAGCAAGTTGATCCGATTCCAGAACATAATGAGGAGAGTTTGCTGAACAGATGAGGTTGGAATACATTTGTTGCTGGAATAGCAGAAACATTACCTTTATTAATGTGCTGAGCTGTTACTGCAGGAAACCAGTATAATTCACTGAAAAAAAAACATGTTTAACATCTTATTTTATTTTGACTATTACCTTAGTCAGTATTCTCCAAACTCTTACCTTTGCTTCTGCTGCATTAATCACATCACTGAGTTTTACCAGAGACATGTATACAGATTGACTGAGTCAGGCACACAGACAGACGCACGGACAGACAGAATATTCAATGTTTCTAGGTGTTAAGCCTTCGTTTGCATAGTTTGAAAAGTTGCCCCTTTGTGAGGCATTTACGGAGTCAAATTTCATCCACTCTGTAAATCCAGCCAGTTTTTTAAAAAAAATAATTTCAAACAGACAATATTAATAATAATTACCCTTGCATTTGACCCAGAGCCTTATCACATCTTCGAAGCCGTCTCAAAGCGCTTCACAGGATACACTGCAGATATGCAATGAATCATAGAAACCATATCCTAAACATTACACCACTTCATAAATAAACCTTGCAGCACCTTTCACGTCGGGAGGACCTCTCAGAGCGCTTCACAGGATTCGCTGTAATGTGTAGTGACTGCATTTTGTAGGCAAACAAAATGAGAATGGTTGAGATAAGCTTGTGATTCAGGGATAATAAGGTCACTTATAATCATTTCAATAAAACTGACTTCCTCCGGTTTAATGTGCAGCACCCATTATAACCCCCCCCCCCGCCCGATATTAATTGATTGATCTGCTGATACAAGAGTAAACCTGACTGAAATCCTTTGCTGATTTCTGCAGTAGGAAAACTGTTAAATCTGTTAACCTGAAGTACTCTTGTGCCCCGTTCATTCTGTCTTCTTCTTAGATCCAAATTGAACCCGGATTAGCAAGCTATTGGTTTCTCTATTGATCGAGACTCAGCCCTGATCAATAATGCAGAAGGTCAGGTTCCCAGATTGCTGCAGTGGCGATATTACAATATTACAAACTGGAGCTTTGACTAATGTCTCAGTGTTGTCATTTGTGTCACAGAGAGCGAGTGCATCCTGGGTGGAAGGGAAAAAAAACTGGCTTCTGGCTTTCCACTCCTTCCCCCCCCTCTCTCCCATCTTTGAAAACAGATATATCTTAATAACATCTTAACCTTATTGTGTTAGAATTTTTTTAAGTATTCTGAGTGGGAACGACTTAACAATAAAGATAATAGTGGTTAGAGCACTCACCTCGCAAGCGAGAGGACCTGGGTTTCGATTCTCGGCAGAGCGAAACGTTGGGCAAGTTTCCTTACGCTCCACGCGCCACGCTGTGCGCAGTTGGCTGCCGCGTTTCACCCACAAGGTGTACAGTCAGTTAACTTAACAGTATAATCCGTGAAGCGCTTTGAGACGTCTCGAAGACGTGATAAGGCGCCAAATCAAATGCAAGGATTACTACTTTATTATAGGAATTTGGAGTGGGACCGAAATAGTATGACTTCATCGAAAGACCGCACTATGACAAAGCAGATATTTACTTTACCAGCACTGACCAAGTTTATCCCAAAGTAGGCAAGTCACAGAACAGCGCACTGCAATGCAGTTCATCTCCAGCATTGACGCTGCCAAGTTTTCCCTGCAGCCACTAAGCCAATTTATCAACGGTCTGATTTAAAGATTCTTTTCTTAACGCTGAGGGAATACTTTTTAAGACAAGAGCATCCTCTAGTGCTCAGCTCTTTAGTTGCAAGCTCGTCCAACTGATCACTGTTTGTACATGTAACATGTTTTAAAATTACAGTAAAACTCGTGTAGGTCCGATCTGTATAAATCGTATAGTGGCCTCAGTTGTGCATCTGCTCAAGAGTTTCTATTCTATGCAAGTTTCACATAACTCGTACTTTGCATAAGTCATATTTAAGTGTATGGTCCCAACTGCTATCCATGTCATTACATCGCTATATGTTACCTGTGATATGGTACTCGAGGATATCGACTACCCTATTCACAAGCTTGCTGTCGTTGTATAAAGATATCCCTTTGGAGGAGGCAGGCGGTTGATATTGCAGCGTACGTGCATTAGTAAACTGCTAATGTCAGGTTATTGTTGACCAAACTTGATCTGGTACAAGGCGAGTGGTTGAGTTTAGCATTCAGTTCCAGCCGGGGGTACCGTATTCTGACGGAGATACAGTCAGCTTTGAATGGCAAAGATACTTTTTTTTCAAAGATCAATTTTGGAAATGGTCTAATCGGCAGTGGTCGTGTTTCGTTGCACATTTCACAACATCCTTCGCATTGTCCACACTTCTGCTTATTCAAGTAACAACACATTAAACATGTTTCTGACCTGAAAATTGAACTCCATTCCCGCAATCAATGCGACGAGGCGATGTCTGCAGCTTCTCGTGTTATGAACAAGCGAGGCAAAAAGAAAAGGCATTTCTAAGTACAATTTAATGACTTAACCATAATAGAATTTTGGATTGTAAAGTACTGGTCAATTTATCCCCAAATCGACAACAAGATAGCCCCACGGATTGTAGTACTATTTGTCGTCAATCTAAAAAGAAAGGCAGCGAATAGGGTTTGAACTGATTTTTCTGTGTCTTTACGGGGTCTATTCCTTGCTTGTCACATTCAAGAATAAAATAGTCGCAATATTGAATCAGGAAAACACAATGTATGAAAAAAACATGTACATAATGTAGATATATTGGCTTTACGAGCTGTCATGTAGATACGGTCTTGTCTTGCCTTACGATCGCAGGTTGAGATGTTATGGATCCCGAACGCTGTATTCTCACAAGTCTGTTCTGTGTTGGTATTCTAGTGGGAAAATATATGTGTTCTTTTACATAAGGTGAGGGCAGGATTGAGCTCAGCTGTGAATCTCCCCCCAGGTCAAATAGCATTTACTATCTAGACTCACATAGGAATGATGACAATGGGAGCTCAGCCGCTGTGGAAATATACCCCCAATTGTAGGCTAAAAAGAATCAGAAGCATCTTTAGGAGAGGAGTCGGAAATGACAAGGAAGAAAAATAATCTTTAATCAATATTTTAATAACACTGCTGAAAGGAACCAACCTGCCACTCTCCAACCTCTCAGACGTGACATTGAGTTCCTGTACTACAGACTAATAAATCAGAAACGCTAACTTAATGCACTTTATTTATCATTTTACTTTGACTGGGAGACGTAGAACAAGTATTTTTTAGTCTGTTAAAGATCTTGAATAATCTGCAGTGTTCAAGGAACAATGGCATTATTTAACAAAGTTTTTTTTAGCTTTTCTCAAATAAAACACTTGGAAATTGCATTTCCTTCGTCCGTCCCCCCACCCCCCCCGAACCCAATTTTGTTTCTTTTGCCTCAAGGACTCTGGTGTCCCAAATGTCCAGAAAGATAATAATAATCCTTGCATTTGATATAACGCCTTATCACGTCATTGAGACGTCTCAAAGTGCTTCACAGGATATACTGTAACATGAATTGACTTTGGGTTTTGTGGGTGAAATGATGAGATAGAGGGGAATTATTTTCGTCTCCATGGCACCATTCATGTCCTGCTAACAAAGAGCTCGTTTGGAAAGGGTTAGAGTTATGCCATTTCCTCTCTCTCCCTTCCTTGGGCCCCACATTGCAGCTTTCAACACTGGGGGCTGGCAAATTAAAGCGCCAGCAACTCACTGGGATTAAATCCATAGTCAGAGCAGTGCAATGAGGGTTAAGATTCACCTCAAATCGGATGACAAAACAGCCGGAAATAGTCCCTTGGTCAACGATAATGTTAATTACCTTCCAACAAATATTCTAATAGCTACACACAACAAAAGGTTGGTGAATGGCATAGAGTAATTCACATCTGTTGTAAGAATAAATCCAGGCTATTGTTGTTTTACCGTCCAGCGCCCACAATACAAATTACAGGACAGTGAAACACGATGAGAATTGTTCAAAGAGTGACTTCTCACCCCCACTCCCAGTTCTCTCTCCTTGTGACCTTGTAAAATAATTACCAAGTGCTCTTATTCCAAATTAGACAAACAGATATGAATCGCTTTGGTTTGAATTTGCTCCATGAGTTCAGCAGAATCTGTTTCTACTTTTTAACAAGTGTTTTGATTGCTTTGTTGATCCCATCTTACAGTATTGATGCACACTAGGTGCTGAATATAGGGCATAAATCTGCTTCACTTGTTTCCATTACATCATTGTCGTGGGTTTACGCTATGGGACGCCTGCACAACTCATCGTATCAGTTCAATATTAAAAATATTTACCTGTAAATATATTTCATAGAAACGACTAACTTCCACTTATCAGAGGTAATCAGAATGAGATTACCTCAAGGTGAGATCCCTTAACGAGGGAGAGAGATTGCTGTTTGGAGCTGAGAATTACTTCTCTTGAAATGAACAGAAGATGTGAAAATTCAGTATTATAATTAAAAAGAAATAAGATGCCTACCGTCATTCACAAGTCCACATTGTTTTAGAATATCTTCCATTTCATACATTTCCATCATCACACACTCTATGTAGAAGTCAATTAGAAATTAGCTGCTTAATCAATAGAGACAGATTTACTTCCTTCCCCCCCCCCCTCCCCCCACACATATCAATATCAGTGCTTTATGCTGTCACACAATGCCAGATACTGAATGTAATGTGATAGGGGAACGGAAAATGTTAAATGGAAATATCCCAGAAGCAATATATTTGAAGATAATGTAAGTGCTTATTTTAAGAACTGATTACTGATTACAAACAGTGTATACAATTGTGGTATCAAAGCCATATCACTGCCAGGAAGGGAACCAACTTAAAGATGTGACAGAATCCAAATGGCTTGTGGAGTCTCTCTCGTCAGTTCTGGAATCTGGTCTGAACTCATTACTCAGGGGAGGGGGAGAAAGTTATATTGCAATGTGTTTTCCAAACAACTAATTACAATACAACCAGTGTAGTGAGTCACTAATCCTGTATTACTCATCTCTCCCATCCCCAAAACATAACACTTCACAGTCTCTGTTTACTGTAAGAGATGGGATTATTTGTGGGATGTGATGGAGCCAATGATCACAGCATCGTCACCATTCCCTGATTATAAGATCAAATGCTTACAATCTGTTTGAAGTCAGGACGGTATTGTATGTATGGGCTCTTATCAATGTATCGGACCATCTAATGGAGATGGCTGTTTGCGGTCGGAGCTGACAGTACATTAGCCACGTGGATATTTTATCAAGCGCTAGGTCGAGGCAGAAAGTGGCGTTCAGAACTCGGGAGAGATTGGGTCCTGGTGGGGGCTGGGTGGGTGGGGGGGGAGAAACTCCAACTAAAAACCTAATTGCACTACTGATCCCGCTGGTCGAATACAAAGGTACAATGTCACTCGGCTGAATCTGGCACAGAGTGCTTTACTGTGGACGATGTACCCCACTTTACGTGCGTTTCCTATTTAAGTGTCGAGGATTTTTTTTCAGACTAATATAGGCTTCTCCCGACGAGTCACTATTCTGTGTAAATCTGTTGTATTTTTAAGCCCAAACGTTTGCGATCCTTGTAGGCACATTATTCTGTTATCCCTCACCTCTATTTCACCTTTGATTGTTTATCTGAGATGTTTCTCTCGCTCACCTGCTCGCAAGAGACTAATCAGTGATAAATCTCATACCTTCTAAGTAAAGGAATTGATCTTCTCTGAGAACGGAGATGAAAATTCCCCTCGAAGCTCTTTCAAGTTGTCCTAATCCATTCCTAATTACTGTAAATATTTTTTTTAAAAAAAGCACTTTTCTAAATAAATTACTTTTTGTACTTCAATATCCTTTTTGTGTATAAATGTAGATCAGTTTATGTACTTATAATACAAGGTTGAATGCTTACTCTCTGCCCACAGCACAGAGATAATCATTACGCTATTTAGATCTGTTTGTTGAATGGATTGGACCACATTCTAAGAGAGACTTTTACATTGAAAAAATTCCAGAGATTTGGCTTTTTAAAGGGTTTGCGAGGAGAGTGTTCAAAACCCTTTTCCGTACAGCTTAGAATCGACATGCAGTACAAGTAACTTTGCTGGTTTGTTTTAAGTAACTGTTTTTGAAATACACTGTAAAGTCATTACTGTTATTGAGATTACTCATTTTTACTTTTTTATGCACTGTATTTAAGTCAAATTTGCACAAGTTTCTTTTGTTTTGTTCCAAGAAAAGGCAGGACGCCTTATTATCTATACTCAATCAAAAATCAGATGATACAAAGAGCAAGAAAAGTCACAGGAAAGACTGAATTCTCTCAGTTACATTGTCCGTCGCGACCCCTTCCTTCAAAACACTTTTCTGCTTGTACTAAATATTCAACAAGACTACTAATGAATGTGTTACCCACTGAAACCAGTTCTGTTGAATTATATCTACTGCCGTTACTGGATCATTTTAGGGTTATTTTCCACTTTAAGGATAATTGTTGTGTCCTTGCTATACCCACGAGAAGTTAACCATATTTACACAAGTACAAAATATGCAAGAGAATATTGATCTCCTGAACTATCAGCTGTTAATGTGTCTGTAATATTGTGGAATTTATCAAATAGCCATCACTGTGTTTACTAACTGTAATATGTTGATACTTTTTTTTTACATGACTTTCCCCCCCCCCCCCCCCCCATGTGGTCTGACTTCCTTTAATTATGGGAACGCAGGTGAACGGACCACAGATTTCATTGACTGATGCCTTTGCCACTCTGCGGTGCACTTTTTTTTAAGGGGACGATGTGTAGGGGTGGGGGTGGGAGTAAAGATGGCTCTGTTACCAGTTTCTCCTTCGGGGACTCGATCCACAAGATCAAGAAACTGATGAAGCTCTTCACAAGTGTGGCTTGTGGATTCGAGTAGTGAGCTTCTAAACGTGGGAGACTTGAACTCAAAACTGCACAACTGTAAAGTGAAAAGACACTACACAGCCAACGAGGATCATTTATCATGGTATACGCGGGCAATGTGCGATGACGGCACATTTAGTGAAGAGAAATGCCCATCAGTAACGTGTCCCAAAGTGACTGGAAAATAAAAGGAAAGGGAGTTGTGTAAGAATTCAGTTTCTTTGTATTCTGTGCTGGTGTAATACCGTCCTTTGTTCCGTGTCCATATGTATGCTTCCTTCCACCTGTATATAATTTGTAGTTAATGGTCTGGATTAGTGCCTTTTGACAGTAGACTGTTATAGAACCCAATTTATAGTTTTTTGTATATTTTCATTAATTGAATTTTTGGTTAGTTCAGATTTTATTTACCCCAATAAAGCAATAAATACAATCGAACAAACTCGTGTTTTCTTTTTCTTGTTGAACATAAAATCTCAAAAGGTCTGCTCATCAAATGTTAATCATTCCCCGAGGATTTAAGCATTCTAGTCCAGGTATGACATGAGGAGATTTGACTCAACTGATTTAGCAATAAAGCCTGGCATCCTGTTTGCCTTTAAAGAGAAAACAAAAGGAAAAATGGATCTCTGAGTAACAATTTTTAAAATTAGTTAAAATTGTTTTTAATATTCAGTTTAATGGAGTCAAACTAATATTTCCATATTACACCCTCCTAATGTTCCTGTAGCTTCATTGTTTTTCTTTTATTAAGCGCCAAATTACATGAGTTGAAAGTTGGAAGATATTTCAATTATTCTGTATATATTACTGTCTAAAATCTTAGTTTTTATACAGTGAAAAGTGCAGAATTACTGAAATATTTACAGCGAACCAGGATAAAAAAGCAATAAAGGTGGGGGGAGGAAATGTGATTGGCTGGATAGAAAGCTACCAAAGTTTTCTTTTAAATAAAAAATTTATTTTGCAAAAATATTTACAAAAATCGTACTCATACCAGTTGTTATGGATTATGGGGTGAGAGAGGAAATGGCTTGTGGAACGACGTTGTTTGGAGTCACTCATACTCTCCACAGTCGGAGATGATCACTTTCTCTTTGGGTTTCCCACTCTTGGTTCCTTGAGCCTGGGAAACAGAAAGTGGATTATGCACATTTGAGAGGAGTGGGTGAGGGGGGAGAAAGCCAATCCGAACTAAAGTCACAAGCAAACTAAGTTCTTTATATTCAAACTGCAATCCATATTTAATAATAATCCTTTCGTTTGATAATGCGCTTTATCACATCGTCGAGACGCCTCGAAGCGCTTCACGGAATAATTACAATAATAATCCTTGCATTTGATTTAGCGCCTCATCACGTCTTCGAAACGTCTCAAAGCGCTTTCTCAGAATAGACTGTCAAGCGAATTGACTACATTTTGTGGGCGGAACGCGGCAGCCAATTGCACACAGCAGCGTCCCACAGTCTACAACTGTGTCAAGAGAGGGAGAAGAAATCTAAACAGTACAAAAGACTTGAGGAAATGCTGAATTCATTCAGTACAACACAAACCATTCACATTTACACATGTCTACTTACTTCCATTAGTTTGATTACATCGAGTCCCTCCATCACCTCCCCAAACACCACGTGTTTCCCATCTAACCAGTCGGTCTTATCCAGGGTAATAAAAAACTGAGAGCCATTTGTGTTTGGCCCAGAGTTTGCCATGGACAGTAAACCTACAAAATCAACACGTACATCACTTACTGAGGCGCAACATCAAAAGATTTTCAATCTCACTAATATCGAGGTTAAAAGCGGAAAAGTCCTTCCAACAAGAACAAAGGTTGTTTTTATGACAAATGTGTTAGTTTACCAAATTTTGGTACTTTCACATCTTCCTGACGTCTCAAAGCGCTTCACAGAATATCCTGTAAAGTGAATTGACTGTATATTTTGAGGGCGAAATGCGGCAGCCAATTGGACGCAACAGTGTCCCCACAAACAGTCGTGGATTCAGCGACCAAATAATTTTTTTTGAAGGGATTATTATCCCAGGAAAAGCGATCCGTCAATCGACAAACAACCGGGTTCCTACTGACGTGTTCTCTGGTTCCACTGTTCGGTACACGGTAAGACAGCTCGATACCGGACACTGATATATATATGTACCTGTCGCTGTGTGTTTCAGGATGAAATTTTCGTCATCGTATTTCTTGCCATAGATGGATTTCCCTCCCGTCCCGTTGTGATTGGTGAAGTCTCCGCCCTGACACATGAACTGGGGAATGATGCGATGGAAACTGCAGCCTTTAAACCCAAACCCTTTCTCGTGTGTGCACAGGCAGCGGAAATTCTCTGAAGAGCCACAAGGAAGAGAGAAAGAAAGGCACCAATTAAAAATAAGCACGTTTTGCGGGATCTGCAACAGTATTCCAGTGTTCTGTTTGCTGGTTTGTCAGGTTTGACACTGCATAGCCCAGCGGTAAAAATGATCACCTCACATCTAGAGGGCTGCAGACATTTACTCCCGAGAGAAAAGGAAATGGGGAAGAGGGAACAGCCGGGGTTTAGCCATGTTATCAGTACTTTTTCAGCGTTTGCCCATTGACTAAGAACGATGGCATGGCTGTAGCGAGGATTGTTTTACCTGCCGTCATTGGCACCACATCGGCTCGGAGCAGAAACCGTAACCTGCCCACGGGTTTGTTGCCGATTTTGATGTCCATGTACACCTGCGGATTGGCTCGGACCTTCTTGGTGGGAGGCTCTCCCTAGAGACAGACGTGGGAGAGATTAGGCGATTCTCCCTAAAATCAAATGCCGTCAGCGTTTAAAAGAAATCGCAGCTCCCGACAATCGGAGCACTCACAGGATATCAACTAAACAGGCATTCGAGAAACGGTTCCTTGAGGAATCTTGACACGATCAACACTGATTTACTAATGGGAATGTTTACAAGGCCTGAGGGGGTAGGAGAGTGGGCGTAGAAGGGTGGGGGTAGGAGGGTGGGAGTAGGAGAGTGGGGGTAGGAGGGTGGGGGTAGGAGGGTGACCACGTAACACATAAAGAACTCAGAATATCTAAACCTGTCCGGCCTCACCTCCTGTGCTTGTGTGTTGGTGGCTTCTCCTCCTTGTGTCTCACTCTCGTTCTCCTCCAGAGTCTTTCCAGCAAACTTCTTCAGCCAATCATCATCCGACCACACTGCGCACAAACACACAGCGGTGACATTGCAGCCGACAAACAGCGGCGCAATAAAGATTCAAATAATTCAAATATTAACAGCAAAGAAATGTCTTTAAACAGAAAGGTTTTAATGTTTATACCTTTACGATTAGCAACTACTTTCAACTTTCCCTTCTCTTCCCTGCTCTGCTTAAGATAATAATAATAATAATAATAATCCTGGAGTTTGACCCAGCGCCTGATCACGTCTTCGAGACGTCTCAAAGCGCTTCATGGGATACACTGTAAAAGTTAGTGGCTGTGTATTTTGTGGGTGAAACTCGGCAGCCAATTGCATTCATGGCTTGCGAGCGCTCTAAGTAGTTGTTGTTGTTTGGGTACTTACCCGGCCTGGAGGATCCTTCCTTGATCCGCATGGGCTTGGCCAGATTGACACGGATTGTCCTCCCAAAGAGTTCCGATTCGTTCTGCGAGCAGAAAGGGATGACAGAAAAAATTAGGCCACGTCGTTCGTTCTTCAGTTGGGCATCCAAAACCAGACCTAGATTCCCCCTCCGCCTCTTTCCTTTAGCGACTTCCCCAAGACGCTGAACGCTGGATGATTCCCCCCCACGACAACAAACGGCAATCGTAACATTCGCGTCTCAGATTCACCAACTCGGCACGAACTGGGAATTCAACCCACGGCTGTTTGTGGGACGTCGCTGTGTGCGACTGGCTGCTGCGTTCTGCCCACGAAATACACAATCACTACACTTTACAGTCTATCCTGTGAAGCACTGTGAGAGGTCTCGAGGTCCACAGCGAGGTTTAACCGGTGACTTACCATGTTATCGATCGCAGCTGCAGCATCCTGGAAGAGAACGGGTAAAGTCATTAAACGTTACAGAGCAACCAGTAGGGTTTTTCTAAGCCTTTCATCATTAACTAAGTTGCCACACACTTAAAGTCTCCCCTCGCTGAAAACAGTGACGTGTATTGAGGCACTCACTGCTGGAAACAGAGGCACGTGAGTGCGTGGAGTAAGGAAACTTGCCTAAGGTTGCGCCCTGACCCGCCCGGGAATCAAACCCAGGTCCTCTCGCTTGTGAGGCGAGGGCTCTAACCACTGAGCTGCAGGACTCCACAACCCAGACTTCAATAAAAAAATGGAACAATTTCTAGTTCCATTTGGGTCCAAAGTAATCACTTGCAATCGCAGAAGCAGTCCAGTCATTCCCACTTTTTGTTTTGCCTCTTTGAAAACGCACCGTTGTTCAGACATCGCTGTCTCCGGCCCTAAAACACCGAGAAGCGTATCGAGTGAAACACTCACCTCGGCATTCTCAAACTCAACGAACGCAAATCCTCTGTGTTTTTCTGTGGGAGGGAAAATAACACGTTGCCATTTACACCCATCTTCACGGAGTGACCAACAAATTAGAGCATCTCAGTTACTACAAGGGAGCAAAGGTCCAGAGAAAGTCACACCGAACACTTAGCTGCACAATCTACTGAGAATTTCAGAATGTTTTTTAAATGGGCGGTGGTGGGGGCTGTGTGGTGTCTCTCTCTCTGTCACTGTATGTGTGGGGGGGGGTTGGGGAAGACACTTTAATATCATCACAATATTCCATCTCGACCTCATCCCCACCGTGGCCCAAACCCTGATTGACTTCGTCCACAAAATACAGTCAATTTACTTTACAGTATATTGTGTGAAGCGCTTTGAGACGTCTCGAAGACGTGATAAGGCGCTGTGTCATTATTATCATTATTATTATTTGCTTCCAAGTAATTTCTCCTGTACCCTCCGATGGTGGACATACGCCGGGGCCTGAGGTGGGAGAAAGAAGGCGGAGCAGAGATCAGAAGGACCTCTTCGCTGAGCAGCTTAAACCCAATACAATGGCAAACAGTTGCCGGAGATGAATGAACACTCACCAGTTTCATAATCCAATGGTATTTGAATGTCCATAATGTCACCAAATGGAATAAATGCAGCGTGAAGCACCTTCTCGTCCACCTCTTCAGCAAGTCCACCTGTGGTTAAACACAGCAACACACACACGCACACATGTACACACACACACACACATGTACACACACACAGACATACACACACATGTACACACGCACACGCACATGTACACATACACACGCGCACACACACACACACATGTACACACACACACATACATGTACACACACGCACACACATGTACACACGCACGCGCACACACACATGTACACACACACACGTACACACACGCACACACATGTGCACACACATGTACAGACACACGCGCGCACACATACACACACATGTGCACACACACATGTACACACACACACATGTACACACACCACACATGTACACACACCACACATGTACACACACCACACACACATGCACACACATGCACACACACGGGCACACACGCAAACATATAAATATATGGTTAAATACAGCAAAAACTCCGGAAAACTTGACCCCGACTTAAGTCGTTTCTGTCTCTTCAGTCGTCATTGTTGTCCACACGTCTCTCAGTCTGTGTGTGTGTGTGTGGGGGGGGTATGTGTGTGTGTGGGGGGGGGAAGAGGGTCTCTCTGGATGTGTGTCTCTGTCATTCACCCACATACAGGACCCTGACCTCTCTGTCACTGTGTGTGTGTGTGGGGGGGGGGGGGGGGGCTGTGTGTGTCTCTCTATCACTCTCTGCCTCCATCTGTGTGTGAGGGTCTGTGTCTCTCTCTGTGTGAGGGTGTGTGTGAGGGTCTCTCTCTCTGTGTGAGGGTCTGTGTCTCTCTCTCTCTCTCTGTGTGTGAGGGTGTGTGTGAGGGTCTCTCTTTCTCTGTGTGAGGGTGTGTGTGAGGGTCTGTGTCTCTCTCTGTGTGTGAGGGTGTGTGTGAGGGTCTCTCTCTCTCTGTGTGAGGGTGTGTGTGAGGGTCTCTCTCTCTCTGTGTGAGGGGGTGTGTGAGGGTCTCTCTCTCTCTGTGTGTGAGGGTCTCTCTCTCTCTGTGTGAGGGTGTGTGTGAGGGTCTCTCTCTCTCTGTGTGAGGGGGTGTGTGAGGGTGTGTGTGAGGGTCTGTGTCTCTCTCTGTGTGTGAGGGTCTCTCTCTCTCTGTGTGAGGGGGTGTGTGAGGGGGTGTGTGACGGTGTGTGTCTCCCACTCACCCACATAGAGGACCCTTTTGGTCGCCGCCATGTTGTGTCCCTCAGACCGCGCGGCTCAGGGCCGACAGCGCCCCCAGTGGTCAGTGCGCGCACCGCACCGCCATCCTCACTGCCCGGGGGGGGGGGGGGGGGGAGGGGGTCACATGGTGATCACAATCAACAACCAATAATCAATAACCAATAATCAATAACCAATAATCGATAACCATAATCATAGTGAACAGTGACACTGTTCCCGGAGGGTGTGACCCGGCGCCCGGTCGCGCCCTGAGAGCGCTTCAGGGGGACCCGCTGTCGAGTGTAGTGACTGTGCATGTGTTTCGGGGGCCCAAACGCGGCAGCCGATGGCACCCCCACCCCCCACACACACACACACACAGGGGCACAGCCCCCAAATTGGTATCGTTTTGTTTCATTGAGAGGATTATCAGGCGCGTGTGTGTGTCTGTGTGTGTGTGAGTGTCTGTCTGTGTCTGTGTGTCTGTCCGTCTCTCTGTGTGTGTGTCTGTCTGTGTCTGTGTGTGTGTCTGTCTGTGTCTGTGTGTGTGTCTGTCTGTGTCTGTGTGTGTGTGTGTGTGTGTGTCTGTGTGTCTGTCTGTGTGTCTGTGTGTGTCTGTGTGAGCGTCTGTCTGTCTCTGTGTGTCTGTCCGTCTCTGTGTGTGTGTCTGTCTGTGTCTGTGTGTGTGTCTGTCCGTCTCTGTGTGTGTGTCTGTCTGTGTCTGTGTGTGTGTCTGTGTGTCCGTCTGTCTGTGTCTGTGTGTGCGTGTGTCTGTGTGTGTGTCTGTCTGTGTCTGTGTGTGTAGTAAGGGAACTTGTCCCAGGCTTTCGCTCTGACCCGCCCGGGAATCGAACCCCGGTCACTGTACACAATAGCACAAAGAGGTTTTTTAAAATACCCGAATGTTATTTTTAATTTAAAATGTTTGAACAATTATGTTAATCCTTCGTCCAACGTTATAGGTATAACACACACACACAGACACACATCAGGATCAGAAAGGTCCCAGGTCCCAGCGAGTTCGCCTTCCACCTCCCTGGCGGTCACTTGCACCCCTGTCCTGAGCTCCCCCTGTGCCGTACCCCATCAGGTTATTTCCTAAAACTGTCTAATCAACATTTCCGGCTTCGAGCCGTCTCCTCAGGGACCCTGTGCCACAGGTTCACTGTTCGCTCACTGAAATAGTCACTGAAATAGTGCTTCGCAGGTTTGTTTGTTCTGGTTTTACTATTCTGGACCTTGAGAAACTCGGCACAGATCTGGAATGCGCCGCCCGAGAGGCCGGCGGCCGCAGATACCATAGCGCTCAAAAAGAGAATTGGATAGTTACTCGAAAAGGGAAAATGCGCTGGACTTCTAATGGCCGGTGCTGTAAGATTCTATGAATTGGCCATACGATCGCTGTCTTTTCAGATGCTGAAGGTCCTGGACAGTGTGAATCATGACACAGGGGTACAGTTGGCCTCAGTCACCCTAAGAGATCTTGCTTCCGTTGCTAACCCGGCTTACACGGTTGGAGGCGTGTGTGGGGTGTATCAGGCTCAGTTGTGAAGCCACAAGAGATTTGCTTACGCTCTCGTGACAAGGTACTGGAGGTACAAGTAGGTGCTGGTGGGATCTTACCCTTCGAACAACGACTTGCATTGATATGTCGCGCCCTCCACACAGGGCACTTAGAACCCTTCCTGGGGAGTCAACACTTTCAAGGCAGGAGAAAATTGGCAGAAACAGGGAGCGGGAAATAAAAACTACAGTAATGAATATCAGAAAAGTTCCAAGTCTACAATCCCACGAATCATCGATGTTCCCAAGTTCAGAGACGACATAAATCAGACCATCGACAACCTTTAGTGAAACAGCAGTTTTTATTGTTTGTCCTCCCACAACCAGATTTACGCAAACCGGAGTTTTTAAAAAGCAAAAACACATCTCGGCGCTAAAACCCAACTGGAAAAAAACAAAGCAAAAATCCAGCTCCAACCCCACACCATTCGCTATTTCTTTCCTCTTCTCTTAAACAACGGAAAAATAAATAATCTATCCTGGCCACAGATATCTATTCTCCAAACAAAGCAAGTTGTAAATCAGTGTAGTGTCTGTCCTGCTTGATAACAATATACTTTATCAAAATATATCAAATATATCTTTCAAAGTCTTAAAATGTTTCAGTCTGATTATTTTGAATTTTTCTGTTTTTTTTTTTGTTTTTTTTTCCCCCTCCTCCCCAAAGGCAAGAACAATCCAAGCTCCATCCAGTCTGAATAAACCTGGATCCAAAGGTGTAGAATCGTTCAGCTTTTCTTGAATCCTGCAATTGAAAACAGATTTGTAACTGCGTTTGTGGCATAGAACAGTCCTGGCATTTGACACAGCGCCTTATCACGTCTTCGAGACGTCTCAAAGCGCTTCCCAGGATCCGCTGTAAAGTGAACTGATGGTGTATTTTGTGGGCGAACCACGGCAGCCAATAATGATTAGCGTCGGAGTATTTATTTAGATGCTTTACCGGGTACGATCTCCAGGTGACGTTTAAGATGCAGCAACAACCACAGCGACTTTCTGAGTAGCCTCTTTCTTGGCCTGGTGAGCTTGTAGCACAGCCACAGCTTCCTCAACCTGCAGGAGCCACAGACGTCAGACTGTCGATCAGATTATTGCTCCCTCTGTCATTACGTTCAGGTCAAATGCAATACGTAACCCATTCTTGCGCCGTTACTTTCATTTAAGTCAGTCGGGTGTCTGACACACGCAGGAACTCATAACGTGCTTGAGAGTATCCAACCAGAGAGTTTCACACGTGTGTATGTGTGTGTGTGTGTGTGTGTGTCACCTACATGTGGAAGGTTTCCTCGTGGCTGGAGTGGAACGTGCCCCTGGGAATACTAGACACACGTTGATGAGACCCAGGTTTCCAGAAGATTACACTCACTTTAAAACAACTCGTTATATATATGGAAAACATAAATAGGCGTGGAGGTGGGTAAGTCTAAACTAAATTGTATGTTTCTCCTCGGGGCGGATAATTTTTGTATAAGCCAATGAAGTCATATACAGCACGTGTGGAAGTGGTTTACACTAATAGTTACTCTCCCCTTCTGGGCCCCAGGTTCCAGCCTGTCAGACAGTCAGTGATGGTCGTGAAGGTACAAACCTTGGATCGAAGCGATTCCGGAGACTCTAACATGTGCAGCAGCTCGGAGTTGTCTATCTCCAGAAGCATTCCGGTGATCTTCCCCGCGAGGGAAGGATGCATATTCTGTATCAACGGGAACAAGCGCTCACCTGGAAACAAAGCAAAGCAACAGACCCCGATTTAACACTCGCTGAATTGAAACAACGCAACAAGTCACAGCTTAGTCTCCGTCCGGATCAATTCAGAAATGAGATGCATCAAAATCGCCATTGCCAAATTGTACTGAGGAGCTCGAAACAACACACTTCAAAATTAGTGAAGTGGTTCAGACAGACAGAGACACGGACGGACGGTTGGTTTCCACTCACCCAGCATCTGTTTCTGCTCCTGAGGTGGGGCTGCAGCAAGCATGGAGGTCGTCAATGGCTCCTGACCATGTACCAGCACAGCCGGCTGAGGGGCCTGAGAGACAATACAAAAATTACATTTGTAAAGCGCCTTTCACGTCGGGATAACAAAGCCTTTACAACCCCCGCCCAGGGCCCCAGGTCCCAGGGACCTCCTCCCGATGTTTAATTAAAAACATTTCAAACGAGACAAAAATAGTCATCGGTTACTGACCCCTCTGTGGCTTTTACCTCCTCCCTTCCTCATCACTATTCCCTTTTCCCAAAAAAGGGGGAGTCAGGCAATTTGTTTCACACTGAGGCTTACTGCAGCTTTACTACTGAGATCAACTAACTAACTAACTAACTAACTAGGCACAGACAGGTTCATCTACAACATAGTTCAAGAAAGGAACAGACAGAGCAGACCATTCAGTAAAAGTGGGATTTCTATTTTTGACCATTCTCATCCTCAATTAGTAATTGCTCAGGAAATAATAATAATCTTTGAATCTAAACTCCTTGAATGTCTCAAAGCGCTTCACAGAATACACTGTAAAGCGAATTGACTGTATATTTGTGGGCGAAATGCAGCAGACAATTGCGCAGCAGCGTCCTCACAAACAGCCGTGGATTGAAGTGACCAATTTATTATTGTTTTTTTTCTCTTGAGGGAATATTATCAGACGTGTGTGTGTGTGTGTGTGTGTGTGTGGAGTAAGGAAACTTGCCCAAGGTTTCGCCCTGACCTGACCTGACGGGAATCCAACCCAAGTCTCTCGCTTGCGAGGCGAGTGCTCTAACCACTGAGCTACAGGACTCCACAAATTATTATGATGATGATGATGATGATAATTATCGTGCACTGAATAGGCAAAACGGACCTCGGTCATTTACTTGCAGACAAGAACCACGTGACTATCTATCAGTGAATGATGGTACCTGCTGCCCCCCGAGTTGGGATTGCACGAGGGGCTGATGCGGGTTGCGGACTGTCGTGGCGTATTTGTACGGTGTCACAGCCCGTGGTGGAGGACCCGCAATCCCAGGGCGATGAGCCATGTTCTGAACCGTGGTCACTCCTGGAATAACAAAAGCCTTGAGTCACATTCCCTCCAAGCAACAGATTCTAACCCGTCCCCCTATCCTGCCTACGCTTTGTGTTCGAGCGCTCTGGGACGCTACCCTGCGCGAAGAGCGCTACATAAATGCAAGTTGTCGGCGAAGAGGAGGGTCTTGACACACACACACCAGTCCTCAAACGTCAGAGTACAGCGTCTTGACTGATTCCCCGATGGTCTGTAATGAAATCGTTCCTCACCCATCCTCTGTGCGTTTGGCATTCCCCGAGGCCCCGGAGTGGTTCCCGCTGGCGAGAGGTGGCGCAGAGATGGCCGGGGGCCACCCTGCCGCAGGGCGTTGGGCACAGCTTGGAACCCTGTCACAACAAAGGCTCCACATTAACACCTGTCGTGCGCAATCGGCTGCTGCGTTTTGCCCACAAACACACAGTCAGTTCACTTTACAACGTATCCTGTGGAGCGCTTTGAGACATCTCGAAGACGTGATGAGGCGCTGTGTCAAATGCAAGGATTAGTATTATTATTATCAAAACACAATCTGGTTTACGAGCACTCCGTGATCCCCGATCCACTCAAGCTCCAATGCCATCGTGAATATTAATTCATTCGTTGCGCGGCAGCTGTGGAGCTACTTTACCTCAGTCCACACACCCGCGGCACGTCACAATCTGGTGCTTTGGCGGATTGCTTTCTGGGGGCTCTAATACGTTAAAAAAAGGTATTTACTTTGGGTCACTCAATCCACGGCTGTAAGGGACGCTGCTGTGCGCAATTGGTTGTTGTGTTTGGCCCACAAATATATACAGTCACTACACTTTACTATATAACCTGCAAAGCGCTTTGAGATGTCTCGAAGACATGATAAGGCGCTGTATCAAATGCCAGGATTATTATTGTTATAATAAATCTTATTGCTTTGCACACAAAATGATTCATGAGATGCAAGCGACCGACGCAAACCACAAGCCCAGATGTAAAGCTCACCTTGAGGTCTGGTTTGTTGCTGTTGCCAACGTGGATTGGGTCTCATTTGCGCCATCTGATTTGGAGCGTAATAGGTGGCTCTGCTTTGTGCCTGAAATCAAACCAAATCCAATCAAACCTGTGTCTCGATCAATGCGTCACAAACCCAAACTATGGGTGGATGCTCATCCCTGATGTGTCTGTAACCCTCGAAGGACTTCAATCTAAACCCACTTTAACGGCAAACTGGACGAGCTTCAATACACCAATGGGAGGCCATCAGTTCACCAACAAATCATTCTGAATGTATTTAATCTGCCTCGATCACTGCGGTTGATTAAAGTTACAACCAAACTGCACCCAAATCAACGCTGAGCGTGATCGGGCCGGGTTTTCAGCCATTACCACTGAAACTCTGTAACACTCTTCCTCTCTCGCCTCTGCCAGTTCCCCCGTCCTCCCCATCTGAAGAACTTCCTCTTCGACCGTGGGTTAAGTTGTTGCTGGGTTATCAGGAAGCCTCTCACCTGAGGGACAGCTGGCATGAAGTAGCCACCGGCCGCCGGCTGGAACTGGTTGATGATGGTGTTGGCCGGCATTGCCCGCATCCCCGTGATCCTCTGCATGTACTGATTGGTCAAGTGCGCTTTACGTTCTTCCTTCCTCTGGGCCAGGGCCACGTACAGGGGCTTGGAGCCGACAATCCGCCCGTTCATCTCCGTCACGGCCTTCGTGGCTTCTTCGGGAGACGAGAAACAGACGAACCCGAAACCTTTGCTGCGGCCATCCTCCAACATGATCTGATGGAACACAAGCAACGGTAAAAATGCCACACTTTACAACAACGACAACAACAACTTGCAGTTATGTATATAGCAGTCTTCGCCCGGGGCGGGGTCCCAGCGAGCTCAAAAACAGCGATGCAGGAAATCGAATGAGTGCGGTCGCGTTACAATTCGAGTTCTCAATGCTCGGTTTTAATTTATTCTTTGTATTGGTTCGTAAAAAACCACAATAATCCCTCCATAAATACACACACACAGATACATACATACACACATGCACACAAACAAACAAACAAATAAATAAAATGTGGTCACTCAATCCAGGACTGTTTGTGGGGACGCTGCTGTGCGCACATGGCTTTGGCGTTTCTTCCACAAAATGCACAGTCGCTGCACTTTACACCGTATTCTGTGAAGCTCTTTGTGTCGTCTCGACGAGGTGATAAAGGCGCTAGATCAAATGCGAGGATTATTAATATGATGGTTATTATTATTATTATTACCTTGGCGCTGGTGATTGAGCCGAACGGCGCAAACTCTTTCCTTAGCTTTTCATCATCGATTGTGTCGTCTAAGTTTTTGATGTAAAGGTTCACTCCCTGCAAAACATACGGTGTGTGTCATTCAGACATTACACAAGTACCTCTGGAGCATCCAAACACAAGGAAGAAATTAAATATTCCGACAGTGCTTTAGTGATTGCCTCTCAGCTCCTAATTCACAAACAAGCTAAGGGGTTAAAATCAAGACACTTGGGAGGGGNGGGGAACTGAGGAATTTTCTCACAAGCCCTAATTCCGAAGAGAATAAAACACCTTGAAATGACCCGGGTGCAAATAATTCAGCATTTGTTGCAAAGCTGTAGAGACGGGTCCCATCGTACAGGAAACCCATCTGGATTTACTCCGCTTTACTGTGGCACCTCTGCCCTCCGCGCTCCGCACCACACAGCAGAACGACTGAGAGCAAAGTGCTACAATCCCCAGCTTCGTATACATCATCGTAAGCTGCCGTTGTCCCCCCCACACACCGAAACAACATTGAACAGCTCCCCACCACCCTGCCCCTCCCTCCCTCCCACCCCGCCCCCACCCCCGCCCCCCGCAGACACACACCTGGTACCTGCTGATCCGCTCCTGTTTTAACTGCTCAAACTTCCGTTTCAGCTCAGCCTGGCGCTCCACTTTTTTCTGAGCCCGGCCGACAAACAGCAACTTCCCGTTCAGCTCCTTCCCGTTCATTTCTTCCACAGCCTAAACACACACACGCACAGACGCACGCACACACACGCAAACACCACCCGCACGCACGCAAACACCACTCGCACGCACACACACACCACACGCGCACACACACCACATGCGCGCGCACACACACACACACCACACATACACAGAAAAGGCACCAAACTTAATTTATACAAATAAGGGCAACGCGTTATTAAGCTTGACAGCACATCTAGCGCTGTGCGTAGCCAGAGACACCACCAAGGCACAAGGCTGCCACACTCAGGGTAACATTGAGAACCGATCTGAGGAATTACGGCTGTGCACATCCCAATTTCTAACCACAGCAGAAAGAACATTTGTAAAATCTGAATGAGAGCCCAAAGTAACATTAAATTGGTCCTTTTAAAGAGAGAAGCAATCACAAAACTGGCTATTTCGGTTCCATTCTCCCCACAAGGCCTTTAATGTCTAAGGTCTTTCGACGCACATCCCTCCACCCCCTCCCCCCCACTCTCACCCCAACCTCAAGAAGTTGAGTAAGAAGTGTAGACAATAAGAAAGGAAGATTCCAGTAGAGAGAGAAGTACAGATCTACCGGGATGATGATATACCAGGCCACAATATCAATGAAAAGCGTTAAAGAGAATTATTAGTATGCAAACGAGACCGAATAAATCAGGAGGGAGAAAATAGCACTAACTGGGAAAAGAAGGACAAAGTAAGGAGCCAATCGGGGTTTATAATAAAGATTTATGTTACTGGCTCTGCTCTTCAGGTGTTTCTGAATGAGTTTCAATATCAACTGCAGCTGAGCAGAAACACACTAAGGCACCAATCTGGATCATTACAATGATATTTTTTTTAAAAAAAGAACTCCTTGCATTTATCCATCAACTGAAGACATTGTCCAAAAAAAACAAGATCAATTTAATAACTGAATAGGGCAAAACAGGTTTGAGATTAGGACCATTAATGTATATGTGGTTGCATCAGGATTGATTGAGTGAATTTCTCCCCATTGATATAAAATAAACTGCTCGGATTAACCTGCCATTTGTAAGCTTCGTTTCCATCTGGACTAATTTGGGGCACTTATTTTGCCTTACAATAATTGACGTATTAAATGGCTAGATATGTTTATTTAAGGGATATGTTTATTTAAGGGAGAGGGTATCTTACAGTAACAGTTTTAATCTGCCCCCCTCTCCCCCACCGTAAAGAGAAAAAGTAACATCCCCTTTAAAGCAACCATACACACCTTGGAAGCATCTTCGTGCCTGTCATAGCTAACAAAGCCAAAGCCTTTGCACTTTCCGTTTAGATCGGTCATTACTTTGATACTTAAGGTTTTGCCTAAGAGGGCAAAGAGAAAACAGAAGGACAGATGAAATCTCAACAGATAGGAAACCACAAAGCAGCAGATAGAATTGTGGAGTCCTGTAGCTCAGTGGTGAGAGCGCTCGCCTCTCAAGCGAGAGACCTGGGTTTGATTCCCGGCAGGTCAGGTCAGGGCGAAACCTTGGGCAAGTTTCCTTACTCCACACACACACACACACACACACACGACCTGATACTAATCCCTCAAGAGAAGAAAACAATAATAAATTGGTCATTTTCAATCCACGACTGTTTGTGGGGAGGCTGCTGTGCGTAATTGGCTGCCGTGTTTCGCCCACAAATATGCGGTCAATTCACTTTACAGTCTATTCACTTTACAGTCTATTTACAGTCTGTGAAGCGCTTTGAGACGATGAGAAGACGTGAAAAGCGCTATATCAAATGCAAGGATTATTGTTATTATTATTATTATTATTGTCACTCGTCTACGGAAGCTCCTGCCAGGGTAGGGGCAAAGTGTTGTGCTGCCCATCTCTCCATCACTCTGATGGATTGTCCGCCTCTCGATTTGTTGACGGTATTTAGGTTAAGCGTATCTCCTCCCTGTGCGCATTCCTCTGTGTATCTCAGATACTGGAGGGCAATGACATAAGTGATAACAAGGTGAAATCTACCGGCTGCATCTTCAGGTCAACATCAGTAAACCACTCGTACCATTTGTGGCCACTTGCCCCCAGCATTCTCCACGCAGTCGATTAGGTCAGGTCAGGGGGGGCGTCTGACTTCTACTCACAGCAGAAACTCAGCAGATTGGAGGGGAAATCACTATTGGGAAGGAAGACTTAACAGGTACCAGTGTCTCTGTTATCACTGACGTCAGCGATTAAAAGACCATAAGATTGTTCACGCTGAAGGGAACCCCAGCCATGATTTCATAGACAGATAAAAGCATTGTAACCGGAGCAATGGGAGAGGAGGGGGGAGAATTATTTCTCGCATTGGATTGAGAAACCTCTACCTGACTAATCTCAATTGGAGCATTGTATCAGGTGTCACCGAGGCAGCACATCAGCTCCGAAAAATCCCACTCACCAAATTTATCAAACATTTCTTTGAGCCGATCATCATCCATGTCCTCGCCAAAGTTTTTGATGTAAACATTGGTGAACTCTTTGGCCTTTGCTCCCAGTTCGGCCTCCCTTTCTTTACGGGACTTAAAACGGCCAACAAATCTAAGGAAAAGAAAGGGTAGGACAAGATTTACAGACATTCAAATCAAGGGCAGTCCTCTGTCAGGTAAACACTGACTAGTAAGTTGAACGTTTAAAACCCACAATGTCACCCTCTCCACTGTGAACAGAACTGCACTAATTAGGATTTCAAACCGGTCAATGGTTTGGGCCTCAAGACGTCTCAATGACGTGATAAGGCTCTATATCAAATGGAGGTATTATTATTATTATGATATTATTACTATTCAGATCTGGTCAAGTGGATCTTAAAGCCAGTTAACCATTTAAAGGCAGGTCCCGAATACTTACACTTTGCGATCGTTCAGCAACATGCCGTTCATTTTCTCAATGGCTCTGTCTGCTGCGTCCTGGGTCTCAAAGTGAACAAAGGCGTATCCTTTGGAGCCATTTTCATCGCACACCACCTGAGGGCAGGAAATTACTCAGCAATGACAGAGCCCGAACGCTCTGAGACACAAGGCAGTACAAGGCAGTTCAGAGGGAACACTGGTGCACACTTGTGTTCTGAAGTGGTGTACTTGACCCACTTCAATTTGGCACTTATACTAATCGGTTTCTCATTTACAGAAGGACATTTTCCACAGACCTTGTAATCGAGGTATTTGGCTAATCAATGTATGCAGCGGTGGGAATGGTGGAGCCTGTGTGCAGCAGAGACACATATAAACAACCTGGACTCATGTTCCAATCACTTTCCATTTACATTACCAGTCCTTCAGTCTCCCTGCAAATGCTGCAACTCTGCCCCTAAGCTTACAACTGTATTGAGGCACACAGGCATGGGATTTTTGTTGTTCCAATGGAACATAAAATAGTTGGAAGTTTGAAGGGAGGTCTCATTTCTATCAAGTATTATGGGATAAAGTATGTAGTTTGGGACCCAACATGTCAAGCATCTGCCAGGATGGTGGAAGGCAAACTGGATGGACCTTGGTTTTCTCTTGTCTAGCTAATTCTTATGTCATAAGAACATAAGACGTAGGAGCAGAAATAGGCCATTCGGCCCCTCAAGCCTGCTCTGCCATTTAATAACATCATGGCTGATCTTCTAACCCAATTCTATTTACCCGTCCTATCCCCATATCCCTTAACCCCTTTAGTTTTTAAAAATCTAAATGTACTTCTAGTTCCACACACACCTTACAAGACAAGATATTTCCAAATGCCGAGAAGGTGTCGTACAAAGCCTTGTTGTCGATGGATTTGTCCAGGTTCTTGATGAACACGTTCCCCACCCCGGATTTCCTCAATGAAGGGTCACGCTGTGACCACATGATGCGAATCGGCTTGCCCTTGATGACGTCAAAGTTCATGGTATCCAACGCTCGTTCAGCTACAATAGTAAGAACACTTTAACAGCCGTCTTAACCCACATTGCCCAGTGCAAAAAAATGTGCATCACATGTCAACAATGAATTAGATTGAATTAGCGTAGGGATATTAGAGAGAGATACTTGGGAGTGATGGTGGAACCATTACTTGTAATGTCAGGACAATATGAAGAACCAATTAAAAAAGCGAACAGAATTCTGGTATATATTGCCACAACAGTGCAGAGCAACTCGCTGGAGCTCTGCAAAGCACCAGCGAGAGTACACACAAAGAAGTGAGTTTGGTTCCGGTCAGCAATCCACAAAATGATATACCGTACAAGCCTTAGCAAGGGTACAGAGAAAAGCTGCAGCCTTGATCCCTCAGAGAAAAGACAAGGGTAACTTCATTTCTATCCTGTTAGAGAGGAGGTAGCTGAGAAATCTCATGGAGGTGTTTATGATATAGTTAAGAGTGAATTCAGAAAATAGGACGTGGGGGATGAAAACACCATAAATTGTAAAGAACAGTTTTAAAACAGATATTGTGTAGAAATAGTTGACTCACTCTATCACATGGGGGGTGGGAGGAGAGAGGGGAGAAATGGTAGGAGCATTCAAAACAAGATGGTATTAAATATAGTAAAGATTGAGATTGTGTCAACCAAATCACTCTTCAACTCTCGACTTTTCCTATGTTCCTATGAGGCAGATTGCACGTCGAAACCCTCTCCTTCTCTCCTTCCCATGACTTCCTTCATTGAAAGAACAGGAAAACTCAACCCTTAAAGGATACCTACACACACCCACACACACAGGTACTGCTCACTCTTTGCTTTAATAAAACAGACAAGTACTCCCCACACCTTAATTAAAGCCCATTCCACCCACAGACAACCAGGTCAGGTTGGTTGACCTCAAATTCCAAGATAGAGAAAAAGAGTCTTGTTCTTTATCCTTTCATTATTCTGATCAAGAATTCCACATACAGTAGATGTCACAACAAGTGTGTGGATGTAGAGTAGATATACTCAAGGGTTGGATACTGGACATGACTTTCGAGAAACTGCTCTGTAGAAAACCGAACACTTCAATGATTTTGAAACAAACGGCAAAACAATGTCTTAAAATGTCTTGAGCCCTGAATGACCAGGGTAATTAATGCTCATTCACTGGTTTCAAACGTTCTTCTGCTGGGCTCAACTTGACATTGAAACCTCCACCGCCACTTAGGGAGAACATTATAGACTTAAATACCCTTTTCTGAAGTGCCCACACTGAGGCTCGAAGCAGTCACCGAGGTTTAGGGTTCAATGTGTTTGTCAGTGCTCACAGCTCTTGGCTCAGCTCCCAGTGTGTCAGACATCACTCTCACTGACAACAGATGTCACCATTATCACTAATCTGCTCTAATCTGTGGGGAATACATCAATTTGGCCACTGCAGAATCATTCAGTTAATAGCAAATCTGTAACTAATTGCTCAGATTTTTTTAAAAAAGAAGCGAGATTTCCTGTTTAGTTACATGTATTATCCCCTCTCGTTTTTCTGTTTGTGGAGTCCTGTAGTTCAGGGGTTAGAGCACGTGCCTCGCAAGTAAGAGGACCTGGGTTCGATTCCTGTGTAGGGCGAAATGTTGGGCAAGTTTCCCTAATCCACACGCCTCTGTTTACCAGCAATAAGTAGGAACCCGGTTGTTAGTAGATTGGCAAATCGCTTTTCCCTTAAAAAAATCTTTGTCACTGCATTTGATACAGCGCCTTATTACGTCGTTGAGATATCTCAAAGCGCTTCACAGAATACACTGAATAGACTGTATATTTTGCAGGCAATACGCAGCAGCTAATTGTACAGAACAGTGTCCCACAAACCGTCGTGGATTGAGTGACCAAATTATTATTATTATTATTTTTTGAACATCCCAAACCTCAGTTACAATGCGCCCTCATCAAATAAATACAAGTATTTCGATATCAATTCCTTTCAGATCTTTCGCACAGGATGTTTTTATACTTGGAAGGAAATCCTCCAACAAGCTCCTGTATAATACAGTCACTGCAAATACATGTTAATTTGTCCACTTTCAGGAACCAAGCACAAACTTTAACTCTCAAAATGTGACAGGGTGATCCAATATCTCCCTGAAAGAATTACAGTTTATTACCAGGTTGTTTTTAAAGAGAAACCTTGTGGTAAATAACCCTTCAATAATAACAAAGCCTTTGATAAGGCGGAATATCTATAAAAGGTTATCCATTGTGCTTCTGAAGCCAATGTTACACATCTCTTTCACAGAGGCCCTCTTTTGTACTTCATTACTGTCTATTTTTAGCCTCATGTGGTCCTTTAAAGGCATGTGTTAGCATGAGAGCAGAATCAGCATTGAACTGGCTACTGTTTAACTCGCTCTCCTTTCCAAGGGTTCAACTGCATTACAGTACAAGTCCTCACGAGACAAACACAACCTACTATTTTTACTGAATTATAAAAAGGAACTACAAATAAGTGAACATTTTCTCACTCAGTTCAACACAAATCTGATCCTAACTATTCAATTGATTGTAAATGTGCAAATGATTTTGACTGAGACGCGGTTTGAACAATCTCATTTTGCGTTTTAAGTTCCGTGACCATTTTCGATGATATTTGGAGTACTTAAATGCAGTTGGTTGAAGAAGTAAAGTACACAGAAACCTGGAAGCCCATTAACCCCATTTTACTAAGTGTGTGTAGTTTTGTCATTGATCTGACTAAGTTAACTAGTGTGCAGTTCTTCATCTACAGGTTAAGCGTCAGAACTCAGACTGTCACAATATTTGACATGACAGACACCACAAAACAAGTCTCTTCATACAAGTTGTTAGAATCGACACAGACCAATACACACAACAGGAGTTAGGGTGGCATCAAACCACTTGGGTTATATAAGATGAACACAATCAAGATCAGAATGACAGAAGGAAAAGAAAGGGTAAAGTGTCAGGGATTTCTAATACTATCGGAGACTGAAAGTTAACAGATAACTGACACTAACCAAATGCTGCTTAATATACACAGCAAACATGGTGTCCTAATTGACCTGTTGAATCTGGCAATAATAATAATAAAAAGCCTTGCATTTGATATAGCGCCTTAGTACGTCGTTGACATGTCTCAAAGCGCTTCACAGGACGTACTGTAAAGTGTAGTGACTGATCGGTCTGAAAGGCCAGAAGAATTTGCATCGCATTGAGTGGCAGAAAATGGAGGTGCAGCAAAGTCCTTACAGTTTCACACGACAGGAAAGATTAGATAAAGGGGAGAGAAGACTGGGCGATGCTAGAGTGGATACATCAGATATTACTTCATATTTCATTGTGGAGAGAAGGGGGGGTGGGGGTAAATGCTCTAGAATTGTTCCTTACCATGTGTGTAGTTGCTGGTAGCTGAATACCCAACATTTATGTCTGAATTAGATAAAGGAGGATTGATTCCGAACGGCTGAGAACTGTGGTTATAGCCCACGACTGCCGCACAGTTTGGCTCAGCATCAGAGCCGTTCAGTGATTTTGTGTTAAAGCTGGAGCTGTGATGTCAGGTGGATCACAGAACAGCAACTGAAAAAGATTTTTTTTTAAAAAACAAACAAACATTAAACAAGAGCGCCACCAAAAAAAATCCAACTGCAACAGTGAACATTGAACTGCATTCTAGCACACGAGTTTCTGATTGAAGCACCTCCACAAAAGCCTCGTGAGCAGATGTCTCTACGCTATTGTGTGAGCCGGTAGCCGTGACGCACTGAGCCCCTGTTGAGTGGTTAAGCACAACACTTCACATCCATTTCCCTTTCCATATCGAGCTTGCACGCGGACCGAGGATAAATTCCCACAATGATTCAAACCAACCACAGACCTTGAGGTACTTTCTGAAGCAAATGGCTTTAACCCCAAGGAGCACAAAACTGGACCCAGTAACTTTTGCGGGCTGATGGGAGGGGTGGGGGTGTTTGGGGGATGTAAGGAAACCAGCAAAAAGGGAGCGCGGAGGGCTGTGTTGCAGTCGTGTTCCGCACAAGCTGTCTCTAGTGACAAACCAGATCAATGGGCCAGAAAAGCAGACAAGAAGCTAATTTTAAAACTCCCCCAAAATAGGAGCAGGGACAGCGAGTGGTATACAGGGACTGATCGTGTACTGCTGGATCGAGGACAGCACTGTCTGAAGGCAAACCCGTTCGCCAGTCCATCTTGCGTTCCCCAGTAACATATCCACGGGCGTCCACTTTCAATCCAGGCCTCACCAAACACACAATACAGTCACCGATGTATTTTAAGGAGATCGATTTCTTGCTATTTAAAGTCATTAAGATTTCAACCACTGGGCCCCTTCAGGGCCTTACAAAGGCCACCAGCTACTGCACACGCCTCAGTTCAATTCAGTTACTGAAATCTGATTCCTGCACATTTATTTATTTGATTGATTGATTGATTTATCGATTGCATACTGAGCAGGTGGATATGAACAGTTCTCATCCCCTTTATCGGCAGTGGTGACAACATGCTCCAACCAGACACATCTAAACGTGAGCGACTTTCGTACGTCTGAGCTGAGAATGTGCCTTAAATTGCGTCCTTAAGATAAAGCAGGCTTGCTGCAAGTGAGTAAAGTTAAATTATTGGCAATTTGTGCCTTACGAATGGTAACTGACACCTGGCTATTGATAATGGATACCTAGCTATTGCTAATTCAAAATAATAACAATAATAATTAATGCTCACCTACCTGGCTTCCAGAAACTGAAATTTAGTCAATGGTAATATGGTCTGTCAATGGTCAACAGAAACTAAGGAGGGATCTGATTTAATGATCAGCTGATATCTGGATATTAAACAATATTGAGTTAAGGGGAACTAAGATAGAGCTAATGATAACTGATAATTGGCCATTGTCAATCAATATCTGATAATAGCAACTGATGTTAGATTATGGTTAGTGATAACGGATAGTTTTAATGATAACTGGTGCATGATTATTGCTGATCAATATAGGGGTAATACCATCCGGCCATTGCTAATCAATATATGGGTAATGATTACAAAGACATGGTTCTTCATAATGGATATCTGGCTGTTGGTAACCGAGGTCCGGGTACTGTAACCGGTGACAGATCTGGTTCACGGTAACAGATCAGTCCACTGGCCACTCCTTGGCCTCAGGCGCCCGAGTGTGTACATACCTGGAGAGGCAGCGGCTCGGTCAGCGAGAGGTTAGCAGACGGTCAGCGAGAAGTTAGAGGACGGTCAGCGAGAGGTTAGCGGACGGTCAGCGAGAGGTTAGAGGACAGTCAGCGAGCGGTTAGAGGACGGTCAGCGAGAAGATTATACTGGATTAACCCCGGGGGGGAAAGGGGGAGGGGGTTGCTCACCGTCAGGGGGCTGCTGGAAGTTGACGTAAGCGTAGCCCAGTGACCGCCGGGTGATCATGTCCCGACAAACCCTGATGGACAGCACCGGCCCGGCCGGGCTGAACTTCTCATACAGCAGCGCCTCCGTCACGTCAGAGTGAAGGTCCCCCACGTACAGAGAGGCCATGGGGTAGCTGGCCCCAGCCGCGGTCATCATCTCACCGCGGGAGAGAGAGCGAGTGGGAGAGAGAGTGAGTGAGTGAGTGTGTGAGAGTGGGAGAGAGCGAGCGTGTGTGAGAGTGAGTGAGTATAAGAGAGTGAATAATAGTGTGAGAGAGAGATAAGAGTGAAGAATCAAGAGTGAACGTGGGAAGAGGTTGACAGAGAGAGCGAGCGAGAGAGCGAGCGTGACTGAGAGAGAGAGCGAGAGAGAGAGAGAGAAAGTGAAACCGTGCCCTTTGGGAGAAACAAACCGAATCAATTGAAATGGTAATTAACCTCCCCCTTCAAACCGCCTCGCGACGTTAGCAATCAATTCAGCGCAGAGAAACTGCCAGAAACTTTCCCAACGGATTATTAAGGCGCTGTATCAAATGCAAGGACTATAATTATTATTATTATTATGATTATTATTATTATTATAAATGTTTTTTTTCCCCCTTTCCCTTCTCAGGATCGAAATCTTCAAATCAAATCCACGACAGACTGTTTCTGGTCTTTCCTGTTTGTTTTTTATATATTTTTTTTAAAAATTACAATAAAAAAAAACAACTTTCTTCGTTACGTCTACCTGTTATGTGCGCGTGTATACGTATATAATATATATATATTAAAAAATTCTGCAGGAAAACAGGTTTTGATTCCTCTTTTTTTGGGGGTGAGGGAGAAAAATACTCTTCAATCTCCTTTGAAATCAATCCTCAAACCTCGGAATTAAGTTTTTTCTCTCCCCCCCACCACCTTTTTTTAAAAAAAAATTATGCTCCTTTTTATGTTAATAACAGATGAAAAACCCTTTAAAAAGTTTAGACCTCTCTCTCTCTCTGTCTGTGTCTCTGTCTCTCTCTGTGTCTGTGTCTCTCACTCTGTGTCTCTGTCTGTCTGTGTCCCTCTCTCTTGACTTGGGTTTTGCTCAGTGCTTCTCACTTTGTTTGTTCATTTTTTTCCGCCCCCACTATAAATAAATAAATAAAACATTTAAAAGTAGTTTGTTGTTTTTTTTTCCTTCTTATTAGTGTTATTATTTGTTTCCTTCCAAATGAAACTTTTGCGGTGTTTTTCTGAGTTTTTTTTCCCCTCTATAATATATAACACACGTATATATGTATATATATATTTATATATGACGTGAGATAGAGATGATATATATGATAGATACTGTGTATCCGTGAGTGAGTGAGTGAGTGGCTACTGCTGGTGATGTCCGCTCCACACTCACTCTCACCCACTGTGGGCTCTGCTGCTGTCTGTGGGGCCAGGAGACAGAGGAAGAACCTCTCCCCCCAGCAGCTGTTTTATACCGGGGGCAATGAACCCATCGCCGTCATTTCCTGAGCAGCCGGAAAAAAATCAGAGCGAGAAAAAGAGAAAGAGAAAGAGAGACTGCAAATAAAATCCAAAATGATAGAGTCAGCCAACAGTCACTGCCACCTGCAGGAACCAGAGCATCAAACTCTTCCCCCCCACCCCCAACACACGCAACTGAGCAAACGATCACGCCGCCGGCATCCACGGAAATGATAATTATTATTGCAACCAAAGGCTTGCCCGAGTTTCCTCGCTCCGAGCCGTAGCCGGGGGAAGAGGTTGACAGAGAGAGCGAGCGAGACTCCGGGCAGGTCAGGTCAGGTCAGGGCGAAACCTCGGGAAAGTTCCCTTACTACACACACACACACACACACCTGATAATAATCCCTCCAAAACAATAATAAATTGGTTATTTTCAATCCGCGGCTGTTTGTGGGGACGCTGCGGTGCGCAATCGGCCGCCGCGTTTCGCCCACAAATATGCGGTCAATTCGCTTTACAGCGTATTCTGGGAAGCGCTTTGAGACGGCGAGAAAAGCGCTAAATCAGATTCACGGATTATTATATTATAGCAATATTATTATTGCTGTCGGTCGGTTCAGCGGGATCGCTTTCCGGGTGTCGCAATCCTCTCGAAATCTTTTAAGTAAATGATAATGATTCGTTCGGTCGCTCGATCCACGGCTGTTTGTGGGGACGCTGCTGTGCAGGTTCGGTTGCCGCGTTTCATCCCACGAATTATACGGTCAATTCACTTTACGATCCACTCAGTGAAGCGCTTTGAGACCTTGCGAAGGCATTATAAGACTCTGCGTCAAATGCAAGATTATTATTGGCAAAAATCCCTGCATCTGATGGCGCGGTTGAGACATCTCAAAGCGCTCGCTTCGCAGGGTATACTGTGTATTTTGTGGGCGAAATAATATTGTACCGATAATAATTATCCTTGCATTTACGACAGCGGCTTTATCATGTCGTCGAGACGTCTCACAGCGCTTCACAGGACATATTGTAAATTGTAGAAGCTGTCATCTGTTTTCTGACAGCTTCTATCTAATAAAGATCATTTGACGGTCCGCCCTTACCACGAGGGGTTAGCGTTTCTCTCTTTTTAGTTGCAACACCACTCTGTGTCGTCGAGACGTCTCAAAGCGCTTTACTGTAAAGCCATCTGTGCTCATCGTGTGTGTGTATATCAAACGCACGTGTTATTATATTATATGTACTCATATAATATATTATATGTATTGGATGTACTCAAATAATTATAGCCTCTGTGAAGGACCAGACTTTTGAGACACATATTGTTAACAGCATTAGAGTTCAAAAGTTGAGTATAGATTGAGAATCGGTTAATCACATATATATATAGTAACACACTACATTTCATATGGAGCGAGACGAATGTTAAAAGACCTCCTCTTCCTCCTACACACTTTGCGTGAACCACTTTAAGTGCTGGTTATTTGATCAGGTTATCAATACCACAGCAGGCCTGAGCAAGCATATGTATCGCATGCTTTTGGGAGCAAATGGTGAGGCTATATATAGCGACCGAAAGCATCCAATATTAGATCACAAGAACACAACGGTAAAGTTCACTAGAAAACTGAAGCGATGGAAATCTACAGCAGAACCGCATAAAAGGTCGATCACCATCTCAGAGGGAACGAAAAATTTATATTTTCAAGTCTAACCCTTCAAAAGAGCAAGCTTTATTTGGGATTGCGTTAGCAGAATTGTACAATGGGAGTTCCCGGGGATTGAGGTAAGGTCGACTTGGGAGCCCACAGCATTAAGGTTGATAAGCAATTACGAACTACTCACAATGGCAATGTGAAAATAGATCGTACAGATTTATTTTGAAGGACATTGGTAAGAAACTCTTTACAACCGTGCTACAGTGTGCGAACCAAATCCTGCCCTTGCGGTTTGGTGTGCACTATCACAACCTACCACACGATGGCCAAGTTGTTGGTCACTTTTGACCAGGGCAGTCTCGGTGCAGAGTTGAGAACAGACCTGGGGCAGGGAGGAGGGAAGAGATAGTGGCAGAGGATGGCAATGTTGGCGAGCTATGGGAAAGCCAATCAAGTGTAAGTCTGGCCATAGGGGTTAAAGGTCCAACGGGTATTCCCATCATCGGGTCGCACCTTAAGACCTTCCTTTTTGACCATGCCTACGGCTCGTTGTCGTACTCCACCACTCTCAAGCGCTCTGGGACACTACCCTGCGTGAGGGGCGCTGTGTAAATGATAGTTGTTATTGTTAACATCTGGAGGTTTCACACCAGCTCAGCGAGAAGCATACAGGAAGACACAATCAGTGCCTTCAACTAGCCCAAGGGGTTAAACGCATCGAGTGTGGTGACAGATGTTCAATAGGGTGGTCAGACTGTCCTGTTCCTGGAGTAGATACGTTTCTAATTGGTGCTTCCTGTTAAATGTCATCGATTCTTCTCACAAGTAAGAACCAAACTTCCAGAAAGAACAAAATGAATGGGCAAAAGGCCAGAAGATAAAAGATTGAAAACTCCTCCTCCCATTCATCTCAACGGCCTTTCCTTACCCCTTCGCAAGTCTCTTTGTGCACGTCTCAGGCACAATTCAATGAACGTTCACATACAATCAAGGAATGCTCATTTCATATAGCTCTGGACATTTCTGAACTCATTTCTGTGATGTTGGGATCAGCGTTGCAATGCTGGGATATCAGCTGAAATGGATGGCAACTTTGTTTTTACAAAATCACGGTAATCAGCCACTTTATTTTCCAACAAAAATCGCCCTCAACAAGTATAATCAATGTGACACAGCATTTCACAAGTCTACAGTCCTTTCATCAGCGACATTGAGGTACAGTATGACAGCTGTAGTTTTATTTGGTTTATGCACAGAAGAAAATTAAGAATTAGAAAAATCTTCACATACAGTAAAATAAAATGTTCTGAGATTCCAATGTTTTGACGACTTGTACAGAATCTACATTTGATCTCTCTCTTTGCTGGAAGAAACTCCCTTCTCTCTTTTGACCCCTTTCCCTCCCGAAACACACAGCATCAGTTTAGCACGATCAAGTCAATTCACCCCTTATTAACATTTGCAGCATTTACTCTTAATTCAAACTGGCAATGCTTCATTAAGGAAAATGTAGGAAACAAAGTTGTGAATGTGTGCATGTGGTTGTATTTGTTTTAAGCGGTTACAAGTTTGATTTTGATCATAGTCACACACATTACTGTGTGCGTGTCTCAATTTCATTGGAATCTGAAAGATAGCAGTTGTTCCTATTAGATTATGGATACAGTCACTCTTTAACAATCAGAAGTAGATGTCAGTAAACAAATCAACACAATCTACTGACTTGGTTGATGACCGAAAGTGAACAAGCATTTCAATCCCTGGAAATGTTTTAAATTTGGTGACCCTCTAGAGACAGCTTTGAGAAAAAGAAACCTAGTTACTGTTCTCAGTAGTAATGACAGTTATATTGACAAAACAGGATGCATTTCACACATTAACCTTTCTGTTTCAGTAGATCCATGTTGCCTGTTGCAAAAGGAAGTTTTCCCCACAAACTAGACTTCTCAGATCAAGCCACACGTATCACACAACAGAAAATTTTCCATTCACAAATTCAAAACTTTTTTTGTTATAAAAAAACTCCAAGGCTATAAATATTTCACTGTACGGGGCAATGGCAACACGATATCAGAAAACTGTTGCAGATGAGAGGCTGGCTTTCAGACGGCAGATTCCCTGAAGAGTATCCATGATAACCATAAAAAATAATAATTTGGTCACTCAATCCACAACTATTTGTGGGAACGCTGCTGTACGTAACTGGTTGCCATGTTTCTCCCACAAAATATACAGTAAATTCACTTGACAGTATATTCTAATGCGCTTTGGGACGTCTAGACGATGTGATAAGCCACTATATCAAATGTAAAGATTATTATTATAACCACTTTCTGGATGAATGAACAGGTAATTTCAATAGGAAAGAATTTTTTTATCAAAAAGGGTTCTTAAGTAAGAACTTGATATTCCCATTATCAATTACTCAATGCCGTCTTTAAAAGTAGGAATGGAGGTTTGCAATTGATCTTCAAAAGGCAAATCAACAGCAAACCTTCCCCCCCCCACCCCTCAGCCACCTTAGCTTTGGGAAGTAATAGTGAATGAAACACTCACCACCAGCCCCAACCACGCCGATAAAAAAACGCGTCATCCCTCTAACCTTTCAAGTCAGAAACTAACTCATGCTCAAACATTTTATCTTCCAAAGCTACAAACACTCATCCCTATTAGCAGTGTAATAACCATTATTTCACTAGTCCTTTGGGGGTACAGACTGCATTCTTCTGATTGACAGTCAAATAGATACCTTATGAAACACTTAAAGCAAAATAATTCCCCGGAGTTCTCAGTGAAGTCTTACCTTGCTGGGCAGGTTTAAAGAATCCCACTTTAAAACAGTCAGCTAAATTGGATTAATAGTACTGCAAATGGCTGTCAGGCCGGTGAATCCTTATTCTTGTACAATAGATGGGAAAACACAACAGCAACAATCAATTTTCTTTTTTATATAAAAAAAGGAAACCTATGGAACCTATGTACAGGTCAGAGCGAGAGCCAGAAGATGAATAAGGCCTCAATGCAGACAGTCTATCTGATGCATTTAATAAATGCTACTGTCCGTTGATGAACGGGAAGACCATCAGCTCACAGCTCATCCTTGCCCAAATCGTCAAGATCCACATCGCTGAGATCAATCTCCTCTTCAACCGGGAGCTAGGATTGAAAAGAATCAAGAGATTGGATCGTTACTTTAAATAGATCGCATCTATAAACAATATTTCCCTTTTAAATGTTGTCAAACGTGGGATGTACCTTTTGTGGGATAGGAAGATGATAGCAGGCCATTAGGCATGGCTTGTGAGGGCCACCAGCTTCCTATCCGAGCCAAGCCATTTCCCAGTAATTGAAGAAATCTACATGTCAAATAGGTTGGTGTCATTCACTCACCTGACCATCTTTGCCATCCCATTGCTCTGCCGAGTAGATTTTGGGAAATGCTGCTCCTTTAACAGGAGAGGTAGAACCTCGCCCAACTGACAGTTCCCTATAACAACAAAGATTTACTTACCAACATGGAACAGGTGGGATAAATGGCCTGTTTTCCGTGCCGTACAATTTATGTGCTTTATTTATTCAGCAACACATTAATGTGCAAAAAAATTACGAAATTTCACCCATTAAGAAAATTATTGCCCAGCCACCGGCAATGATGCAAATCAAACTTTCTGCGTGACGTCCATTTTATTAAAAGAAACACTTAAAATCTCTTTACAATGCAGCTAAATTAGCGCATTGTCAATGGAAATTTGTCAATAAATTGCCCATACTCCAGTGTCATTGTGGACTGATTACCTGAGGAATTCATTGATGCCTTGTTCACTGAACGAGCCTTTGAGCAGAGCATATTTCATCTTCCTGGCATTAACTGCAGCCATGGCAGGGTATCCAAACCCACCGATTCCCAAAGCATCTTCAAGTGGCCCCTGAGCACCTGCTTCTGTCCATAACCAACTAACAAAAACAGATAGACAGCAATCACTCAATAAAGAGAACATAAATAGGAGAAAGCAATAGTAAATAAAAATATGAACACTAGTATAAAGATTCCAACCATTTGGTACATTTATGAACAGACGAGTGGCAAGAATTGCTAAATGGAGCAGCACAACAACAACTTGCATTTATATAGCGCTCTTCATGCAGGGTAGCAACCGGGGGCGCTTGTGTCAGTGCGTTCACAGATTTCCTCAACATCTTCTAAATATTTAGACCTGGACAGCATTTTCAATGTTTAATAACCATTCACACATCCTCTGGGTCTCAGACGCATCCCACTATTACCTTTTGCTTTGTACCGTCAACACCTCTGATCTCACCATCTCTTGTCCTCCACCTAATTTTTCCTTTGTCTTTCTTTCCTCACCCCCTTCTGTGTTTGTCCTTATAAACTCTTCCCTTCCAATATCCCCCAGTTCTGACAAAAAGTCATTGACCTGAAACGTTAACTCGCTTTCCTCTCTCCATAGATGCTGACTGACCCACTGAGTGTTCCCAGTAACCTCTGTTCTATTTTAGAATTTTAATGTAATCGGTTTCTTACCCCCAGAATTTCTTCTTGTATTTGTTGGCCATAGCCTTCATGACGTCCAGATAGTCGTTTCTCCCAGAAGCGCCTGGTAAACAGATGAACATGTTAAATGCAAATACAAAACAGCTCTTCTGACACCTGCATATGCAAACATTGCTGTAGCTCTTAACGTTCATTTTTTAAACCAATAAGTTGAATTCATTTCAGTGTGATTATTTGCATTTTAAGCAGCAAGGTGTCCAAGTCTCTTCAATAACTCAATGGGTAAAGACATAGCTTACTGCAGCAGTAGACCATAGGGTTGATTCTAGATTATTAAATAGATCTCCTCCAGTGAAAGGGGATGTTGGTGGGGTGGGGGGTGTCACAGCAACTAATTTCAGGGTCACTGAGAATACAGCGGAGACAAAGACACAACTAACACTCAATAGGAATCCGGATCCACTGAAAAATAACAAAACAATTCAAAGGGTCAGGTTGTTATAATGCGCTTCAATAAAACAACCACTGCACAGCAGCTCACTGCAGGCTGAATCCCTGAAACCCACCTGTGTCGAGAATGTGTGGCAGGACAGCAATGATGCACAGCTGATGGTCATCACATGTCTTTTTTAGGACATCTTCATTAACAATCTACGCATTTTAAAAAAAGGAGACACATCATAATCAAACACAAATTCAATCTCAATGCTTTGGTCTGGCAAACAGTATGCCAATTGATAGCGATTTCTTAAAGCTCGACAGTACACTTGTTAACCCGCTCGCTTCACAAGAATTTGTAGCTTTGTTGTCCACTCTTTACCTCAGACAGTTCTGGAGGAGGTGCGTTTTCAGAAAACAGTTCAATGGCACGAGCAACGATGTCACTCTTTGACCTCCCGCCGTCATAGTCAATAGGAGTGTCTTCATCCTTATGGAAGATTTTAATGGTGGGATACCCACGAATCTAACGGAAACAAGCAGGACAGGAAATTTCAGACAGTAACAGACATTTGCTGCTCTTCAAGGCATTGAAGAATCCTGATTTCACATTTCACCCACAAAATATAGCCACTACTCATGTAAATTAGAGATAGTCAACTCCTGTGTAGAATAGGCTCCAACTTGGTCATCCTGGATGTAAACTGTCACAGTAATGCTGCATTTGAACACTACAAAGTCGCATGCCATTTGTACATTAGCTAATTGGCAACCAAATCTGCTGATGCCATAAAGACTATCCGTATCAAACTTAGTTACAGGTAGCGTTGGACTGGCCTGTATTACACAGCGCTTAAACCCTCTGCTTACCCCATAACGGCTGGCCACTGCTTGATTAACTGTGGCATCGAGTGCTCCCAATTTCACTTTGCCACCCGTGTGTTCTTTGATCTCTGTGGCTGCAGCAGCCCACTCAGGCTCCAACCTTTGAAGATAAAAATGAACATGTATAGCTCAGCCTAGTCAACAGGACGTAACAACAACAACTTGAATTTCTACAGCGCCCTTCACGCAGGGAAGTGTCCCGGACATAGGCTCTTGTAAGAAAACAACAGATTCACTTCAGACTTTTTCAAATAAACAGCATGATGTAGATTCCCAGCTTTGCCTTTATGAAACGTCAATGTATTTGTTTGCTTTTGGTAAATAGTATTTGAGATATTAAATTCTTCAATACTCAAGCTTAGCAGCTGTATTCATTATTGCATCAATAAGACATTCCGTCCCTCAGTAACTACAGAATGGTTTAAAATGACACGTACCTCTTACAGTGTCCACACCATGGGGCAAAGAACTCCACCAGCCAGATGTCACTGCTGCCAATTACATTCTCATCAAAATTATCATCGGTCAACTCAACAACATCTTTTTTACCAGATTCACCACTCTGTAATCAGAGGACAACATAGTGTTAACAATAACATGCATTTATATAGCGCCCTTTATACAGCTTACAACATAGCAGTAATACACGAACCAAGAGTTGAAACAAAATACTAGTTGCTGGGAATTCAGAAGCAAGTTTGCCCCCCCCCCCACCTCCCCTCGACACCCTCAAAGTTAGGCATATCAGTGCAGACACTACTCACATCCAAATATTGTATTGGATATGAAGGAGTTGTCATTTTGTCACAACCGAAAGCCCTGGAGTGGTTCTGAAACACGTTACCTGTTTGCCAGAAGAATATGAACTGCTCTTGCCCCCAAGTCGGTCCCGGACTATTGTACGTAAAGTGTTCAGGGCTGAATCGGTGATTCCTTGGGCTGATCTGGCACCTGTCAATCAATCACAATTAATCAGCATCAAAGACAAGCATTATTATAGCAATTATATACCTTCCCATACTTTATTAAACGCCATAATTTACAAGCTTTAAAAATTACTTTATAACTAATGTTAAATTTCCCCATTGATAAACTAGATTATATTCTTGCTACAGCACGTCAAGTTTTCTATGGTAATTCAATAATACAATGCTAAATATCAAATGAACTTTACCTAACTTGAGGCAGGGGAAGCCTGGATTAACTAGATTGCTGACAATTGAGGCACAACTCATTTCAGTTCCATAACTAACTTGGACGGAGAGCGAGAGAAAGTCAGAGAAAACAGAAAGATATAAAGAGGAGCTATCAGTTCATGACTTTGATGAATTTGGGAGGTTCTCTTGTACCTCAGTTATCTTTCCCTGCATGTGACAAAGGTATCACTAACTGTACCTCCACCTTACGCTATTTTAAATGTTACGTCCATCCGCATTAGGTCTCCAAAAATTACATTTGAGATTCTATGAAAGAGTAAATCCATATTAATTTTCAATTTTAATTTCTATTGTAAATAGTAGACAAGTTGTATTGCTTGAAGCAGTACAAAATACTGGATGAACAGATGGTGCTCAGCATCTATCGTTGATATTGAATGGTGATGAAGCATTCACACGAGCAAAGGCAGCCATTTCTCACTTCACGCCAGCTCTTACCATTATAATCTTCAGGCTTGTTTTTATTTAATCCAAACAACTTGATAGTTGGGAATCCCTGAACACCGTACTGGCCACCAAGAGACTGATGTGCATCTGCATTAACCGCCCCCAGCTTTACTATTCCCTGCAACATTATAAGAGCGAGTCAAAATGAATAATTCACACTTTCATCTTTGAACCATCTATCTTAAATGGATTGAATCCCAGGCCTTAAAGTACACATCAACACAGTATAATCTAGCACTAATCAAGTTCGTTGAATTAAGATCAATTATAGTTAGTTACACTTGAAAAATAGTTATTTCATTTCACTCTGGGCAGTGATTTTACCAAATGAGAGATAGGTTTAAGAACCAAAATATTGTAGAATACTGCACAAGACTTGGTCATTATCACATTTAATTAATGGTGATACAACCTTCAATGCTGTTGCAGCTTTCTTCCACTCTGGCTCCAAACTCTGACAGTGTCCGCACCTGAAAGAAGAAAAACTTTTTTTTAAAAAAAGAAACACGAAGATTGTACAGACAGAACATCAGCTGGCTCAGTACACATAAAGAGTTAAACCGATGGAACACAGCAACACAAGCTTCAAGTACATTTAGAATAGTAATTGGTGAGTTACTGAAAATGCCAGTCTTATTTTCACACATTGTACTAAACCCAAGCTGAAAAGTTTGCATTGAAAAATTGTATTTGTGCATTATCCATAAAAGTCATAATAAAACTTTCTGATCGTAGGAGGGGTGATTTATTGCACTCATTCCACATTCATCACATCTGTCCAAATTCACACAATTCACAGATGTATAAATTCACAGGACAATCTTATCTTCACTCAACTGACTATATATGCAAAGTAACTTTACAGCTGGATCAATTATCTTTCTGCTGTGAAATCTCAAGGAAACAGGTGTTAGCACTGGTGGGGGTGATACTTTCTCATTTCAGGTCGCTACACTGAGCTAGTTTTTGACCATTTAAAAACAGATAAGTTGCAGCAAAATCCATAGCACCATCTTAGGATGAGCCAAACAGTCACTGCTTGTGGTGTAGTTCAATGTGGGCATCTTCAAGCTACTTTTCTGGAGTGAGAGCATTGTGTACACAACTCACAATATCTACCCTTGGATTTGGCTCGTTAATAGGCACAGGTTTCTACACTTCATATTCAGATTGCTAAGCTATTGTGTTTTTGGACTCACCATGGTGCATAGAACTCCACCAGCCAGAGTTCATGACTGTGAATGACTTCCTTTTGAAAGTTACTCGGGGTCAGTTCCACAACATCGTCACTTGATGAATAGAGAGCACTGACTGAAACAAGCAATGTCCAAAGAAAAACACCTGCAAAAGCAAAACCAGGGGTCAGTCTGGACATTTAGATTCAAATGCAAACCAACAACAGGAAACACATTCACACAGGCTCTCCGACAACAGGGTCTTGTTCAGTGCAGTTCCATCTTGCAAGCCTTAGCAGCTCCCAGGCAGGTTTCTAGTGAACTCCGCTGGAAAACTATGAAGGTATTGATTAAGCTGGGAGGAAAATTGGAATCAGCTATAATGCTCCCACGAATGAATAGCCTACCATGCAGCCATTCAGCCCTTCACAGTCTGCAGCATCTCTGGAAGATCTACTCACCCATTCCCACCCACCAGCCCCCTTTCCTCCATAAAGCTCAATACTTCTCTTTATCAAATATGTGTCCAATTCCCTTTCAAATGTAGGATGAGGAACAGAAAGGAATATGCAATTATACGTTATTAGATGCATTCTAATTCTATAATATATATAATCTACACAATATATATAAAATCTGTATTATATACAATCCATACAAAATCTATACAATACACATATATAATTGATACAATGTAAATATGAAATCTATATATGTAATCTATATAACATATACATAATAATCCATGTATGTCTATATAACATATGTATAATCTGCATAACATATGATGCATGTTATATAGCCTATATAATCTATGCATAGCTAAAATATATATAATCTACAGTCTGTATATAACATATGTACAATCGAAAGATAATCTACATATATCTATATACACACACACATATATATAATTATTATTATATTATTACACACACAGAGACTGACCCACACACAGAGACTGACCCACACACAGAGACATCCAGAGACTGACACAAACATACGTACACACACACACAGAGACTGACCCCCACACACACAGAGACTGACCCCCACACACACAGAGACTGACCCCCACACACACAGAGACTGACCCCCACACACACAGAGACTGACCCACACACACAGAGACTGACCCACACACACAGAGACTGACCCACACACACACACAGAGACTGACACACACACACAGAGACTGACACACACACACACAGAGACTGACACACACACACACAGAGACTGACCCACACACACACAGAGACTGACCCACACACACACAGAGACTGACCCACACACACACAGAGACTGACCCCCACACACACACAGAGACTGACCCCCACACACACACACAGACTGACCCCCACACACACACAGACTGACCCCCACACACACACTGACCCCCACACACACACACAGACTGACCCCCCCACACACACAGAGACTGACCCCCCACACACACAGAGACTGACCCCCCCACACACACAGAGACTGACCCCCCCACACACACACAGACTGACCCCCCCACACACACAGACTGACCCCCACACACACACAGACTGACCCCACACACACACAGACTGACCCCCACACACACACACAGACTGACCCCACACACACACAGACTGACCCCCACACACACACAGACTGACCCCACACACACACAGACTGACCCCCACACACACACAGACTGACCCCCACACACACACAGACTGACCCCCACACACACACAGACTGACCCCCACACACACACACAGACTGACCCCCACACACACACAGACTGACCCCCACACACACACAGACTGACCCCCCCCCACACAGACTGACCCCCACACACACACAGAGACTGACCCCCACACACACACAGAGACTGACCCACACACAGAGACTGACCCACACACACAGACTGACCCACACACACAGAGACTGACCCCCCCCACACAGACTGACCCCCACACACACAGACTAACCCCCCCCCACACAGAGGCCTGTGACAGCTCACCCAGTACGCGGAGCAGCCCCGAGTCTCTCCTCGTCGGCGTCTTCATGGCTTTTATTTACTTATTCCTTCCTTTCCGACGTTTCTATTTTAAAGTATATTGATTTGAATACGAAGAATAAAATTCTCCCTCACAAAAAAAACTTTGCCGAAAGAAAAAAAAAAAAAACCCTCTCCTCTTCCCCTCCGGGAGCTTTGTGGGCGATTATGGTGTGTGTGTGTGTGTGTGTGGGGGGGGGGTCTGTGTCACTGTGTGTGTGTGGGTCTGTGTCCCTCTCCCCCCGCGCGCGCGGGCGACGGTTGACGGTTAAACGACAGCGGCCGCGGCTCGAGCGCCAGGTCCGTCACTGCTCACCTTCCCCCCACACCCCCTCCCACACACATCCCGGTCCGTCCCGCTTTTATCCCCCCCCCGGCACAGCGGCCCCGTGGCCGCCGCTGATTGGTTCCCCCCCTCCGCCCCGCCCCCCGCAGCCATCTCAACCCCAACTGCAGCCACGTGTCAGCCACAGGGCCACACACTGCTCCACTTCCTGTCCTCCTCCCCACCACCTCCTCTCCTCCCCTCCCTCTTCCCCACCACCTCCCTCCCCTCTCCCCCCCACCACCTCCTCTCCCCACCCCCTCCCCACCTCCCCTCTGTTCCCCTCTCCTCTCTCCCCCCCCTCTCCCCCACCCTCCCCACCTCCCCTCTGCCTCTCTCCCCCACCCCCCTCTCTCTCCCCACCCCCTCCCCACCTCCTCTCTGTTCCCCTCTCTCTCTCTCTCCCCCCCTCTCTCTCCCCACCCCCTTCCCACCCCTCTCTGTTCCCCCTCCTCTCTCTCCCCCCCCCCCCCCCCCGCCTCCGAGTACAGAGAAGTGGATCGTTATTTGGGGAGGACAAGTTTTCAGGGCTATGCGGAGAGAGAGTGGGGATTGATTTGGAAAAGCTCTTTTCGAAAGAGCCGGCACAGACACGATGGGCCGTATGGCCTCCTTCTGTGCCGTGTGATTCTCTCTCCCCCTTCGCTCCCCCCACCCACCCACCCACCATCTCCCCGTTCACACCACTTTACAGCACTGTGGAGTGTGGTATATCAAACACAAGTGTGGTTTCCACGCGCTAAATCCGTGACTGTGTGCGGGGACGTCGCTGGGGGCGCAACTCGCTGCTGTATTCTGCCCCACAAAACACGGCCCCCGCACCTTACAGCGCGTCCCGTGAAGCGCGTCGCGGCGTCTCGACGACGTGATCGGACGCTGTGCCGAATGCGAGGATTATTATTTGCGATACACAGGGAGGTGAAGGGGTGGGGCGGGCGGCAGCTCAGCTACACGCACAGTCACTACACGTATCAGTGAATGCGCTGGAGCACCGTTTGGGGAGATTGGGCGTGTTTTTGGTGCTGTTTGTCCAGCGATGTTGGACCGTGCTGCGGATGGGGAAGGTGCCACAGGTACAGACCCGCTTTGTTATTCTGCTGCGGAGAAACGATGCCTTTGGTCGGGCGCCAAATTGTCAAAACAAAATCTGCAATTTAAACCTCTGCCCCAACTTATTTTTTTCCCTTTGAAGACCTTTTCTTACACGGTTTCAAAAGCCCCTAATGTGATAGAGAGAGAGAGAGAGAGAGGAGAGGGGGATAGAAAGAGGGTAGGGGGGGGTGGGGGGTAGAGGGGGTGGGGGGGGGTAGAGGGGGGTGGGGGGAGGGGGGATGGGGGGTAGAGGGGGGGTGGGGGAGGGTAGAGGGGGGGGGGGGAGGGGGGGGGGGGGGGGGGGGGGGGGGGGGTGGGGGGGAGGGTAGAGGGGGGTGGGGGGTAGAGGGGGGATGGGGGGGGGGGGGGTGGGGGGAGGGTAGGGGGGGGGGGGGAGAGGGGGGTGGGGGGGGGGGGGGGGTGGGGGGAGGGTAGTGGGGGGTGGGGGTAGAGGGGAGGATGACGGGGGGGGTGGGGGGGAGGGTAGGGGGGGTGGGGGGTAGAGGGGGGTGACGGGGGGGGTGGGGGGGGGTAGGGGGGGTGGGGGTAGAGGGGGGGGGGGGGGGGGGGGGAGGGTAGGGGGGGGGTGGGGAAGGGGGGTGGGGGGGGGAGGGGGAGGGTAGAGGGGGGGTGGGGGAGAGGGGGTGGGAGGGTAGAGGGGGTGGGGTAGAGGGGGGTGGGGGGGAGGGAGGGAGGGGGGGTGGGGGGTCAGGGGGGTTCCGGGGGATACCCTTCGCTGTGGGAACAACAAAACAGCCGCCGATGTGACGGTTGTGGAGCGACCAATCAGCGGCGGCGCCGGTTACCATTTGCGGGGCTCAGGTACAGAGGGTCACAGACACAGAGGGTCACACACAGAGCCACACACAGAGGGTCACAGACACACACAGAGCCACACTCACACAGAGGGTCACACAGAGGGACACACACACTCACACACAGCGCTGAGGCCGCTCTGACCGCACAGAGAAGGAGAACGAATTAAAACTTCAGAGCAACAATGAGCCCAACACTCGGCCCTGAAACCGGAGCGCACAGAGCGCGGAAAGGAGTCAAAGCCATATTGCTCGGACCCCCGGGGGCCGGGAAAGGGACCAGGTAGGGGGGGGGGAGAGTGGGGGGGGGGGGAGGGTGAGGGGGGGGGAGGAGGGTGAGGGGGGGAATGGGGGGGAGAGAGGGGAGAGGAGGAAAGTCCCGTTGGAAGTGCCACACAGTCCGGGTTCAGGCAGCGCGGCTCCGGCCGCCAAACTGGGTTTAACGTTCCCTATTGAACCCGATGATGGGTTTAATGTTTGTATTAATGTACTCATATATAATATATTATATGTTATTATA